CTCGTCATCGCTCCAAAATGACAAGTGGAATTCGCAACTGTAGTCGGTGACAGGTCAAGAACGAAGTGGGAGCTCCTCCCACCCTGTTCCACTTCAGCGGAGCGAACGGGGGAGAGGAGGTCGCCCACCCTCCAGCGTTCGCTAATGGCAAATTTTAGTTTATAAGGCCACTAACTGTCAATTTACGGTCGTTCCTTTACGTCCGCCGCAGCCGATAATGTTATCCCCGGGAATACCAAAAGTATAATTTCTTTCAGCAAAAAAAAACAAAACAAAAAAAAAAACACACACACACACAAGCAAAAAAACATAATAATAAAACGCCTGGTATATCACAGCTTTGACAACGCTTCACGTGTGTGAGGTTCGATGGCCGACAGAGAACCGCCGCTGGCCGTGCTCCCGAAGCGGGAAAGTGCAATTTATGGAGACCGATCATATTATCAGAAAGGTGCAGACTAGGGAGCCTTCATGTGCGCGAAGCGCACATGGAGGCACTCTGATGCAGACAATCCACGAAAAGTATTCTTGCAACTATGAGGTTCCAGTTGTACTTACACATGCATTATCGTCAAATTTGACGGAGTTCCTTCGAACACTAAAGAGTTGTCAAGAGTGAAGATTATAAAGGAGAATATCAGCAGGAATCTATTGTCTGTTTACTGAAAACAAAACAAGCAGCAGAAAAGCGCATTTGGGTGGCCGGGGCGGCCAGAAGCACGGACTGCGCGCACCCAGCGTGGAACCAGAGAATGAAAGGGCACTCCTAGCAATCTGTTTTCAGAGCCACGGTATGCCGGCTGCCGGCTAAATGTCCACTTTGATTCTATTATGGCTTTCGAAACGTAAATACACGCTCGAGAATTTTCAACAATATCACGCGAGCGCCGACCGGCCTGTAGATCAGCGCATCGTCACGGCGCGAAGTAGCGATATCAATGACAGTACGCGCGTGCGCAGAAGAAACGCGCCGAAGTCGGCGTCGGCTGCTAAGCTGTTTCCCCAATCACGACCCTCCCCTGGCGCGACGCCCACCGCTTGCTCCGCCTCATAAGCAGGGGACCTAGTAATCAAAGCGACACACACGGTACGCAAGCACGAACAGCAGCCAGTAGGAAGGACACCGACACGAGCTCAGTCAGCGAACGAAAAGACAGACACAAACTTCACGCTAGGCAAACAGAGCAGGGGTAGTTACAAGGATGAGAGGCGTGCGCAGACGGAGGTAAGCAGTGCACAATAAATACGCGAAAACTCGCAGCAATCGAAGAACCACGCAGCAAACACGTACGTGCACACGCACCAGAAGCACGCGCGTCACGCTGCGTATCTACGCGGAACTGGCGATTTTGGCATTTCGGTAATCTGAAACTTCGATATCGATTGCGTGAATGATTTATTCAGCAAACTGAACCGGTGGAGCCTCGCATAAAAAAAAAATCGTTTGACAATATGAAAGCAACTGAAATTCTTCCTAAAAGCTATATTAGCAGAAAGTACCGTGATATAAAGGACCTCGCGAGTTTCGACCAAGTTTTCCAGCACGTTATTTTGCAAGAAACGGAAGAAGCCAAGTGTACAACCAGTTTCCGAAGCTGGCAACCACAGCTGGAATCAGCGCCATCCTCGGCAGTTTCCTGAACCTCGCGTAGTCACATTTCAGTCACCGCCACATAGAGGGCGCAACCAGACATCCAATTTGTATTTTCTGTATGTTTTATGATTTAAAAAAAAAATAGGCTCGATTAGCGAAAATGTGGGCTAATAATGAGAACCTGGGACAGTAAACTCTATTTTGTACTAAAAATATCTGCCTAAATGTCTGCCAAAAGGGGTCAAAATACTCGTTTTTGACTATCAACAAATACGTGATTTCACCTATAATCAAACTTTTTTTATGGAAAATCAAAAGTGAAATTTAGAAAAAGGGCCTCGCTTTGCAAAGCAGAATATGTTTTTCTTTGCGGGCCTCCAATTTTATTCATGTGTGCCAATCCCTAAGCGCTGTACCACTGTACTACCAAATGAAGTTTGCCAAAATTAACTGTTTTCGTCACTTTTCACATGAGCATTCCGAAAAAAGTTTAAGCCATATTACAATGAAATTCAGCGTAACCCTTTCGACCATAATTACAAACTGATGTAAAAAGTTTCAAATAAAATGACCGAGTAGGCGCCCAAAACTTCGCGACTGAAGTGCTTCCGCGAAGTCAATTTTTCTAAAGTAAATATCTGTCAAAATAAAATAAAAAAACGAAAAAAGGGCTTCCGTTGACAATGAACGCACTCTTCTTCTATAACATTCTAAAATTTGAAAGAAATTGCTCCAATAGTGCACCCTGTACCACTGTACTACGAAACTATGTTTTGCCGAAAAGGTCAATGTTCGCGGGTGCCCCCTGAATTAGCTTTTTGCACTGGGAAAACAAATCTTACATCAGATAAAAGATAACGTTGTACACTACAAGATGATATATAACACATAATTTTAGCAAGCTTGAACACGCCACGATCGCATTTCGAAAACGTGCGGAAAGCGTCATATATCATGGCCGCCGTGGGACCGCAGCCTTAAAGATTCTCAGGCGTCGTGCTGCACTGGCTATCACCTACAACCGTTAGCTTCCCGCTGTGTAAACATAGGCACAACACAATTATTTTTTTTATAGAAAAGCTCAGCTCATTCATAATCACTACCGCAAAAGAATTGTGTCCCTTTAAACGCTTCAACTTGTTACAAGCTCTTGTGCATTCTTCAGCTCTGCATTGTCATGGTGATCATGGCAAAGGGACCTTGGTGCTACATTGTAGTCGAACGTAGCTTGGGTATTTGTTTTCTTTTGTTGTCTTTCTTCTCTAGGGCTGTGTTCAGATTCCATGTCTCTTGCGAGAAAGAAGTTTAAACTGCTGAATCAACGCTGAGTTTCGTATGGACGGACGGCGATTTCTAGGGTGTTTCGTCTGCTTTTGAACCATGGTTGAAGGCGCTAAAAAGACGAAGACAAGAGAAAAGTCAAACACGGGCGTTTCTCGCAACATTATTTGAAAAAAATAAGATGGAAGTACATATATGTAGGGTGGTCTAAGTCACCAGCCTCGATCTAAAATGGACCGTAGAAATCGACACCTGCATGTCTCAATCTTAACTTTTCGTCAAAGGTGTATTTCGCAAGTCGGTTTTTTCTTGTAAAACTACAAAGTGTAGCTCTCCTTCTGAAAAAAAAAATTGAGGCCAAGAAACTTGCCGGGGCCAACGGTGGATGGCGACGCAGACGACCGAGTTGAGTAGCGGGGTGCATTTGGCGCACGTGTTGATAGATGGCGTCGGGAGCAGCATGCAAAGGTGTAGCCGACCAGTGAAAGAAAGCAGACGACATGCAGACGAAATCCGTTGGCAGCAAATGCGCTGTCGTTATGCAAATGCGTTTTTTCCCCACAAGTTTTGCTTTTATTGTCCGCATTTATTTTTAACCCAAGGTACATTACAAAAAGATTATGTTCATTTTAATAAACCATGGTGGTCGTTAGCAGTTTCAATAAGGAGGTAGCGCCATCTGTCAATACAAAAGCCAAACCTGCCCCGCTACTTGGGTTGGTCATCTGCGTCACCGCTCGCTGTTGGTCCTGGCAAGTTTCTTGGCCCTGTTTTTTTACGGAAAGAGAGCTACGCTTTGTAATTTTACAAGCAAAAACTGACCTGTGAAATACACCTTTGGTGAAAAGTTTAAATTGCCACGTGCAGGCGTCGATTTTTACGGTCCATTTTAGATCGAGCCTGGTGACATGGGACACTATATATTTTAATACACCTATCCTCGCCTAGGCTATTCATGCGCCGGTATGCATGCCCTTCAACCCGTTTACATAAATTTATAAAAAAAAAATGTATCTCGGCATAATGCAATGCAGTCAGCGTGTAGCTGACCCATTGGGGCCTCTCTTCCTGGTAAAGTATGCCTCCTGCAGTTCACATTTTCTATGATTCTTGCTCCTACCTAGAATCTTTGTCACAGAAGCATGGCTCACCGAAGCATGGCTCACCGAAGCATGACTTGCCCATGTTTGTCTTCTCTCTTGTGTTCGACTTTTTAGCGCTTTTAACCATGTTTCAAAACGGTCATCACCAACTAGCCCAACAACAAGTACTTTTACAGTTAATTTCATCTGCTGTGGTTTCACAAACCTGTATATTATTCTAGGGTGACTGAAATAACCAGGCTCGATCTAAAATGGGCCGTAAAAATCGGTGCCTGCACTTAGCAATCTAAACTTTTCGTCAAAGGTGTGTTTCACAAGTCGGTTTTTTCATGTAAAATTACAAAGCGTAGCTCCCTTTCTGTAAAAAATAGGGCCAAAAAACTTGCCAAGGCCAATAACGGACGGCGACACAGATGGCCGAGTTAAGTGGCAGGACGCGTTTGGCGCACATATTGGTAGATGATGCTACCTCCTTATCGAGACTGCTCGCGACTACCGTGGTCTGTTATAATGAACATAATCTTTTTTTGTATTGTACCTTTAATTTAAAAATAAATGCAAAAAAAAAAAAAAGATTAAACAAAAGCGGCATGTCATCTGCTGTTATTTGCTGGTCGGCTACTCGTTCTGACGGATTATTTTGACACTGATCAGTACATGCACCAAACGCGCCCCGCCACTCTACACGGTTGTCTGCGTCGCTATCCGCTGTTGACCCTGGTAAGTTCTTTAGCCCTATATTTTATGGCAAGGGAGCTACGCTTTATAATTTCACAAGATAAAATCAACCTGTGAAATACATCTTCGACGACAAGTTTAGGTTGCTTCGTGCAGACGCCGATTTTTACGGCCCATTTTATATCGAGCCTGGGTATTTCACCCACCCTATATTAAAAAAAAATAAATAAATGCCAGATGCCAAAAGCGGTGTTTGCTTCTGTGTCTGCGTCGTTGCCAAAAAGATGTTATAAAGGATTGTTTCTTTTTTACTGACTCATATTTGCTTTTGTATTTTCACGCAGGTCACACTGACACAGCTGCCTTTCCTGCCAACTTCTAATACCTCAGTAACGAAGCGGGAGCTTCTGGTTGCACGTGAGGAATCCATCCATTGTCTCTAGTTTCGTTACGTTACTACCTCAAGGGGTGAAACTGGCACAGTGAAAAGATGCGAAAATATTCTGTGTTTGGTTGTCATATATTTATTTGTCTGTACTGCCAGCATTTTTATATAAATGCCAAGGCAGAAAATGCATACAACAAAAATGACAAGAACAAAACATACTACTTATTACAGGCAAACTTGTCGACAGGAAAATGTTTGAGTAGTGTGTCGTTAAAAATGGTCAGCGATTCTGAATCGAGAACACTTTTAGGGAGATGATTCCATTTGCCTATTGTATTAGGAAAGAAGGACGATTTAAACACTGGGGTCCCACATAATGGTTTGATGATTGTTAGCACACATGGATTTTCCATCTTAAGTCGTAGATGACGATTAAAAACGAGTGGTGTCACGACGGATCCTGCAGGTAGGTGACTCTGGAAAACAGAATGCCATCGAGAGCCACATACTGCTGTCACTTAGTAAGCTAGGGGTCTAACCAACATAGTATATTCACATTACTGATAACACAGCTCAACTTATGTAACAGTTTTTTCATAAAATACTCTATGAAAAGCTTTCTCAAAATCTAGAAAATATCATGTCCGTCTGACCGCTCTCATCGATGACAGCCGCATGTTCATGTACCGTGTGCACCAGTTGTGTCACAAATGACATACCACGTCTAAACCCATGCTGTTCGTCCTAAAAAAGAAGAAAATTACTGTTTTCGAAGAACACAATTAAATCCTTAAAAATGAAGTGCTCTAACACTTTACTAGTCGGACATAAAAATGAAACGAGTGGGTAGTTTTTGACACGGCGGTCGAAAACTTGGCAACTTTCTTGCGGTTTTCCACTCGTTTTTCACGTCACCCGTGCTAAGACTCTGAGAGTAAATGAAGCGCAGAAATTTAACCGACCATTCGGCGTTTCAAAAAGGAAAACGTTCGGAATATTGTTGAGGCCACAGCTCTTCCTAATGTATAGATTAAGGAGGGCCGCAAAAACACCTTCCTCAGAAGTGCTAACTTCCGGTATCGTTATGGGAAAAGCCTTGTAACTTGGGATTGTCCTCTTGTCTGCCGTGAATACAGAAGAAAAATAGTCATTAAAAGCATTAGACCTGAAGTGCTTCTTATTTGAAGTGCCGTTGCAGAGTTTCATGTCCACGGAGGTTGATTTCTTTTGTTTCAGAAACCTCCGGAACTTTTGGGGGTTGCTACATAAATAGCCGTGGGGCAAAGTAATGTTAAAAGAATTCAATGTTGCGTCTGGTACTGAAGCCTTGAACTGCCTGCGCAGAAAAGAAGTGTTGTTCACATTACAAAATTTGTGAGCTCGATCTAGCTCGTGTTTCAGCTGAAGGCAGGACTATGATAGGGATGAACGGAAAGAAGCAAACAACAATAATAGATGAGCAGAACATCAGGAATGTGTTTCTTGAATACCGAGTAAACATGATTCCACGTCTCAGGGTTCACAACTATGTTGTTTCCTAACCGGCTCGCCTGCGCTTTCTCCTTTCTGACAATATAACAGTCAGCAGTCCCATTATATTGGGCAATACAAAAATACTAAATGGTGCTTAACACAACAATATTGCATTTGCTTTTGACAGTAGGCGGTGCATTAAGTCAGCAAAATGGACATAAATGCTGATTCGTCAAAATATGTTCCCACGTATGTTGGATGGTGTTTCGATTGCGAATATCTGAAGCTGAGAAGAAAAGATTTTGTAAGTAGTGCGGCGCACGCGTTACGTCGGGAAGCAGACGAGTCGACTGAACGCGTTTCTGTGGACAGTTCTCTGATTGTGCGACCATGCAAATGTTAGTAGAGCGAGGCTGATCATGAAGTTGTATTGTGCTGACTTCTGTTTGTTTCCTCAGGGGACATCCTGGAGATTGGTGCCCAGTGGAGCATTGCCACGCGCGACATCCCTTCCTTCGAACGCTACATGGCGCAGCTCAAGTGCTATTACCTGGACTACCAGTGAGTGCCTGCATAGCCTCCTTTTTGTGCCCACGGCAGTTCATTGTCTTTGGGGTCGTGCAGGAGGGCAAGCAAGGTGCGCAACTAAAAACAAAATCAAGGAGTTACAATACAATACAACACAATACAAACTTCATTCTCACCGTGGATACATGTGGTGAATGGGAGGCAGAAGAAAAAGCTGCAGAAATGCAGCTTGATGAGCTCCGACCCCTCACTCAGCAGCTACGACGGAGTTCAACAAATACATAAATTAAATGCTTTCAGAAAGAAACAATACAATTAGGGTGCGCACGTAAAAAATACATTGCTAAATATTAAAAAAAAAAAAAAAAAAAGTAAACTGCTGTTTGACATTTTTACTACGTCAATATTTCGATCACAATATTCATTCAGCAAAAAATGTAAAGCATAACGTATTGTTTGTTTTCATAATTTGTCTTGCATTACGGAATTCGCCAAGGCTGGTGATGTCTAGACGGGTATTAATTTTCTTTTTCCTTTAATTCAGATAGCTGGAGAATTGTACTAGAACACCCCATATGTCGCACTTTTATAAGCTATTGAGACAATGTGTTAAAAATTTTGGTCCCCCCTCCCCAATACGACATGCGCAAATCCGTGGGTGTCAATAGCCAGCGGGGTGATGAAAATAGGGCTCACATATGTCACACACATTATTTAGTTCTATGCCACCCTGTTTATCCAATATTAGTAAGTGCTTGGGTATCCAAAGTGCACTGTGCAACGCCTTAAGCGCAAATACGACATCTGCTTTTTTTATTTTATTTTTTCATTTTACTTGGACTGTACTGGTGGGTACCGATTTTTACTGCCTACCGTCGTATCCCGAGAAGAGGGCCCACCCAAAAACGAGAGCAGATCATGTGAAAATAAGGTGTGGGCTAACTTTCAATGTGCAAACTAAAAAAAACTTCTTATCATGGTGTGGGGCAAGGAGGCAATGATGACTCTACCTCCCAGTCAGCAATATTCACCTATGTCCCGCCTTAGCTAACAAACTGCATTTATGCCGAGGTCATCATTGATTTGAGCACTACGACTACTAGGAGTTTTACAGTGTTAAAAAGAAAATAGCAAATCAATCCAAAAATAGGGGGCAGGTTATTTCTCGGGGGTATTGTTAGGCATGTGGCCCGACTCAATGCGTTTGAGCCCCACTACAGTCGGTGACAAGATAAGAATATGGCAGAGGCTCTGCCCACAAGTGCCGTACTCGGCAGCAGTCATACAACTGCCGCCAAGGAGCCCGTCTGTTAGAAGGAGGGTGAAAAGAAATTTGTGCCGCATCCGGAGGTTGACCAAGTGTCACTCTTTCGTGTGCAGGAACGACCTTCCCGAGTCGGCCTACAAGTATCAGCTCCTGGGTCTGAACCTCCTCTGCCTGCTGGCCCAGAACAGGGTTGCGGAGTTCCACACTGTGAGTGGCTGCCCGGCTAATCCCTCCACATCCACCAATCATAGCCGTAGCCGTCGGAGGTCAGTCGCAGAACAGGTTGCCCCGTAGTTGCCTTATTTCGTCATCTGGAGTGCCGAGTGCATGGAGGTAGGAAGCTTCTGGAGGTGACATGATGCTGTGGAGGGACGTGCCGCCAACGGTGACCAAACCCAAGAGACGCTATTGGACGAAAACGAGAGCTGACTCGGCGCCAAAAGCTGTTTTGGTCATCCTCCCGAGGATGACCAAAGGAGCTGTTGGCACCAAGTCGGCTCCCCTTTTGCATGATCGAATGGCAGGGGCTGTGCTGTCTATCCCTTATGCATCGTGTTAAAAGTTCCGTTGGACACGTACAGCAAAAGGTGCGGATATACACTCCGTGCGATGCGACTGGCGCGCCGCCGCGCGGCCGGTACCGAAGGTAGGCAGTGAGCACCCCAGAGAAAACGAAACCGAAACCACGCCGGCGTACGTTGGTACGCGTTGAAGTCGGAGTGGTGCTGTTGCGCTGGGTTCACAGCATGAAGTGCTGCCTGTGCTGCGTCATTAAGTGCTTCAATAGTTATGCGTCGTATCTCGTGGAGACAAAGTTTCACAGTTTTTCACCTCGCCGATGTTTTGTGGGACAGCGACAACGATGGAGCCGTGCCGTACGACGCGAGAAATTTGGTGTCCCGATCATGTCTGCCACTGTGTCGGCACGGCTGACATATTCTACCCTGCCGCTTTGCGCTCTGCGTTTGTTTTCGTACCAGTAACGCCTACATGTGTCAGCGCCGATTGGACGAACTGAAATGACATCCCACACTCGCGGGTATGCAGTGCCGATTTCGTTGGAGGAATGCCCTCCAAAGAAGTTTCGTCCCCATCGTACGTGTCGATGATATTTCCGGACAAATATGGCACGCAATCTGTACTTCATGAAGAAAGATTTGAACGGTAAAAGAAGTGACAAATATAAATCTAAAGAAAACAACCATGAAACTCGGAATCACTGGAGAGTCGGCGTTTGAGTATGGAAGTTTATGTGGTGTGCTTTCTTTCTTGATAAGCCTCCTTTTGGATGTGGAAACACTGACACCCCAAGTTCTGTAGACAACAATTTTTTTTTCTCAGCTTTAGAGCCACCTATCGCAAAGTGGTTCGAACTGGAAGTACCGCCCACTGGTCCCTTCCTACCTGTAAAGTGTGCACCTCCCACGATGAGTGGTATTTTCTGACAGCCTTTGACGGTCAAAGCCAGTTCCCATTTAGTTACGCCGCCCAAACTACATTTCCACCTGGTTTCGCTATGCCAACTGTTATAATAAGTGTTGTGCCAAGTGACGGTCATGTCAAAGTACCTGTGGGCCGAAAATCAGCACCTCGCACAACAGGTTATTACACAACAGCTGACCGCAAAAGCCCTTGGCGGCCAAACCGTGTGTTGGCCGACAACTTCGTTTTCTCGGCTTTGGAACCACCTTTCGTAAAGTTGTTTCGATTGGAAGTACAGTCGACTAGTCCCTTCCTACCTCTAAAGACTCCACCTCCCCCGACCAGTGGTATTCCCTTGACAGCCTTTTCATGGTCAAAACCGGTTCCCATTGAGTTACGCCGCCCAAACCAAATTTTCACCTGGTTTCCCTGTGCCACTTTTTTTTTTTTTTATAATAAGTGCTGTGTCATGTCACTGTCAAGTCCAAGCACCTGTGTGCCCAAATCTGCACTTTGCACAGCCCGCTATAACGCAACATTTTGGGTCCAATATTGGATATACCGTACAGCTTTATTTCTTCATTCGTTAGAAACAACTTTCACACCTGCTGTCTTAATGAAACTTGGCATACTTCGTGCAGAAACTTAGTGGACATCTCACTCGCCTCCAATATCATCGTTCCAGCAGTCCTACGTTTACAGCGACGAGCGAAATAAATTTCCCACTCAAAGCAGTTATGGTGGCGGCCGTCTTGCTTTTCGAAAAATTGCTCCAACTCCTTTTTTTGGCCGCAACTAGAGAAATCCCCCCGAATAACGACTAAAACTCAATATATAAGAAGAGGAGAACAGCTAAATGCCCTTCTTAGGTCTGCCCCAGCATTCATGCAACGTCACCCTCAACGTATCGGCTCAAAGAGCAAAAGTTTCGTCCGTGCGCGCTTCCGCCGCCACAGCTTGGCATGCGAAAAGGCGCCGCAGGCTGCTGAACGCGACTCACGGTCGAACGCCAGCTCCTCCGCTAGCGGCGCTGCGTGCGTTTTTCAAAGCGCCCCCTATAGTTCCCGCACGGAGTGTATAGTGAAGCAAAGTTGAAGTACACCTGTAATAGTGGTACGGGCATCTGAGATACTTGTAGGACGAAACTGTGGGAAACCATTGCTCTTCATAGTTTTGGGCCCTATGGAAGTTTGACATTGCAGCAGGCAAAATGGTTGCGATGGAGCGGAAATTAAACCACTTCTAAGCATTACTGCACTTGTAAACGAGACAAGCCCGGTCTGCATTGGTAGCGAATTTAGGCCAGGGGGGATCGGTGGCCGAGTGGGCTAAAGCACACACCCAGCTAGACGCGCGTGGAGCGAAAGCTTGCGCTGCAGAACCCAGGGATCCTGGGTTCGAGCCCCACCCCTGCCCATTTTGATCTGGATGAGCATCATACCGGCGTGCGGTCGTGTATCACTACTGCGTGGTGCACGTTAAAGACCCCAGGCTAGCGGTTGTACTGCACTGGCTAAATTGCTCATCTACAGCGTGTGACTCGTCGCAACTTTAATGGCTGACCAACTACACGCTGTATAAACATCCCCACAACCCCAATTATTATTATAATTTAGGCCATTGTTGCTCTAGGCAACAAGTGCTTAGGGCTGCATGTCACCTAATGTTGAATGTTGCCTAGGGCTGTTGCACAGTGGTGAGTGTTGCCTAGGACCGTTGCATAGAACTAAACATTGTTGCCTAGGACGGAACGGAACAGGTGGACTTCTTGCGGCAGTTGGAAGATTGACCCTGATCTCACTTGCCCAGGAGTTGGAGCTCCTCCCAGCCAAGGAGATCCAGAGCAACGTGTACATCAGCCACCCGGTCTCGATGGAGCAGTTTCTCATGGAGGGCAGCTACAACAAGGCAAGCTGCACTTTGTTACGTCTGGCCGAGGAACAACTGCGTCGGGGCAGTGGGGCGTAGGTGCTTAGACGCATGAAATAGTCTCGGCATTCTGTGTACCTAGAACATCCAGAATGTGTTCATTGCCTTTGCACTATTTACATTTCCTTTGATTGTACTATGTAGGTTTCCCGCTAGAAAGAACATTGAAACTGTCTCGGTGGCCATCTCTCTCACCGTCCTGGTGGCTGTCCGATTGTCCTGCCAGGTGTTCCTGTCCAAGGGCAATGTGCCCTCACCCAGCTACACCTTCTTCACGGACATCCTGCTGGACACCGTGCGGGACGAGATAGCCAGTTGCGTGGAGAAGGCTTACGAGCGCATCTCGGGGCCAGACGTCACCCGCATGCTCTTCCTCGAGGCACCCCGCCAGACCGCCGCCTACGCCACCAAGGTTTGTTTTACTTTTCTGGCCTCGTCCAGATCATTTCCTGCCTTTATGGGACAAAAACGTATATGTACCCTGAAAGTGTTTCTAGTATACTGTTAGAGTGTACAACTTTCAACATCCATAGTATCGACGAAAGAGTAAAAACGCAGGCAGGCCAGTGAACTGTGAGTGATATCTATGCTTCAACCCAAGACTGGAAAAAAAAAAAAAAAAAAAAGTCAAACTTGTGCAGTTTTAACAAATGGAGACGTGGCACGGTGTTTGTCCATTGTTTTGTTTTTCTGTTTTGGGTTGAAGCATGGAAATCAAAAGTATACCTTTAATTGGGGTGCACGAGTGGTGGGGTGTGCGAATTGCATCATTCATAACCTTCACAGTGCTAGAGTCCCACGGCATACCAACTCTTTTGCAGTGTTTAGGCCAGGGATGGTAATGCTATTCAATTGAAAGCACTATTTGTACACCCCTTTTTTTAACGTACCTTTAGTGCACTCCTATATAAACTTCTAGGCCTCTAGATACACTATCACTATATTCTGTGACGAGCACTGGAGAGGAGGTTGCCTCCTCTCCGGCGTTTGCGAGTTACACCAGTCTAAGGAATTCACAAAGTTTGGAGAGTGATTGCATTATCCTTTCAAAATTTTCCCTCGTACGCAACTCCCATCGAGACATTAGGGAGTTTTAGAATAGCGCACGCTCAAGCTTGGCATACGAAAAGAATAGCGTCGTCGCCACTGTGCATGCTCCGAACGCAAACCAGGTTTTGCGCTTTGCGTGCGCAATTTTAGCGTGTGCTATTTCTTGGAAATAGCGTGCGTACGCAAAGAGTCTTTGCGCTTCTCCAAGGAGGATTCGTGATGAGAAGTTGGCTAAAGCCAAGACCAGGAGAGTTTAAAAAAAATAGCGGCTTCCAGGGATTATGTTGGCGGCTGCTTTGGCGGTGCAGTGAGTGCGAAGTCGGCGGCATCCTCGCGACTGCGATTTTCAATACGGGACGACTTTGTACTCGGTTTGGCAACGATCACCGGCAACTTGACGCTTGTGATGCGCGCACATTTCTCGGCGAAAGTACGATGTGCGAAGGTCAGTACGCGAGACCTCTCTTGCCGAGGCGACGCAAGCGGACACGACCGGTCAACCGCTCGCGTCGCATTCTCATGTTTGAACAAATCTAAAATGGTACTCTGGACAAAAAAACTAGTTTTTTCTAAAGTTAAAGCATTTCGTGTGTGAAATAAAAATTGATTGTATCTTGGTGGCGTTGCAAGCGCGCGAGATGCTTGGGATTTTGCGCTCTGCGACGGAGAAACGCTATTCTAAAACTTTCTCGTGTCGCGTGCGCTAACGCAAGCGCTAAATTTAGCGCTAGCGTGCGCTAAAATTGCGTACGTTATTCTAAAACTCCATATTGTCTCGAAGCGAGTATACAGAAAAGCAAACTTGGATGCCACCCACGACGGGCCGTGTCATAATTCTTTCGACGTCTCGTTGCAGCGCGGCTGGACGCAGGCGAGCAACACGTACCAGTTCAGCACGGAAGTGAAGCACACGGACGACGTCATCCCCACGGAAGACCTGGCGGCCCAGACTATAGGCTATGCCAGGGAACTCGAGATGATAGTCTAGGAGCCAAATCGACGAGCAGAGAGGGACTGCCCACGTTTGTTTTTTGTTGCTTTTCTAACACCAACGCTCGTCGACCCTTTTCCTTCAGTCTGTGTGCCACAACAACTGCGGGCCTCCACTCTGTGTGGCCGGCCAGATACAGGGGCAAGCCTCGAACGCGGGTGCAACGCCGGATTAAAGAGAGGTGTTGTCGACGTCAAGGGCGAATCTTTTTCTTCCAAGTTGGTCCGCTCTTTGCAGTCCGGGAGCCGAAAATGTAGTTTATAAGCTTCTAGTTAAGGAAATGGGCCAGCATAAATGAAATGCCTACGATACTTGCTATTCGGCAATACATATCTTGCAGGCACAGAATTTTGCGGTTGGCAAAGGTGCGCTATACATGCTTGTGCCTTGCCTAGCAGACTCATTATTTGGAATGCCGGTGTGAAACATGTTTGTGTGTTGTGTTGCACATATTTGTCCGACGCAAGTGGTGTGCCTGGCTGGTGGTGCATATGTGGACCAAGATAGTCCCGTCATGCAGTATTTCTAGGTGAAGCGATATGTATTGTGGGTGTAACTACTTCAAAAGATGAATTAAGACACAAGAAACTGTACAAATTTACTTAAACTTTGAGCCAAGCAATTGTGACAAATAACCAAATTTACCAATTTTCGAGTGGGAGTAAATGCCATTGGTTCTATTACATGCTGTTAAGGGGTGGGGTCCGGGCTAAAGGAACGATGATGTTTAATGAGACATGATTAGATGGCAGCCTTGGTCAGTCCCATTCTGTCTTCATCGCACGTGTCCGCGGGTATCCCTTTTATAGCCGTGGGGACGCGAGAGTATTGCGTTATGGGCACAATCTGCGTGATTGAAGGTGGCCGTCGGCATCGATCCAGCAGCTCTGATTGGTCCAGTGGTTTAGAGCTTTGCAGCAGCAGCAGATGTTCCTTATACGTATCTCTTTTCTGTAGAAGTTCTACTGGAGTAGCAATACCACTATGCATACACCTCCTTTTGCCAAGGTGATATTTTTTGTAGGAAATTGCTCCAAAATGTTGCACAAAAATCACCAATAATTCCCAACTTGTCACTCTTCTATGTCTAGTCTGAAACGGCGGCTAAGGGCAACGAAAATGGAGTGAATCTCGGCTGTTCGATACCCAAGGTTGGAGAAACCGTTTATTTCCGCTGTTGAATCTATAGGCTGGTTGGAAGATTTGGGGGCTTCAGACGGGCTTGTAGTCCAACTTGGACTCGAGCTTCTTGTTGTCTGCCACTTTGCGCACCGCCTTCATGAAGTCCTCCTCTATCACATACTCCCGGTCGGCTCTGATGGCGAACATGCCTGCAGCAAAAAGTGGAAGGATTAGTTGACTCGCTGAACCTCCCATGAGCCTATCTACGGCAGAAAGAGAAAAAGAAACCCAGTTTTTTGGACTGCATCGCAGCAAGCTGAAACTCTGAGAATGTGACGTTAGCAGTGATGATAAAGTGTGAAAGTTTGAGCAAATGACGTTACCTGGAATCAAAGATAGAAAAGTAAGATTTCTCTAAAAGCTGACGTGTACCTAAGCCCAAATTTCATATTTGAGATTGTGGGAGCCCGCAGGCACTTGTTTCACTGAAAGAAAGGCTGCAGGCATCCACAATGAATGAATATTGGGCTCGAGTGGATGTCGGCTCATTGAGAATTTTTTTTTATTTTGTATCTTAATCCAGATAACATCATGTGCTCAAACTTTAGAATTTTATCGCCACCGCTATACTCCGCGACAGCTTTTCTTGGCAATGCAGTGGAAGGTACGTCCCGCGTCCCCTCTCCCATTTTGAGTGTACGCGGGCTCTCCTCCTCCCCCACTTCCGGGGAGAGGAGGAGAGCCCGCGCACACTCAAAATCTGTATGCACTTCACACACAAAAACAATGCATGAAGCGTCAGAGTTGTCCCCCGGGCAGCCGAAAGTTACTAACTTATTCTAGTGGGTGGGTGGTACCACCAACAAGCAAAGTACTGTATTCACTCGGAAAAAGGGTAACCTATTTTCGAATAAATGCTTTGCTAGGGCCGGCGGAGTTTGGCGAGAAGGTTGATGGTATACTAGGGCCGTCAAAGAAATTGTGCAAACAAAACTGGCAAAGCGAAACTTCATGCGAGCAACGAGTCTGCGCAAAAGCAAGACACGAGAGGTGCACAACGTACCGGCTTCGGTGCAGACGTTGCGCAAGTCGGCACCGTTGAATCCGTCCGAGAGTTTCACCACAGCCTCCCAGTCTGAAATGAAGGAAGGGAAACGCTGGTCACGGTTCCAAAGTCGTGCGGAAACAAAAGACAGTTGCGCAGAAAGACTCTACTGCATCCCAGCTCTCGGAGGCATCGGGCATGGTTTTGTTCCTCACCGACTTCGCCGTGCTTTGTGATGGGCGCCGCGTGGATCTTCACAATGTCCAGTCTCGCCTGTTCGTTTGGCAGTGGGATCTCTGCATAGAAAGGCGGGCGGCGTTCTGTCAACACCCTTGGAACCGATGGTACAAGCAGTACAAGCACGAGCTCTCGGAGGTCACGGCATGTGCTAATTAATCGTACGACAACAGCAATGCTTTTGGTCACTACATCATTGAGCGTACATCCACCAACACACACTCTCGCCCTAGAGAAATTTGTAGCGTCGGCTGCATCTAGACTTGAGGTGAAACGAAGTATAGCGCGGTGACTCTGAGCACTATGGTTACTAACGGCTTAAGAAACGTAGGGTGCGGCAAGCGCTGGGCGGCGTCTTATCGCTCTGCAGCCAATGAGATTGGGGCATTAGCCGACGAAGATGTCGAAGAGCGAATCATCAACTAAGGAAAGTGAAGACCTAAAGCCATGCCCCCCACATTCCTTAGGCTGCCGGCGACCATGACCAAAGCAGTTAACTTGTATGCCTGCTAACTGCCTTTTCGAGTGAAAGGCAAAGCAGACGTGTTCATATTGTTGCGGCAGCGTAGTCGAACAGTAAACAAATGTTGGGACTGGAATCTTTGGGACAACGAAGGGCGGTGCAACAAGGGAGCGATCATACCGATCTTGCGGTCGAGGCGACCTGGACGCAGCAGGGCAGGGTCGAGGGTATCTGGCCGGTTGGTGGCCATGATGATTTTCACTTGGCCCAAGGAGTCGAAGCCATCCATCTGGTTCAGCAGCTGCGAGGTGGTTGTAGAGACACTTTAGAAAATGTCATATATATCTACACGGGACCTGGTTGCCCCATCCTCTTAGACCTCTAAAGTAAAATGTGTCTTTGGCATACAATATCACATTGCCATGCATTGTGGTGCTTATTTCTTGTTCAACAATCTAACACTGATAGAGGTGACGGTTCCAGAGCCGTATATGTAGAGAGTTTGGCCATTCATTGGGAAGTATAGGAGACAAATGAGGCGCCATTGGCCGAAAGCGGGCTGGGCGTGTTACAGGGCATTTTCAGAAATTCGAATGCGACCAACCAGAAGCCGGAAATAATACCCTGGCGGTGGTCGCGAGAAACAAATCTGATAACTGCATAGGAGTGACTCTCGGTGACTGAAAATATGGTACACGCGATGTTTCAATCAGGCTCGTCCAAAATGATGGTGGAAGAGTGCGACTAGCGGAATGGTCGACATAATCGTTACGCCAAGCGCCAAGAATCTGCCGTCCGAGCGGTCACACTCTGTCCGAGCAAAACAGAGTTGAGCGGCGCATTCGTTTCTCACATCTTTCTGCATGGTCATGATCAAGACAACACATGCACCCTATTTTCAACTACGAAGAGTGACTACACTTCACTGTTACGCACCTATTAAAACCATATACGAACATATACCTTTGATCAGAACTGTTTCTCGCTACCACCGCTAGGGGATTGATTTCGGTTTCTGGTTAGTCAAGAGAGCATGCCAAGCCCTCTTTCCGAGTCCGGCACACGCCCTGGCTCTGCCGGTGCCTCCCATTGACCAAACTCTCTCTACACACGGCTTTGTGTCATTCTAAAGAAAAAAACAAAAAAACAAACGGCAGATTATAAAAAATTGAGGTGGTTTTAGAAGTGACAAGATTAGACAGTACGTTCCAATAAAATAAAATTGCGGCACCAAATCGACACATTCAAAGAAATGAGCTTCAACTCTATAAACTGAGCTGAGCGGTAGCTCGCGCCACCTACCGCTCTCCTGCCTAACTAAATTTCACCACGTCGCCACCTGACGGCAATGCCGATAATCGCAAAAACGTCCAAGCAAAAAATACTAAGCAGAGGTAGTGAGCCGCTCAGTTTCTGTACATTCCGTTCTAAAAACATTAAAAATGAGAACCCAGCTACTTTTTAAGTTTTAGAAGGGTTCTTAGCAGAAGACGAAGGTTCCGCTATATGTCACCAGAATTTCGCCACAGCTGGCCACCGCGCCGACCCCGCCGCCATTTGCATCCCGCCACCCCGCCGCCATTACAAGACGCCCGAGGGAGGCTCTAGTCTTTCACTTGCATCCAAAGTTAATAGCGGGTTTTTTTGTATATCGTCCGCTGTTCTTCCAGTGTCAGTGCTCCATCAATTATGCCTAATCGTTGTTGCGTACCGCACTGCGATTATCGCGTCCGTCTTCCACGCAGCTTGTACTGCGACGAAAATGTAAGTAGCGTAAGAAAAAGCGGGCCCAAGTTTGGGCGTGTTGGTTTCACCGCGACGTGTTCCAATTTTAAACGTCCGGCGGGTCGGACGTTTAAACTTTGAACACGTTCGCTCAGATAAAGTGGCAAGGGGTGGTAGGAGTTTCCCCTGAGCTCCTTAACCTGGCACCAACTACAGATCTCCCGTCCGCTAAGCACGCACAGTTATACCATCTTTCCGATTCGTGGGGACGTTTCGTCGTACGTATTTGCTCTTTTTGTCCTGGGGCCCTTTGTTGCGCTTTTTGGACTCCCACGGGCGACTAGGGAGAAGAAAGTGACGTAGGCGTGAATGAACCTATCTTAGCTCCGCTCACTTTTTCTTTGTTTTCTTCTGCAGAAATTCGTCATCAGCGACCCCACCAATCAACATCCAAAGAGCGTTGTTGATGTCACTTCTTTCTCCACGGTCGCCCTGGGAGTCCAAAGAGCGCAACGTAGGGCCCCTGTGCTCGGGTTTAACTTGTAACACTGCCCGTGACGAGGTCACGTCGCCCAGCCATTATTTGGTATTTTCCGCAGTCCATACCATAATTTCACCTGCTGCCATGTCCAACAAGTAGATATCTGCCTGCTTGCTGCTTATGTAACGAGCAAAAAACCCGCCACGGAAAACTGTTAACTTCGGTTGCTGCATTCGATTGCCATATTCGGTTTACGAGTGTAATCTATTTCAAAACACAACTGGAAGTACATTGCACCACACTTTTCTGCACCAGTGCAGGCCGGTACAACTAAATCGAACGAGAGAAGTACAGGGTGTCACAAATGGAAATTTACACTGTCTTTTTTACCGCAAAAATAAACTAGGCGTCGCCGAACGCCTATTCTCCGGCCAAAGGTAGAGCTAGGGGTCACAACCAGATGCCAAAGTTTCAGCCCGATCCGATAACTCAATCAAAAGTTATAAGTGATTTTCTGAAATTTTCAATGGGAAAATGGCGGCCGACGGAGTTTTCAAACACTTGGGGCTCTATGGCACCAGAAACCGAAAATGGGCTCCATTTTCCCGTTGAAAATTTCAGAAAATCACTTATAACTTTTGATTGAGTTATCGGATTGGGCTGAAACTTTGGCATCTGGTTGTGACCTCTATCTCTACCTTCGGGCGGAGAATGAGCGTTCGGCGACGCCTAGTTTATTTTTGCGGTGAAAAAGACCGTGTAAATTTTCTTTTGTGACACCCTGTATAGATGGAGGTGGATGGATGGCATCAACTATACCACTTGTAACGGGTAATAGATTGCGCCACCTACCCTAAAAAACTTATGCCCCTTGCCTTTAAAATGTTTTCACTATTCCGTCTTATTAAATCATGAAGAAAGCTACAAGTTTAAGAACCGATTTTGTTGTCCCCCCCCACACAAAACAATGCTTGCAAAACCAAGAAAATCAGAATGACAATGATGCTTGGTTCGCACCCGGCACCGCCTAACACGTGCATCGCTTTTGCCCTGCCGTCTCGCAGATATCCCTCCACAGGTTGCCCAAGAACCCAAAGAAACAAAGGTTGTGGCTCGAGGCCATCAAGTTGGAGCGACCGGTCAAACTCCAGTTCGCCAGGGTCTGCTCCCGCCACTTCCTCCAGGACGATTTCCTCAAGAAGATTGTGAGTGGAAAGAAGGTACTGTGCGACGATGCGGTGCCCTCTGTGTTCAACAGGCCGCCCTCCCAGCGGCAGACCTCGAGTTTCGCGGTGGAAAGGTTGGATCTCTCCTCGGAGCAGATGGAATCGGTCGCAGAAGCTCCGACAGCCCTGACCTCCGAACCAGACGGTGCGGACTTTTTGCCGAAACTGACCACGGCGGAGGAAGCTGCGATCGTCGCCGACCTGCACAGCTACGCCAAAAACTACATCTCCATGCCACAAGACGGGGGAGCGGCCAGTTCGGCGCACCGGCAACCCGAGCCCCCGACAGCGGCGGACTCGAGTTGCGAGCAGCTCAACGTCGCCACCGCGGATCCGAGCGACGGAACCACGCCGAACAACGTCGAGCCGATTGAAGACTTGCAGTTGTACTCCATTAAATTAATTCAGATGCTACGAAATGCCGCTGCCACCAATCCAGGAAAACTGCAATGCGGGAATGCGACGGATGACAACGGACCGCCTTCGGAAGGGAACCGGAGGTCAGACTGTTCCAACGATGCGCATCCCACGCACGAGGACACGGCTACCAGCTCTCACCAGTGCTACGAAGACATGCCTACCAGCCCCCCTCGGAGCGACGAATATGCAGTCACTAGTCCTAACCGGCACTACGAGGACTCTGCTACTAGCCCTCTGCGCTACACCGACGACGCGGCTTCGGAAAATGCTTCCGGTGTCGCCTCGGAGGACGAGTGCCAAGAGGGAGAGGCCGAAGAGTTGGAGAAAATGCGGCGTAAGCTGCAGTATGAGAAGCATCGAGTCGCTTGGCTCAAAAGCACCCTGACGAAGCGAGACGAACGCGTAGAAGAACTGCAACGGGAGTGTTTGGGACTAAAGAAAGAAGCCATTGGACTCAGGCAGCAAGTCTTGTTGCTGGAGGCCCAGCAGAGGCATAGTATCTGGGAATCGGCCAAGGTGACCACACCGGTAGTGTCACAGATTATGCTGACCTGCTGTAAGTGTCGCGGTGCCACCTGACAATGGTGTCTGTGAATTTTTTTTTTGGGGGGGGGGGGGGGGGGGGAAGGGAAGGGAAGGGAAGGGGTGAGTGAGTGAGTGGTTGGGATGTCCATGACTTGGGGGGGGGGGGGGGGGGTCAAAAAGCATGTGTATGTTATTGAGTCTGTTGGATTTCGAGAGGGGAGCTGAAGCCCCATAAGCCTCCCATCTGGCTATGCCACTGCCGTTGCGACCCAAGGACAGAAAGGTGATCCTTGTGTTCAGAAACCTTTAGATGAATGGACGAATACTTCCCAAAGTGACGGATCCTGCAAGCCGTTCAACGGGCATTATAAATAGGGTAAAGACTACAAGAAGCTGTGTACACAGTTCAATCGTCACGCACGTTGAGAAACCTTTTTCTTCAGCAACAACGAAGGCAAGATTAAACTCTTACGGTGCTATTTGATGATGCTGAGTAGAACAAAATAGAACACCTTCCTTCCTCCTCCCCTCCCCCCCTCCCCCTTCCCCCCCCCCCCCCGCCGCCTTTTTTTTTTTTTTCTTTTACGAAATAAGTGACGCGGACCTTAACCTGGACGACGAAATTCAAAACTACCAGTAAAATACGCAATAATTTATAACAATGACTCCACGCTTTTCCTCCACTGCTGCGACCTCCTCTCATCTCCGGTTAAGCGTCGGAACTGAAACTGCGCCATTTGTGGAACATGAGGGAAACCAAAGGCCTGTAATAGAGTTTGATTTCAATGAATTTTCCCTAAAGATGTGATAGTAGGGGTGGCAACAGCGCTTTGAACTTTCTTTTGACCAATTCTTGGCACCTGTGACAACGTTCGGAAGAAACCTATATCCCAACCAGCGGTAATACCGTAGCTTTGCAGCCTTTCCCATTTGATTAAGAAGGTGGCAGATAAATGTAAAGTTCCCGAAGTCCTCTTAGCAACTTCTAAGTTACGCTTCTGTGCTTGCGTGAGAGCAAGAAGAAAACATGTAATGTGAGAAATCAAAGAGATTTTCAAATACGTTGCGTGTACCAGACGGAGTTGCGTATAAAAAACGACAGGTCGAGGCATCAATGTTCGAGCTAGGGGACCCTTTCAGTCTTTGAGGTCTACACCATAGGATCACCTTGCAGTTCATAGCTTGAAACGGAGGTGTACAGCCACATCTATTGCTATGAACTGCAAGGTGACCCTAGAGTGCAGACCTCAAAGATTAGGGAAATCCATGAAGCATACCGCATTCATCTATAGTGTCCCCATGTTTGTATTTGTGCACAGTCAATTACGATGTGCAATGAAGAGTTTGAATTCACTAGTGGAATGGGAGTGCAAGTGTAAAACTTGAGTTTTAGTTCCTTTAATTTTTAAATTTGTTAGATATTCTTTAACAGTTAGTTATTATAATTTCACATGGCTGACCGAACAAGTGTCCTGTTACGAATATGTCCTTTTCTTTTTCCCACTTCATTCTATGTAAAGTGAAACCGTGTTCATACGTTTTCAGTTTTCCCGGCTTTTACATTCAAAAGTGTCGGTCCCGCCGAGCTTCTAACAGGAACACATGTATTCATTTTCTGCTAAGTTTAACAGGAACACATTTATTCATTTTCTGCTAAGTGCATTTGCTTTCCCGATTCTTATGTCCAAAGAGCCGCCGACGGTGCCGGCTGATTCACACGATGCATTGATTTGCAGACAAACTGATTACGCAACGACGTGTCCGCGGATCTTCCACCTTCCAAGCGCGTTCACACAGAGGGGGGGACAAGGGGACTATACTCCGTCTCACTTAAACTGTGCACTACAGCCAAACTTACAAGGGAGAGTATATCCAGACCTCTTCAAGAGGAAGGAATGGGGGAATCCCAGCCTTTCTCCCCTTGTTCCTCCTTTCCCTCCTCTTGAACAAATTGCCATACGCTCTCTCCCCCATAGCTTTGGCTGCACTGCACGGTTTTACTGAGACGGAGTATAGGTTTGCCACGAGTGGTTACTTTTCGCCAAATTGGCTACTTTTGGGGTGCTTGGCTACCGAAAACTGAGTTTGGCGGCAAGGTGAAGTTTTGGCTACAATGCCTAGACTTTCAGCAGAACCGCTCGGACGTGTTTTGAAGGCAAAGTCAAAGAAGAATGAGCAATAAAAAAAAGGCTTCATAGTTTTTATTTCAGTTTTTTTAAGGTACGAGTGCAAGTTTCTCTGCCCATGTCTGAAGCAGAATCGGAAGTATAACATCTGAACCGTAACGAGCCTGGCAAGCTTTCTTTTGCCACAGTGACGTCACTGTCCTGGTTGCTCGTTCAGCTCTCCCGAATGCCCCACACTTGGTGTGCGGGAAAGCAGCCATGTGTGCTGCTTTCCCGCACGCATAACTTTTGTCCCCCTTGCGACTTATCTTTTTCCCCGAAGCTAGACTCGGACCACTTCCCTCTCTGCTTGCCCAGCAGGAAGATGTAAAGGGTGTGTCAAGGATCAAACAATGTCGAACCTAGACGCGACAAGAAGCGCACGCTGCGCAGCACACATTTCTGCAAACGGTGCATTTAGAAAATTAAGCGTGTGGCATTCCGAACCAGCTGTGTAAAATACCCATTGGGAAGTGCATTTCCCCAAATTCAGGAGCGCGGCACGTTGCTCTCGCATCATAGGACCCCAGCTTGACGGGCGTGATCGCTTCAGCTTCAAAGTAAGTTATTTGTTTTACAGCATTTTCCCAACTCAGAATAACCTACATCGCCGCGAGGCATTATTGGAAAAGGTCAGCTACATAATTTATTTTTTAGGAACACAAGTAGTACAAAGATGCACTATACTTCTGTGAGGACTGCAATTTAACAAAAGAAAACACCACTGAGCACCAGAGAATGTCTTAAAAATTTGCTGTGAACATGTCTATTGGAAACTTGCTCTACTCTTCTATAGTTTTTGGCAAAAAAAATGAAGTGGAAGTATCAGTGTGACAGGTATGGTCTGATTTTGTGTGGGTGATCTCTTCCTGACACACAAAAAGGTTCCAGTAAAAAGCATTGCCGAAAAATTCTGCCGAAAAAGCTTTCTGTATTTACTGAGTTTCTATCAGTGTAGGGCCTCCTCCGTGTTAGTGACACTCGCAAGTTTATATTCGTTTAATGCAAATGTAGCACATTAATTCTGTATTTTTTCAAGTGTCTATTAAATAAATTTCATGCAGGTTTTAAACAAGTGAAGCGTATTCCATGCACAGACGAATAAAAGTAAGGTTTTCTTAACTAATCTTGAAGCCTGTCGAATATTTTTTCATGTAAAATTTAGCGCACACATAGCCTTCAGAGCTATCGTTTCAACGTGTCCCTTCCATAATAAATCACTGGATAACGTAACACCCAGATATTTTAAACTCGAGCTAACTTTAATAATCTTATTTTTTATTATTGTGCTTTTACGCAGAAAAATACAATATTGTAACTAACGGATCAATTTGGAATACTGAAAACGGCCTAATACTCGTGAATACAATTTTTCGGTGAAAAGTTTGTGAAAATATGATTATGTGAGTAAACCACCTCGTGATGAAGAATGTAGAGCATACCACTCTTCATCGTAATATGTTGTGCCTCTGAAATAGTCGTTTATTAATTCCAAAGCGATCTCGCGCGCTTACTGCAGAAGACATCATCGACATACACAGTCCCAGATGAAGTGCTCCAGAAAATGACAGTAAATTATTCCGGGGCCAGCAGCATCTACGACTAAATAAATTTAATTGAAGGGATCGAAGAGTTCTAAATAAAAAACTTTCCACGGTTGAGGTCAGTTGTGCTTGCCTGCATGCACGATTACGCACATTTGGAGGTGCATGCTGTAAAATGAAGACAGCTATCTATATTTAGCCTCTTTATAGTGTTTTATTTTTGCACGCTATCTTATAACTTTATATTGTGCATATTGACTTGCTTGACGTCCCATCGGACGTCACGCGATGTCTGACAGGAATCGCATGAACTGCACAATTTGCTGTATCGGCACAGCTGACAACGGAGTTCATAGCGGATTCCCCCGTTTTTGTCCATGTTCTGCATGCGCGATATCCGCTCCCGTAACATGCGAGTTGTTTTAGAGCGTCTGATGCACCGCGAAATGTGAATCTGCTGCATCCGTAATATGCGGTATCCGTTCCCGTGACGAAGTTTGTAGCGGATTCCTGCATTTTTGTCCGCGATTCCACGCAAGCTGGTACCACGTGTGTATCGTGTCGTAAAATATGATTCTGCCGCGTTCAAGATCTGCGGTGTTTGTTCCCGTAACATACGAGTTTGTGGCGGAGTCCCGCATTTTTGTCCGCGATTTGCGCATGAAGTATCGGTTCCCGTGACAGGCAAGTTTGTAGCGGGTTCCCACGTGTTAATTGCACCATAAAACTTGAATCTGCTACGTCTGCGATTTGCAGCGTTCGTTCCCGTGAAATGTGAGTTCTTGACCGGTTTCCGCGGGTCCTTCACACCTTGAAATACGAATCTCCTGCGTCTGCAACCTGCAATATCCTTTCCCGTGACGCGGGACTTTGTAGCAAATTCCTGCATGTTCATGGCGTCGTGAAACACGAATTTCCGGAGTCCGCAATCTGCAGTACCAGTTCCCGCGTCACGTGGTTTGTAGCCGGTACCGGGGTGTTTATCATTAGTTTTTGATAAAGTTTTGCTGTGGTATCCCCAAAGATAGCCCTCGCAATGTTTTTCACCACTTATCTCTACATTTCATTTTGGGTGGGCATTCTTTCGGAACTTTACGGTATTTCAGTTTTTACTACGAATGTTTACAAACTTTTTCTGCGCCAACTTGATTTAACAAATACGAAACTTTGCGCAAAAGAAATTGTTTCGTTACAGTTGCTGGTTGTCTCATTTCTACAGGGTGAAACAAGGAGACGCCAGGCTCTTTAAATCGACCGGAAAATTCGGTTTCTTAACCTATCGCGCTACGACTTTGTGCAGCGTCGCCCACAGATGGTGCATTTTTTTTTTGTAAATTTTGCAAAGAGCGAACTTACCTGAGGAAAAAGGCTTAGCTCTTATGGAAACGCACCGACGCCACCGCTCTGCAAACAACACGGCGCCGTTTCGCACGGGAAACAAGAGATGGCACAACAAACGCCGCCAACGAACGAGCGTACGGCACAGAGAGCTGCGAGAGCAGGCTTTTTTAGCGAACAATCTTTTCGACTCAAAAGCGGCGCGCGTCCCGCAGGCGGCGACAGTCGCAGAAATAAAAAAGACAGGCGCGGTAACAGCAAGAAACTGCAGTTCCTTGTCTGCTAAAGGGCCGGCTCTCGGCGTCGTCTGATCGTTCAATGGCGGCAGTTGGCGTCGCGACCACTTGCGCCATCTCTTGTCTCCCGTGCGAAACGGCGCCATGGGGTTTGCAGACCGGTGGCGTCGCTGCGTTTCCATAGGAGCTGAGCCTTTTTCTTTCTTTACTTTTTCCTCAGGTAAGTTGGCTCTTTGCAAATTTTACAAAACAAATGCACCATCTGTGGGCAACGCTGCACAAAGTTGCAGCGCGATAGGTTAAGAAACCGAATTTCCCGGTCAATTTAGAGAGCCTGCCGTCTCCTTGTTTCACCCTGTAGTGCTCCCAAATGGCATTCTCATTCCTTACATTTTCCGAGATCGTTAACTTTTATTCTCCCGGTCCCCTGAAAGGCGTATCAACGAAGTTCTACTGTGTTGAAGAAGATAAGAAAACAAATTCGTGAGTCAGCATTGCCCAAGTTTTTCGTCTACTTGTCCTTGTGTCTTTTTTTTTTTTTGCACTGTTTCCTTTTGTTATCGAAACCCAAAGAGGTTCTGAAAAAAGTCTAGATAGGAGCGGAATCTGTGAATTTGTATAGGACAATTATTTGCCTCCAAACAATCATCAAACATGTGCAAAAACTAAAAATGACCATCCAACAGTGCCAAGCGTCATGTCGGGAACAGACTTTCGGCCTCCCAGCGCATGCCACTTCATGAGCACGGTCACATACAAAGGGACACAGACATGTTTAAAGAAGTCGGGAGTCGTGGCAAGTTGTGGCGTGTGTGTCAACAGATTGGATAAGAGTTCAAAATGGATGAGCGCCGTGCACTTTGCCCGACACTGAGATAGCACTGCGACACTGCCATCACCAAAGTTAGGCAAGACCACAAAGCTGTCACATTAACGTGAGCAAACTAGAAAAAAATCAAAAGCAAAGCCTAAGTGACTACTAAAGAGAGTTGGCACAGATGGATAGGTGCTAAACCGCTGCACCACGAAAAAGCTGTGTGTGTTTGCACATACAGTAGGGGTCTTTACAAAAAAAGACTTTGCCCGTCATCGGGAATCAAACCCCGGACCTCTCGCTTCGTATTCCGACGCTCTACCTCCGCGCCAGTGGAACGGGTTTGACGGGTAAGCTGCCACAAAACACTCCCCCCCCCCAACATTGACAGGGGTCGCGTACGTTTCTAAATCTGAACTTACTTCGATACTTCTCATAAAGCTGACTGACACAGTCGCGCGTCATGCGTTTGTGACGGCAACCGTAATAGATTACACCAAAAGTCAAACGACTTGAACAGGCTAAATGGATCCAAACAGGTCGACACAAACGCACAAAGCAGTCTACGTCAGTCAATTTTACGCGCAGCGTCGAGGCAAGTTCAAACTCGCGTCGACGCGATACTGCATGCCACCGACTGCGTCCATTCCCGTAGTAAAACTCGACTCAGGCCGAGCAAAACGTCACATACCTCCATCAGCGTCCTCTGAATTTCCCTGTCCGCAGACGTGCCTTCGGAAAATCGGCGGCCCCCTGCAACGGGTGAAAGGAGATTTTCTTTCGGGGAGCCGTTGGGAAAAAAACGGAACGGCACGATAGCCACCCTTCTAAACCCAGTCGACCAAATTGGCGGTCGCCATGACTCGGGCACAAGGCGCGCGACTAGATCCGAGTTTGCGCCGAATGTCGATGCAGCACGCATTCTCGATTCGAGCCAAGCCGCGTTCGCTCCAAAGACTATTGCAGCCTTCATGTCCCTAACATGCTCAAAGTATGCGATTAAACTATGCAAGCCTCAGAGGGACAGCAGCTGCTAGAGGGAGCGCACTCTTAGAAAGGGTCTATCGCCGCACGAAAAAGCACAGACAAGCAGTCCGACGGCCGCCACTGACCGATGGCGTCGATCTCGTCCATGAAGATGACGCAGGGCTGGTGGTCGCGGGCGTAGTTGAACATCTCCCGGATGAGCCTGGCACTCTCGCCGATGTACTTGTCCACAATGGCGCTCGAGACCACCTGCACCAAGCACCAGAGGGCACCGTGTGACTCTTCCCACTCGACAGTGTGTACCCATATCTGGAACCCCTTTGCAAGCACGCTTTAAGTTTACTTCACTTTATAACCTTCGCACTGTGTTTTATTTGGAACAAAATGCAATAAAAACTGCCGGTAAACAAGTAGTTCGGAAACAAAGCCCTAAAGCACAAAACCCTATCTGCAAATATGTGGCATTTCTCCTAAACAATTACTAACCAAAGCAAAAAAAAAAAAATTGTTTTTTGAATGCGTGTGGTTGGCAAACGTGTTGGGGGAAGTGGTAGCGCCACTTGCCTTGAGGAAGTTGGCGTCGATCTGAGTGGCGACGGCACGTGCCAGCAGGGTCTTGCCGGTACCCGGGGGTCCGTACAAGAGGCAGCCTTTGGGAGGGGTGATGCCCACTCGCTGGAACAGCTCGGGATTCAGCAGCGGTAGTTCGATCACCTGCGCGGGAAGGGCGGCGTTTCGTCGGGGTGACACTCCCTCTTTTCGTTTTGAGAGGACGTCGGCTGCAATATTACGGCAAAACTTTTACGCGAATTTGTGGAGTGGACAAAAAAAGTGAAAAGTGCATGGACGACCATAGCTTTGATTGCGCCGCTCTAGCGCACAACAAAAACAATACGGTTAAAGAGAAGCTTCCACAGACCATTCAGTATTGCTGGGGCACAAAGCGAAGCAACCTCCTTTCCAAGAGGCTCAAGGAGTCGTAGCTATAACTGGGAAGGCTAGCGTAGCTTTCGCAGTGCTCCAACGCTATCAAAGCTACTTGCGCGTTTGAATTAGACGCAAGACGAAGCCACATGCTCTCGCAGCAGCGCAGGACTGCAGTGCTGTGAGAGCTATACTAGCCTTAACAATGTAGAAAATAACTGATGCTGAGTATAGACACTGGAAAGAAGAGCAAAGAACCTGCAAATGTGAAACAAAAGAAAATGAACTCGCTAAGATGGCACAAATTTGTCTTTTTTTAATGCGTGTGTGTGTCTGTGTTTTGATCAGACTTTTCGACATCTTTTCCCCCTCCATGAGCCGCCACATTCTCAGCGGGCGGGAAACGCCAAGAGCTATACCGTAATATCACAAGTCATTGCCCACCCCTCGCCGCATGAAATTAATAAAAAAAAAAAAAGCGCGGTGGGCCATGTCTTGGTGGGTGAGCATCAAATATTTAGAAAACGCTATAAAAAAAATAAACGGCAATTTTTCTGTACTTATCTAGCACGGCTGCACAAGAGATACATTGAACTAATTCGCATAAGTTTCATTTGTTTTATGCAAGAAATGCTCATGAAAGAACATTTTACTATCGGAAAGCCTGTTGCTTGCACACATGCAATGAACACTGCCGATCGGCATACAGTGAGATTGTTTCTTCCGTGAAAGCATGCTTCTAACATCGCTATGTTCTCTTCGTTTGTTAAAAGAAAAAGTCAACAAGAAAATAGAAAAACCAACCAGGTGCAACGGGACTGAGTGTGGGAGAAACAAGCGACGAAGGGCAATGCTGGGGATGCGGGAAAGCCGGCAAGAGCATTGGCAAATACTTTGGCGTCGGGCCAAGTTGGGCGGCTTGTCCATCGCAAGGAGCAGGCTCTTGTGCAACTTTCTTGTTTGGTACATACATGTGCGTGTTCGTGTGCGACGTGCTATCAATGTGGGTTGAGGTGGCGTAACTGCATGGTGCAGATGGCGGAGCTCGAAATGGTACGCTTTACAAACGTCTGTGTGTGTGGCGTTCCAGCAAATATTTATTTACCCGTTGGCTTTGTCTCGAGCATTGCACAAGCTTACCAACCGCGGTCGCGACATTCTGGAAGAACGATTAGGTATTTTCGGTGACCTTATTTCAATGGAAAGGGATTCTGACCTGACATCTTTGATCCCACACCCCGCGGTTACATTCCAGGATATGGGGCGTTCAATGACCTCGCAATCCCTGAATGCGTTACTGCTTGTGTTACCTTTCCGACTACTTTTTTGTCCGAACAAACTTTATCGTTAAAAAAATTAATTTTTATTTTGTTATCTCCGTCGTTTTCCTTTTGCATGAATGCACTCAAACTTCGGGGTCGCGGAAATTGGGGAGGAAATGCGTAAACAATGCGAAGTGTCTTTGCCTTGTTTATTTTACTTAGTCACGGACGTCCTCCAACCGTGAGGTCTGTGGCCACATCATTCAAGTAGGTTCAATGTTCGCGGATCGCAAAGTTTGCATTGGAGTATTTGTAGAGGTGGGCAATGACTCGGGGATGGACAATGACTCGACATATTACTCTAGTCTGTTGCAGGTCAAGGCAGGACAGGCACCTCCTATTAAAGCACTTTGCTCACTATGCTCTGCTAAAGTGAAACGAGTGGAGGGCTTTATGAAAAAAGCTCATCCTGCTAATCAAACTACAGTGGCAACGCCGGGCAGAGCAGTGCGCCCCCATCACCCCACCTCTCGTAGCTCCCTGATCTGCTCCCCGAGTCCTCCAATCATGGAGTATGAGATGTTGCCGGGGTCCTCGTGCGACATGTTGTACACCAGGGGGTCCACCTCCCGCGGCAGGTACCTGCGGAAAGACCAGCCCCAAAGGTACCGTCAGTTTCTTCCGCACCCATTATCACATCCAAAAACTGCTGGTTCTCCGTCGGGTAAGTCGAGCTTAGGGCCAGTCAAGTAGCTTTCGTTCAGCTTGCCCAATAAAATCTAAACCTAAAAGAGAGAGAAAGAAACAATCTAAGATGTCAATAAAAAAAGTTTCACATTTCTGGTTCCAAGTATAATTTCCTAAACTTCATGCAACACAAAAAAGAAAAAAAAAATTTATTCATATTTAAATACTATCCAGGATATTGCGCTTGTCTCATAACATTGTCTCATTTGTCTTTTTCAAAACTTTTTTGGTGCATCACAAAAAAGACGGCCTGGTTTGTTTTGGGCACCCGAAAATAAAAGTTATTATCATAATAGTTACTATTAATTTCGTCAGGTCCACCTCAGTGGATTAATCATCAAAGCATGACCAAGTTCACGAGAGGTGGGGAAAAAAGTTAGGGCTAGTTGGGTCTCTAATCTTTTCGAGTGCTTTTCATTTCTGTCCACATGGCCAAAATGTGTTCCAGCTTCAGGGGTGGAACTCATGAAATGTATTTGGGAGCAGCCACGGGAGCAGCTGAAACCGCTGTTTTGGAGCAGGTTGGGAGCAGCTAAAACTACATTCTGGAGCAGGCTAGGAGCAGCTCAGATCAGTTTTCACTGCACTTCAGCTTGTGTCTTAGACGAGCACGGGAGCAATTTCAATTGTGCTTAGCAGCACAGATGAACATGAGTGGTTAGGGACCTAGGTAATGGGATAACAGTGTAACAGATGCCAAAACTTGAAACTTTGTAAGCCTTAATGAGAATCAAAAAGCAAGTACCGTATGTTTCTGAAGATGGTGTCCTTGATACTTTCTGAGTGGCTTTCAGCTGCTCAAAATGCAAATCAGCACTGCTTATCGCACAACCCACACGTGCTCGACATAGTAAATATATGTGCGAACCACGTGACGTGCGTAAGCAACGGACGTGCAGTTGCGTGGGGGACCAGGGCAACAAATTTCGAGTTTATCCTATTGTGCAACTCAACATCGAAGCAGCAGACTACAATTAACGGAGTTATCGTATTCAAAGCGATTAGCGGGAGCAAGGTTAAAGTACGCCGAGCAGAACTACCGCTCGCGTGACAGCAGCTGGCAGGCAAGGTTTCGGATCGGACCGCGTTTCAGTTCTATCAAATCGCAATTATCTTGCGGGAATGCGGTTTCAACTTCTAACGATGAAGTACTAAAAGGAGTATTTTGCTCATTTGGTTTCGATTGGCTGACGTCCGGATCCCGGGCTGCAGAGCCTCAGGCAAACGGACGCTTAACGACTCGACCTCACCTCGGCCGACTTGCTTAACAGCTTATGGTTGAAGAATAACAGTCCACTCGCAGGTGTAGCGATTCGAATCCGATCCCCGAGTTTTTTCGCGCGCTTCCGACTCGGGATACACAGGGAGAATAAACAGAACAAAGGATTGCAAGGCCGACCAAGCTAAACGGGCTAATTGATGCCAATCGAGTCGATAGGAACCGAAACCAAGACAAAATACTTTTTTTTGGCGCACGTTGTGCGATTTGGTGCATAATGGCGCAAGGTATTGGCTGTGGCGCAGTTTCCGTGAAATGGCGCAGAATGGCGCAGACAAATGCGTCTGGCGCAAAATGGCGCAAATGGCGCAGCCGTTCCACCCCTGAGCTTTGGGGAAAGCTTAATGGGGGCACTCCGCCAATTGTTTGAACTACCGAAACTGACTACTTTTTCTGAAGGCTCGAGCTTTACCTTTCCCAGCATGCTATTTAGTATGTCCGAATACACAAAAGCTATTGAGAAAAAGGCAAATCAACACAATGCCAAAATCAACACTTATAATCAACGTGAAAAAGAAAACAAGTAAATCGCGTGCGTTTTTTTTCGCTGTCGGGCGCATGCTGCTGTGAGCTTCCACGTCATTAATTACAACAACACTTCAGCGGCCCCAAGTTACACAGCAATGTCCTGGTTTCTTGGTCCTGCCATATAGCATAGGGCCCCTGATGATCACTTGGAAACAAGTTCTACCGCCCAAGTGGTGAACTTGTGCCTGCCGCTGGCGCCACTTTCTCGGTAATGTCGGTGGAGACTTTCAGTCGGGGAAAAAGGATGAGGACAAGAATGAAACATTCGATGACGTTTAGGAAAAAAATTACTTTAGCGTAATACCCGGGTTTGTTCAGCTCTGTCTATTGACGTGTTCGGCTAATTTCAGGGCAAATCGGTGACCATGAAAAGAAAGATTGTAGAAGGTTGACCATAATCAGCCAGGGCGCACAGAATGTGTCCCCCACAAGCCATGCTTTGTGTGTCGTTTGTGCTAGATTTTTTATTCCTTTTATTATTTATCTAGTTTTATTTCTTTCTTATTACATTTTTATTTACTTATTTATTTCGGTTCAAAATGCGCCATCCTCGTCGGCACCTTTTCACGTATATGAAATAATTTTGTCTTGGAGAGCAGCTGTGCCATGCAGCTCAGTGGTTATGGTATCGAACTGCCACCACACCGGTCTGGGTTCAAGCCTGGCTGGGGTGTCTTTCTTCTGATGATCTTGCGTGGGCCTTTGTAAGCTTCGGGTGTAACCTCAACGTCGTCCGACGCCCCAAGCATGTCGGTCATTCATGATGCTTGTTCCTGAGGCTCATTCGTGACGCTCGTTTATGACAGTTTTCTCATAGAAAACTCATAAAACACAACCTGCGTTAAAGGCTTTTGAAGACGTTAAGGTTACCTCATGATGGTGAGAGTGGTCATGTCCAGGGCCACCCGCGTCCCCGACTTGAGCTTGGCCTTGTCCAGCTGGCGCCTGCAGCCCACGACGTACCTCGGACCGTTCGTGGCCTTCACAATGACTGCACAAGGTAGAAAGCACATCAGTCTTTCGTTCGGTGCCTCCAAAGCAGGTATACCCCCAAAGAGACACAATTCGCCATGGGCATTAAAGGGACGCTGAAGCACTGTTAAAGAAATTTCACTTAAAAGCGGACTTCTATAGTTTTTTTGTCCCATGAATTCAGACTTAACTTGGGCAAAAGTAAATGTAAACTGTATTTAAAATATGTGCAATGATTGCCGCAGTGTGTACGGCGAGCCTCTCTGTGACTTCTCATTCATCCAAAGTATCACGACATCAAGCCCCCGAGGCAGCTTAGTGAAGAACGAGAATCATCTGACCCCACCGATTATTTCATTTTGGCCAATTCTTTTTACCATGCTATCGCGCTGTCCTGTGCTTGGCATAACGCAACGGGCGGGGATACGTCAAAATTTTAATTGGCGATTACGACGTTCCTCCTAATAAGATTCAAAGAAAACATAGGACAGTTTGTAAGGTGCCTACATTAAAACTTTAAGATTTTTCAAATTCGTAAACCTCTTCAGCTTCTCTTTAGGTTTTTGACGTAGAATGCATTACAGGGCTAGTTTCCAAGCTTAGATTGTTGCGAAAACACGATAACACGTAGAACTCATACAATATTTACGCCACGAGTCACAATATAGATTTGGATTCATTCTGTCGCTAGCGTGCCTGCTCAAATAAAACTGGCTTTTATGCGAGGTCGGCCTCACAATGACGTTTAAATAGAAGGAGCGCGGAGGAGAGGTACGCCCACCGTATACCTCTTTCACAAACGCTAAAGAAAAGAAGCAAAAGGAAAATGTGGCGAGCAGGATGGCCGCTAAGCTGCATCCACGGTTCCATCTAAATCACATCTTGCAGCATAAATGCCGCATTAAATATATTGGTTGTTTTTTTAGAGAACATGTATGTGGCCATCTAGGCAGTCTAAATAAAAATATATTGCTCTAAGTTTTTGAACTCACTACAAAGATTGGCGAGACTGGTGGCACAAACATTTACTTCGCTGAAAAACATGCAAGTTTCGAGACACCCAAGAAGTGCAACAGTATAAGCGACCGTACGACACTCACACTTTTCTTCCGTGAGCTGCTTGAGCACCTCGCCCACAATCTGGAAAGAAGGGGAGACGATTCGCGATTTGTAACCACATTCTCCCAAGACAGCCAGCTGACGCAGCACACACCTGCCCCACACTCTGCAGGGCCTTGAGGTCGTTCTCAGATTTCTCATACTGCTTGTTCAGCTCCTTGAGCTGCTCCCGCACTGAAACAGGTGACAAAGGGGTTCAGCATTCATTCAGCATTCAGCCCAGCCACCTACTACTTTTGGCACTACCAACCAGCGGTGTAGCCAGGGGAGGGGCTTAGGGGGCTTCAGGCCCTCCCCTCTCCTCCCGACTCTGACCTTCCCACACCTCAAGTCATGAATATCCCAGGCACCTAAACTCCCTCCTCCTCCTCCCACTCCCCCCCAAAAAAAAATTCCTGCCTACGCCACTGCTACCAACATCTATGGCCAGAACACATAAGAGCAACGTAGTGGAACACATACAATTTTACACGACACAAACAATTCCCACCAGAATAGATGAAACAAGCCTTCAGAGGTGATACAGGCAAGTTGTTAAAGTAATTTCGATCCCTTAGAAAGTAACCTAAGCGCTAAGAGACATGGATAACTTCATCGGATCAGAGTAGGACTTCGCTATTGAGCAACTCATTGGGAGTAAAGCGCTACGCGGTTACGCAGTCACCGTTTCGATGTAAGTGCGACACGGCACCAAACACTTTTGCTGATTGCAAGTTCTAATAACGGTCAGGCGATGCGAGGAACACTCGCGACGAGCGTCAAAGGACGGTATTTGAAACCTTCGTGAATCAGCAAATTTCCAGCCGGGAGCGAGGCGTCCCTGCCTTCTCGTTTTCCAGAGCGAACAGGTCACGTCGAAGCTTCTTACTTTCTTTGAGCCTGCTCTCGATCTCCTTGTGTTCCGTCAACTTCTTTCGGTAATCTTCCAGACATTTCTCCCTCGCTTGTTCCCCGGTCGGAGGCACAGCAGGCAGAGTCGTCACCGTAGCAGCGGCCATTTTCTCAAGCGCTCTGTGTTGGTGTATGAACGCTGCGGACGTACAAAGCTCTGACGGCTCTGATCTGAGTAAAATGCAACGAGGTAGTTGGTAAAATGACGGGTTATATTTTTTGTTGGGCGGTAGCTCGCGTCATCTGAGCGTAGTAACTACCTAAACACACTGACAAAGTACCATAGAGTTCAAAGTACGTATCATTTGAGTCAGGTCATGTCTAATTTACGTAATACGAAAGTGTTATTACAAACGATTGGTCTTTCAAAGAAACTAATTTGGCATTAAAAAAAAAACTTACGTTGAGGAATACCGAAACTGAAACGATGTGGCTCTGCAGTCGCATTTACCTTCTTATTACCTTCTTGCTTTCTAAAACGCAACAAATAGTGATACAAAACAAAGCGAACAAAGCATTAAAATGTAAAACGATGGAAATACAACATTAAAAACACGATAACTGTTGAAAACCAAAAACGTTTGACTACTAGCGCTATAAAAGAAACAGACTGAAGAAAAATGTGTTTAGGTCAAGCCTTTTGAGATATTGATAGGTTGCGCGCTTTGCATTTTGTGCCGTCAGAGTTTCCCGTAGTTTTGTCTCCGATTTCTTTTTTTCCCGCGGATTATCACCGTCATTTCGACTTTCTGACACCCTGCATAAATCGCTGAAAGGTCTAAACTTCGTCAGGCCTAAGCGTCTTCTTGACTGAACCGGTGGAACGCCGTAATGAACGAGACATCTCTGCGTTAAGTGATTCGATGCAGAACAGTCGTCTGCTCCAAATCGGGTCCTTCATCGACAGAACACTGAACGTTCTCAGAATCATGACGTAGCTACGGAAGAATCTACCGATGGCCATTTAGATCACCGAAATAGTAAGCTTCGCTTCACAAGAGTGCCCGTAGTGGGCAAATGAACATCATGCACTGTCCTGGCCTCTACTGTGGTCGGATCAAGTTGGAGAATGGCTCGATTGGCGACTGCGGGGTAAGAAGGGGTGGTTTTATTTTTCTAGTCTGCTTTGATCGGTGAACACTGACTGCCTGCGTCGGGAACTTGTGACGTCACATCCTACGTGATTATGGGGTTTTGGGGAATAGGGGAGGGGAAAAGGAAGGGGACATCGTAGCTAGGGAACCAAGGGAACAATTAGGGGTGCCCTTGCATCCCCGTGTTTTAGAAAGGGGAGGGGTACGTGGCCGGTACGCGTGTTCAACGCGTTTGTGATCTAAGTTGATTATAGACAAACACAAGGACTGAACAAACAGAAACAGTACTCTTACCCCTAACTGTAAAATATTAATAAGAAGAATCTTTGTTTGCGAAGCAATGTATATTGTGGCTCGCAAGGCTATACTCGGTCTCATTAAAAGCATGCAGTAGAGCCAAAGCTGCAGGAGAGAGAGTGTATGGCGACCTGTTCAAAGGAGGGAAAGGAGGAACTGTGCTGAGATACCCGCATTCCTTCATTCCCTCCTCTTGAACAGGTAGGAATACAGACTCTCTCCTGTAGCTTTGGCCATACTGCATAGTTTCAATGAGACGGAGTATAGGGAGTTTTCACTGACGTAATTTTGTCCCCCATTTTGTTGTTGTGAGCTGTTTGGCGTGTGCCAGAGGCGAGCATTCCAAGGATTTACATGACCCCTTAAATGCATAGAGCACAAAACGTATAGTCTCGCCACGCTGACATCTCCTCAACAGGTTGTGATGTAATCCTTCATATTAGTAAATTTGTTTGGAAAAACAAACTAACAACAAAATGGCAGATTGACGTCATCTGAAAACAACCTATAGGCAGAAAGGCAAGGGCCCCTATGTGGGAGCGTATAAGCTAGCCAGGCACCCAGAAATTTGCAGAAAAACCCAAGCGCTCGTCTTGTTTGCCTTCCTTTTTTGTCCTTCTCTATTAGCGCTTTTAATTTTATAAGTCATGAGCAAACTCACCCGCTTTGCCACTTTAGTTCTGCACTTCAGAGTTCATTGGGGTTTTTCAGGGCCATGCCAGATGTTGTACTGGTAAGCAGATAACCCTTGTTTTATTCTGCAACTCGAACGAAGAGCTACTTGTTTGGCACACTAGCAAATGCAGATGTTGACCCCCGCGGAAGCCACAGTACGCTTCATGGAAGCCACAATGGCGCCACCGTCTCTTGCAACATCAGCGCCTGCTGTGGTCAGTTTAAGAGCTAATGATATGTTCCCATGCGGAAGCGGCGGTTTACCGGAGTGCGAGAGTGGCTATGCGGCCCGCTTTTGGTACTCAGCAGAATAAATGACACTGTAATATATCTTAAAGCAAAGCGTTTCAGGCTAGGAAAGTCGTGGCGAAATGTTTCGTGCAAATAACTACAACAACCGTTTGCATTTTAAATTTTTTCTTCTTCTTTTAACTTGTAAGCATGACGTTTTAGCCAGGGAATTTTTTACGCCGCCTTGGCCTAGTAGTTTGTTCAGTTTCTAACCCTTTGCCCCTTCGCTGTGCTTTCCACATAAAAGATGCAGAGTTCCGAATCTCGTCGCAGTGCGCGATGTGGGACGGCTGGAATTATCTAAGGAAACTCTGTAGAGAATACACAGAAAGAATAAAACACATGAAGGACGAACACAGACACACTCAGTTCTTTCAATGAGCAACTAACTTGGGTGCGAACTGCACTCGCAAAGCCAACGTGCATGACTAGCGCAACACGGGGTTGCCCTGGTGATTTTGTCAACACCTGCGCCCTGAGCCTGCGTAACACGATCATCGACGAGCGAAATAGATACTACGAGATTCTTGATTTCTGCTTCATGCTTCTTTATTTCTGTAACAAATCAAGGAGCATGAATAAAGAATTGGTTAAATGCAGCTCTTAAAAAACCTTACATACATTCAGCAAGAGAAAGCTTCGATGCTCAAATACAAAGACTCAAAGCATCGGGATACCTGAGTTCGATAGTATTTGTTGTCACCGAATCCTTGATGACCTCAGATAGAAAACGTGACACTGAAAAATACACGAAACACTGACTGGCTATTCTGCCATATATTCACAGATTGTCCCACAATTTGAAGAGGGCAGCCGCAAAACTTCAAGTCCAGGTTGTGCTTCAAGTCCAAGTCGTGCTTTCGGCACCGGACAAACTAAAAAGGCTCTGCCCTAAAATCAATAGCCATCAGCATCAATGTACAGGGTGTCACAAAAGAAAATTTACACGGTCTTTTTTACCGCAAAAATAAACTAGGCATCGCCGAAAGCTCATTCTCCGCCCAAAGGTAGAACTAGAGGTCACAACCAGATGCCAAAGTTTCAGCCCGATCCAATAACTTAATCAAAAGTTATAAGTGATTTTCTGAAAAGTTCAATGGGAAAATGGAACCCATTTTTGCATGTTTTCGGTTTCTGGTGCCATAGAGCCCCATGTGTTTGAAAACTCCGTCGGCCGCCATTTTCCCATTGAAATTTTCAGAAAATTACTTATAACTTTTGATTTAGTTATCGGATCGGGCTGAAACTGTGGCATCTGGTTGTGACCTCTAGCTCTACCTTTGGGCGGAGAATGAGCGTTCGGCGATGCCTAGTTTAGTTTTGCGGTAAGAAAGACCGTGTAAATTTTCTTTTGTGACACCCTGTAGTTTCAAACATCGACTCGGATAGGCAGGGTGTCAAAGTGGAGTGATATACCAAATATCATTTACTTGCGAGAAAGTATATGTAGGGCAGTCGGGGCGATGTATTTATACAAGATTAAGAGTACATGTCCAAACACCGAAATCAACGCCAGCGGGACATCTTGCGGTGCATGTTAGAGACTGCAAACGCTCACCATTATTCAACTGCACCAAAGTTCTGCAGCGGTTCTGAGATAAAAATACTAGAGAACTGCACGACGCAGAAGTCATCCTCACCAGGGGTGAAAGATGCATGAGCGCTCCTTCAGTGACCCAAACACAAAAAGAACTTTAGTTCCTATGTAAAAATTAGTATATAAGATACACCGTAAAAAATGGTCGAAAAAAAGTGTGTCTTATACATACACCGGAAAATACGGTAGTTCCTATTTTAACCACGAGATGGTGCCGCGGGTTTCTTTGTAAACAGCAGTGCAGGGAGCGTATTTGCTGGCGTCAAGACATGGCAATCGACGACACTTGTGCAAGTGACAACTCTGATTTATCCTTCTCTTGGTGACTAGTTTGGTTGTATTTGTCTATGGCAAGGGCCTCTACGTGCGACTTGTGAGTAAAGGCTGGTTCACACGTTTGTGTTTGAGTGTGCCTGCTTAGGACGAGAGTGTACACTGATGTCATCAATCAGGTAGCCATGAAATGCTTTCAATCTGCATATAACTAGACTGGGGTTTTCGCAGCATTTGTGAGATTAAATCTATATGCTATCTATAAGAAATTGTCACCTGAAACATTGTCAGTATTATTTTGAGTCCATGCATGATAAATGAATGGCGCATAAAAAAAATTCTGGAGGTTGGTCAGGGCCAGGGTGTAAGATAGACAGGTGGGGAAACGAGAGCGAAATGAGCGACCGGATTGTGTCCCCCTCGGGTTTCTCTTTTTCTGTGGCGCCATCTATGTGGAGCACCGCGAACTCTCACTCTGGGTGGGCGACCGGTAGCGACCGGCTAAATGGACGGAGATAGTTTCTCGTGGATTTTCAATGAAGGACTGTCGTGCTCTCAGTTTATTTTGCGCACTTTCCCATAAAGTTCCCTGCAAATACGAATTCCGATTTTTTTCCTCTCGCCGCAGCGCCATCTGTCGCAAATCGAGGGTACCCGCGAGCAGACGAGTACACAATCCGGTCACGGCGCTGCGGTAGGCTTCTATGGGCCGTTTCCCCACCTGTCTATCTTACAGCCTGGTCAGGGCTATCTGTTTTGTGGGGCCAGTATGTTATCTCGACGCAAACAGTCGCAAGCGGTTGGAACGCCGTCGGTCTCCATTAAGTCGCAAATGTGTGAACCCTGTTATGTCAAGGGCTTTTCGTAGGTCATGCGAGCATGCAGACCCCGTTCCTGCAAGGTACGAAAGAATAAAAAGAACATCTCGCAAGTTACCCAAGTAGTATTGATTTTTTGCCGGCTACTCAAATCTACATTGGTCGCAGCAGTAGCTGGAATATCTTCCCCGGGCTGGGCTGGGATCGGAGAGTCAAAACTTTGCCTTATACTTTGATTGGTAGGCAGAGGAATAGCATTAAAAGTGCCACAAACATACTGTTTCGTAAAAGCGTCAAGTTTGTGGAGCCCCGTACATTGCACCTGCGTGCACGTAAAGGCTTGAGTCAGGGTTTGTGCCTGCCTAACTGCGCGTGCTCTTTTACCCACCAACTAAGATGAAAGAAGCTGCCTCACCCCCTTTTTTATTGTGCAGCTCTTCACTTATAACGGTTATTTTTTACGGCTCTTCGCGTCCGTCCGTCTGGCCACCCCAGATTAATATGAATGACAGTTTGTATGAATTGGAGTACGCTGTTGTCATCTTCTAGGTTACTCTGGAGCTGTCTTTCACTAGAGCAAAGGCTTTGCAGTATTTGCGATATCAAATGTACGTACTATCTACGATCAAGAAATGGTCGTTTATAACACTCGAAAGTTTTACGAGCCAAGAAAGAATGAATCAAGGTAGGAAATATACAGAAAAGTCTTCCACGGCTATTCGACATATGGCACCAATGTCTTCCCCTGCCAGATTTTAAGAGGCTCTAAGGCTTTGGGTCATAAGCATTCGCATGTGTGTGAACCAACCGTTATTGTTGGAGTCGTTTCCTCAAGAGGTGTTTCCGGAAGGCAACACTTCTGAAACTCAGTGCCGCGTCAATCCCTCTCCCGGTCACAGGCGTGCCCCCGGGGCTTCCGAGCGGGCCCCGACAAGCTGTGCCAGCCGTGCGTGGACCTCCCGCAGTTCTACGACTGGCTCTACCTGGGCTTCATGGCGCTGCTGCTGCTCGTCCTCGAGTGGTACATCGTAGACAAGACCACCAGGAGGCGCAGGTGAGGGGACGCCCCCACGAGCGGCACAGAGAAAGGGTGGGGGGCAGGGTGCCTCACTGTCCTTCTGCATAAGGGGTGCCACTCTTTGTAGTTCACAGTGCCGACGACGCGGGCTTGCGGCAGAAATACTAATAAATGGCCAGTAACGAAATATCTCTAAATTTGTAATTAATAGAGCGTGGTAAAGAATCTCCTATTGCTGCTCTGCATGAGCTTTCATTTACCATTCTTCATAACTGAAAGTTACAATCCACGTGGCGGTAGTGCTTCTTTGCAGCTTAGTGCGCACACTTTTTGCCCTATGGATCAAAAGAGAAAAGAACATCAAAACCTCCTTCTTCCCTCAACTTATGCCACCGGTCCGACGACCTGCGTTTGGCCATCTCTGCTTTCCCGACGTACAATATGTTTGTCCGTCTCCGCCTTTAAAAACCCCGCTCGCTCTGCCCCCGGACGTGCAGCTTCACCCCGGAGGTGCTTGCCCTGCATGCCTGCGCCCTGTTCGAGACGGTGGTGGCGGCGGTGGCGACCCTTCTGGCCACGCCGCCCCTGGGGCAGGTCCTGCTCCACACATGCAGGGTGCACCGCCTCTCGGACTGGTACACCCTGCTGCACAACCCCACGCCAGGCTACCGCCACACTCTGCGCTGCACCCAGGAGGCCGTCTACCCGTTGTAAGCGCCTGCAGCTGCTTCGCCGCGGTGCCTCAAACGCGTCTCTGGGTGATCTGTTTACTGCGTCCCCAAAAGTGCTCCCTCCATTTCCGGCCGACGATATGTCATAGAAATGCAATGTTCCCGGTGGTGTCTCGACAGTGTTGGTGGATGTGGCAGACGCACCTTCTGCGGCAGGCTGCTTTCCAGCTGGACAATCTGCCATAGAGCTAATATAATAATCTAGAGGAAAAGGTCCCGTGCATTTCGGTTGCTTCAGATTGGCGGGGCATAGATGCGGCCATTGGTGGCCCGATAGGATTACCAGCTTCCATTGGCAAGACTTTGATGTACACGAAGAAGCAGGAAGACTTCACTTGCAAGGTCTCTATCTAGTTTTTTTCTAGCTTTAGTTTGCACAATAAACTGTTTTCCTGCATTTTATAAGATAAAACAAGGTTGACAAACACTCGAGCAACTGACCTATTGTCTGCTTTTTACAGCAAAGCTGTTATGTGCCAGGATCTGGGAAAAAATGTGTCCGCAGATGTCGACAGAAAACTCCCCATGGGTCGTGGCAAGTAGGAATGAATAAAAATAAAAGAGGGGGCAACCAGTGTAAGTCAGCCTTCCTTGGCATCATTAGATAGTGAGATCCTGATCCCTTGTTATAATCTCTAGGCATCGTCCTCGAGGTTGTCCTTGAGGTCATCCTAGGCGTTGTCCTCGAGGTCATCCTAGAAGTCGTCCTTGAGGTCGTCCGAGAAGTCGTCCTTGAGGTCGTCCGAGAAATCATCCTATACGTCGTTCTCTAGGCGTCCTCAAGGTCATCTTAGAAGTTGTCCTTGAGGTGATCCTAGACGTTGTCCTCGAGGTCATCCTAGAAGTCGTCTTCGAGGTCGTCCTAGGCGTCGTCTTAGAGGTCATCCTCAAGGTCATTTTAGAAGTCATTCTTGAGGTCATCCTAGACGTCGTAAAAATAACAGCTTCGCTGGTCCTTCATCTTATCGTGAAGTAAATCTGTCACACTTTCTTGTTCTTTCTCTCGGAACACCCGATGCCAGCGCTTATGATTTGCCGCATTCTGCTCCCGTCTTAACCCCCTCCTCTACGGAAGCTTCGGCAGCCAGGAGTTGGGACGCTGCGAAGACAGCTTTGCTCGCGTCTGCTCGTGCTTTTTTGGAAGAGCCTGTACGACCAACCACCAAGATCTTGACATACGGCAGCACGACCACTGCGACTTTTGTGACGTCATTTGTTGCCGCTTCGGCACGTCTTTCGATTCATGGGCAAAATAGGATGCTAAACACACCGGTCGGAGGTGCATTCCAGGCATCATAGTTTTACGAGTCGATCGCGGCAACTGTACGCTGCGACTCGGTTCTTTTTTCTGGGATGGTTTGCTCTCGTTGCAGGGCGGTACTCTCGACTAAAACAAGTAGTACCGAGTCTGGCTCAGAGAATGTTTGCCGCGCATATGGACCGCTTCACATCGTTGCATTTGAGTGTAACCAAGTGCGTTGCGACTGCGTGTGACCTCTTATGGTGAGAGAACACACCAATCTCATCTGTTGGGTAGCCCTGGAGCACTTCTGACCCACATAAATATTTCCCCATTTTTTATGCATCATTTTTTCACCCTGGACTTGCAACGATTCTGACAATAAGCAACCATTTCTCGTCAAAGGTGCATAGATGGTGCATAGATTTCATCTCGCAGATATACTACAAGAACCTTCGGTCTAGCTTTACATAGCCGGTGTGCCAGTGTGTTCTCTCATCATATGCACTCACAAGCGGTTGCTATGCAGCCGGTCAGAGAAGCAAGTGTGTGAACCAGCCTTAACCGTCCTTACCAAAAGACCTAGCCACCGACGGAAAGAAAATGGTGGAGGTGTCACGACCTGCGCCACACTGTTTCAGGTTCTCGATGGTGTTCGTGTTCTACGGGCTGTGCCTGGGCAGCCTGCTGCTGGTGCGGCCGCTGCTGGTCTACCGGGTGTTCTCCAGTCAGGGCAAGAAGTCCATCTTCCTCACCATGTACGCCATTCCAGCGCTGGCGCTGCTGCACGCCACCATGGGAGGACTCCTGTGTGAGTGCAGCCATTGGAACTCTGTGCACCATACTCTGTTTCATGTTAACTTGGCGAAATGTGGAGGCTGCAGCCGCCGTGATCTAATAAGAGCGTCGGAGTGAGGCACGTGACAACACGTCACGGGAGCATGTGTGTCACTGTGCCAAGAAACTGGCTGTCGTCTGCTGGCCAAGAGTCGTCTGCTGCAAAACCAACCGACTTCGAAAGAACGTCAACCGCCGCAACATTGCTGTCTGCTAGAGTAACTAGTTCTTTGGAAATAGTTTATGAGACATCCATACGCTCTAATTACCCGCGGATCTGTGGCAGGTGCTAATGCCAGGGAAATGTTTCGAGTGGAAACAATCGATTACTACAGCTGTGATCGTCAGCGGCCACGGCTCTACAAGGAGAAAAAAGAAAATTGAGAGCGGATACAAATGTGGAATCACTAATTGGTTTAAATATTTGGAACTCATAAATTCGTCAATATTTATTCCCTATTTTGAATATATTTTCTATGGACATGGAATCACGCGAGTTCAATTGCTGTTAAAAGAGAAAGAATCCTAGAACTACTTCTTGTCGCCGGATGGCGCCGTCGCTGCGTGTAACGTAGAGTTCCTGTATAGGCTCCCTACGGGAGCCAGAGTTGCGCATTTGTTTTCTCCGCGCCGCCACGCCGCTATTCGCCGAGATCCATCACGTGAGGAGCAAAGCATCCGGTGGCGTGCAAGAAAGCCACCTTTACGGTCGCTCCGCCGACGTTTCTCTTGCCCCGGCGTATGCTTCCCTGCTTTCCGCCTCCTTTTCCTCCTCTCCTGTTTTCCATGCGCGGCGGTGCGCGCGGCGCCGCTATTCGCCAAATTTAGTCACGTGAGGAGCAAAGCATCCAGCTCGTGCGGGAAAGCCGGCGCTACGGCCACGCGCCGAGGCTGAATGCGCAACTCTGCTACCGTAGGTAGCTATACAGGAACTCTAGTGTAACGAGGCCTCCGTGGTCTTGACCACGGAGCATTATCACGCGACTCGTTCCGACGCTCTTATTGGGTTGCGGGTGCCGCAGTCTCCACAGTTCGCCGAGCAATCGTAAAACAGAGTACAAACCTAGGGACACACGTTGCACTGTCTTTAAAGGGACAATGCAACGATTTTTGGACTTTGGCGAATTAACTCCAGGAATTAGTCTGCATTACCCATCCAGATTAGTTTAACGAAGCTCTCGAGCGTGCACGTCTTAGACGCACTTTCTCAGCTCTCGGAAGCACAAGTTACCGGCGCGATCGTCACGCTTGCCCTGCTCTTTCTCGTTTCAGACTACTCGTTCCCCTACATCGTCATCATCCTCTCCGTGATCTCCATGGCGTCCCACTTTGCTTTCCGGCTCGACCAGGTAGGCCTGGCAAATCCATTCCGAAGTTTGTCCAGGAATCGCTAGCGGCTAGTTCATACATTTGCATTTGACTTTGATCAACTGCGTTGAAGCTATTCGCTATGCTTCAGTGTAACGACACTTTAGCCATCTTAATGCCTAAAATCACAATTGGCAGTCCCCTGAAGTTTCGTCCAGAATACCAAGAAAGAGTTTTCCGTCCTCCGGAAATGTTAAAACAGTCTGCAACGGTGCAAACCGATATGCGGGCAGAAACTGAGGGAGAGGAGGAGACGGGGACGCGCAGGGACGCTAGAAGGCCGAGCTCCGACTGGAGTGGTTGGTGGTTAGAGCAGATCTAGTTGCCTTTGTCTCCACTGCACGTCTTCGAACACGTTCGAATGCAAGTGCCACACTCCAGACGCCGGCAGAACACCGGCATCCGGCGTTTGTCTTTCGCCGCTCTTACCGTCTCCCATCGTCTGCTCTCATCATCATTAAAATAAAAGTTTAATGATGATGATAACAAAACAGGGCAATTCTAGCTTCGGCAGTCGTTGCGTGTGAATGCGGTAGGCTTGTGTTGCTAGAGTCGTGACGTCGCGAGATGTTGGGAAAAACTGCCTCAAGTTCACACACTTGCATTTGCTTAGGATCAAGCTCTTGTGACTTCTTACTGCTCTTACGACGAGAGAACAGACTTGCGCGCTGACCCTATCTTGGTTCTAAGCAAATGCAAGTGTGTAAACTCGAGGCAAATTTTCCCAACATCTCGACGTCACGGCTCTAGCAACACGGGCGTGCCATGTTCACACGTAACGACTGCTGAAGCTCCAATTGCGATGCTATCATTGTCATTCAAATTTTCATGTTCTTCCACTATTTAGACACACAGTTTCACATAAAAGTCATGTTTTTATATTTTTATTGGCATTGAGAACACTGTCTGATCTCCCTGAAACCATTTTGTCGCAAAAACGATCCTTTGAAAACCCGAACCAAGTTAAAGGAACGCTAACTGGGTATTTATGCTCGCCAAGCTTTTTATTTGTACATGAAATATGAGAGCCCACTGCCCAAAACACAATTTGCGGCTCAAAATTAGATTTTTTCTTCCCGAACCCGCCGACCGAGAACCGGCCAGTTTGAGTTCCGCTCACTGTCTTCTCTCTGGTCACAGTCCGTTCAGACAGACGTACCAAATATAGTCAGAGTCGTGGGTCATTGAAGGAGCACACTCAATATTAAAAATAGAAAGAAATATGAAACTCATCTTTTCTGGCTTGTAAAACACTACAAATACATTGACTGAAAAAAAGAAAAAGAGTTGCATAGAGTACCGGAAGTACACATACTACATAATTCCCAGCATGGCGTCGTATCGCTGGAGTCGCGGGCTAACGGCTGGATGAAGCAGACTAAGCGATGGCGGCAGACGACGGGCAAGGGACCTCTACTTCAGAACCCTTGTTTGCAGTACCGGTGAATCTGTCTGGCTTCGAAAGAGAAATGTTTTACCGATCAAAACAATTTGGATTTATTCCGTACGACGCGCCCTACGACCAAACTGATTCGCACTAAGATATCGCCAAGTCGTCACCCCTTCTCCTGGCTGAAGACGTTGCTTGCATTACGAATGCAAATTGTTAAGAGCTTGAAAAATGCACAAACGTCAAGCACGTGCTTGACGTTTGTGCGTTTTTCGTTTGCTTCGCTTGGCCCAAAAGAACAATGGAGAAAAACAATCAAAAAGAAATGTGGTCGGGTGTAGCCACATGTCTTTCGGCAACTCTCTACTTTTCTACATTTCTCCCTCCTCCCCAGTCCATATGTCGCGGCCATCAACTCTGTGCTCATGTTTCTGTTTCGGTTTCGAGCAGTTGCATTTTTTTACTTTATTAAAAGATACAAGATTGTGCAGCAAACTATTGATTGGGTAGTCTTTTGACACCATAATAAATCGCCTGGCAGAAAGTAAAAAAAAATAAATCTTTACGGGTGTTAGTATTCCTTTAAACTCCATATTCAGTTGTCATCATCACCACCATAGGCTGAAAGTTTTCAATTTCCCGGGGGAGGCCCGACAGAGACGTGACGTCAAGATCTTGGGAAAAACTGTCTTAATTTCACACACTTGCATTTGCTTAGGACCAAGTTCTTGCGACATCTTTCTGCTCTTATGACGCGCTTGCACGCTTACACCATCTACGAGGTGACCCTGGAACTGCATTTCCCTAGAGTGTAGCTTTTGTGGTATTTGCGAAATCAAATGTATGTACTATCTACGAGAAATGGTCATTTATAAGGTTGTCCAAAGTTTTTTGAGCCAAAAAGAAAAGAATTATGTGCGAGAGAAATAGAAAATATCGGGAAACTGCAAGTGTTGCACAGCACCCCTGTACCTCTCTGCTAAGCTATGTTGACTTCGCGGGCCTCTCCCACCTCATCCGACTCTCTTCTCTTACCCTGATCATCCATTCACCCCTCCCCATCAAGGCTAGATGATATCTATCAAGCAGCCCTGATATTACCAACTAACGTTATTTTGCTCATTAGAGAGGACACCGTCATTACCAGTCACGATGGTGTAAGCAGCCTTTAGACTTTTGCAAACTGCTGTTGGGTGCACGCATCTTGCGAGGATGGAGAAGCAAAATCTTAACCTCCCTCCCTTTCTGATCCAGTCGATGAGCTCACTGTTCTCCCAGACCATCAAGGAGCCTCGCAACCTGACGATCCTGGTGGGGCACTGGTTCCTGCACGCCTACGGCATCGTGGCCATCACCCAGCTGCAGGAGCCCACTCTGCACTGGGCCCTGCTGGCCGTCGTACCCTTCCCCTCCCTCTTTTACGTGCTCACCTCGAAATTCACGGATCCCAGCAAGCTGCATGCGGAGTGACAGGCAACCAAGAGCGCGCCGTTAGACGTCGCGCCGTTGTTTGTGCAATGACATGCCACTTGCCGCGGAACTTTCGTGTTTTTTTTTGTCGCTTCTACGGCCACCGAGAGAATGGGAACGGCGTTTCTTTCGGACGCCTCCATCCCACCCAGAAGACGAGGCCACGATGTCGTTAGTGGATCTTTGACCTGCCCTAATTACACGCCGAAGTTTGACAAGAGATACCACGGACCAGCAGACTCGTTCGTTGCGGGACGCCGCGGGACGCACCAACAGCGATGCTGACGCAAGCAACAGTCCGTGGATCCACTGGTTATGACGCTTGGGGGGGGGAGTGAGGCTTCGTCTTCTAGGTGGCGTTGCTCCAGCGCACGCTATGCTTGTCTTCCTTTGCGCGTACACTCGAAGCTCATGGTAAGCAGAAGCGTCATCCATGATGGGAAGATCACGCCAGAGGTGGGACAACCGAAGAACCTCCCTGCCGTTAAAATCCTGTCACTGACCGTTGGCAGTATATACATTTCTTTTAGTTAACATGTAGTCATAAACATGCTGCGGGACTTTATTCAAGTGCGGTACAATCCTCGTCCGGTATGTTGGCTGACGTAGCAATCCTTCGTCGCAAACGTATTAGTGCAGAGTGTGGGTGGAACTGCTGTGTCGCCGTAGTAAACCTTTGGCGAGTGATGTTGATGTCCTCGGTTCTTTCTGTTTTAGTTCCTGGTGATGACAGTATGGAATCACCACGGTGCCAGTTAGTACTCGGATTGGGATGGTTCATGAGGACTCGAAACGTGCGATGAAGTGTAATTGGCCCTTTGATTCGCTAATGCCCTGGTCTTACTTGAGCGACATACCAACAACAACGTACCTCGCACGTGCCCCGTGCGCTCAGCGTTGTCCTTAGCAGGTTTACAGCCTCTCGGGGCTTGTGATGTAAGCATGAGAGATTGCAAGTCTGCCAAAGATGCTTGCGCATATGCTTGGGGTTGGTCAACATGGGTTAATAGACCTTTCGCAAAAATCCCCAAAGTCCGCAGCATCTACCATATGGGGGGACACTGAAAGGAGCCAGAGGGTAGCACAGTCGCTTGTGTGCGCCTCCCTGCTTACCGTGGCCTTCAAGGTCTCCTCTGTCGTTTGCTTTAATGAACCCACCTTTCCCGGCATTCCTTTCGGTGCCGTAGACAGCGCTGTATGCTTTGCAAAAGGACTAAGTTGCCGTTTGTTGCTCAAGTGGGACTAGGGCATGAGAGGTGTTGGAATCAGAATTAGAAAAATATATAATTTGCCTTCCTATATTTCAGTGAGAAACTAAAAATAAAAAGAATACACCTAAGCATTCCTTTTGAGTTGTGATTGCGAAAGCATGCAAGCCGCTCATCCGCTCGCTTGTTCGTTTGCTGCATATTTTTCGTCACCGGTCGGCACGTGTGCTCCCCTGGTGACCTTGGACGCTCAGCGCAGCAGCCAATGTAACCGAAGGAAACTATTTGCCATTTTCGCGCTTCAGACGGATGACATCAGCTCACTCCATGAGACAGTTAATGCTTTCGCATTAAAAATAATCTATGGCATTCAGCTCAGTCCCTAAGGCAGGATGACATAAGCGAACCCAGAAATGGGCTGTTAAATAAGTAATCAGTTCTTCAGTTGGCTTTTTTGCAATGGCCCTTTATTTTCTTTCTACTCGGTAGCACGAACGAGCTCGGAAGCGACCACGTAGTTCGCACCATGACCACCATGACCACGACCACAAGGTTGGCGCTGTGGTCAGTCTCTGAACATCATCATCATCAAGTTTCAAAATGGCTGCTCGTGACCGGAAAGTTTGCGGCGACTAAGAATTCTCAGTCCCGATATTTTTCTTCATAATATAACCCTTTCTTCTTCACGTATCACCGGCTTATCAAGCGCCGCCGTGACGTAAGTGCCTCCACAATACACGGAGTGTTTTCAAAGCGACGGTATCCTGCGCCCAAGCCCGGAGATAAGATTACGAAGATGCACCATCCCCCCGGAGCGCTTTGGACTCCTAAACAAAATGAACGGTGAATCCAGCTTCCCCCAGGCATACGGTTAGTTGTAGTCGTTATTTAGCGATCTCGACAACCTCTTTCGCAAATAATTTGTTTCTCCCCCAGATCAGCTTCGCAACTCGAAAGCCGTGTGTGACGGAAGCGTGCACACGTGATAAGTGTTGTGATGATGGTTTGCTCTTCTCCCGGGCCAAGTAAAGAAAACAAAATGAATCTAGCATATTCGCTCACCGAGAACGACAGAAAATAGTTTGATAAAGGGCGTACAAAAGACGAAGCTAAGGGATACGCTCGGTTGGTTATCGTCAGCTCGCGCTAACGCAGCGTTTGTCGTGGCGATTGGAGATCTCGGTTGAGTTAAAATGTTTAAATATTTATTTTTGCGCTATGTTTGAATATTAAGCAGCATCAGGTGCGCGGCCTCTATTTTTTTTATATTTCCTTGCGTTACGTATTTTGTTGCATTTGCATCACACGAAGAGAGAGAGATAATGAAAAGAAAAAAAAAGCAGAAGCCGTTAAGAAGCCTGTTGTGGTGTCTAGCTCCATGTGCTCTAACCACTTGCAAAAGAAATCGTTTAAACTATAAAAGAAAAAAAAGTTTGTTTGAGAAGTTTTGTTTGATGATGTGCACAGGGTGTGTAAGTACTACCCCGTTCACACGTGCAGTATAAAAGTTCCTTTAGCATAGGTCCCTATGTAAAGGGAGATGGAGTTCGTAATTAACTGGCGCACAAAGGTCCCTTTCGCTAAAGGAGGGTTTAGAATAAACGGAGCTCGCAGACCTCCCTTTACAGCTACAGGGAGTAGCCTCGGACCCATGAATTCCAAATAAAAATCTAGCATATATGCTTCTGCTTTATTTATTGCACTGTAATAAAAAGAATATTTGTGAGGCAAAGATTATAAAGTAAACGTAAGCACAAACTTGATGGAAGACGGTGGCGACAAATTTATACTCGTGACAGCGGGCAGCAGCTCTGGCCCGAACGCAATGGCGGCTGTACGTGCTTTGAGTAGCGGGCAGACCCTAGTTTCAGTAGCGACGACGAGTCGTCTGCTTAGCCTGCCCAGAGCATTTTTGGACCATGATTTCGCCTGGTGGACGTGTGAACTTGGGTGCCAGCGCTAGCGGCACCAGTAAGAAAGGTCCTTGAGTTCACTGGTCTGGGGCAGAAACATGGTAGCTAATTCGTCTCTGGGAGGACAACATATGCAAACTCCAGCCACAAAGGAGGAATGCCGGAGTGTACGAGACGATCCGCCTTAATGGACCCGGAGGCAGACGCAAAGTAGCAGAGCAAACTCGGGGAAACGCGGAAAGTTTTTGATCAAGTTTCACACCTTGTGTACCTCGACGACTGCATACCTCCTCTGGATTTGGATCAGATAACACGGTGGGCTCGGATAGATTGAAAGTAGTTCGAGTTTCGTTTATTGCTCTGGACAAAAGTTTGCACCCCTTCCTTCCCCCCCCCCCCCCCCCCCCCCCCCCCCCACCGGCTCTTGGAATCTTCGGGGTTTTGTTTGCGGCTCTTAGGCCAAGTCAGCCTGGCCACCCCTGTTCTAAAGCAATCTTCGGTGAGAATCAGATCTTTCTTGACGAAAGGAAAGATTTTCCCCCCGATTGGCACTTTTTATCTAAGAAAGTGTTTTCTCCCGTAATGCGCGTCATGGTATCACTCGTCACGGGCTCAAGTTGAGCTAGTTTGGTCATTGCTTATGATGGGCCAGCTGATAAAGAATACACCATACAGAAAAACACATAAGTATCACTCACTTTCCACTCTACACTGTGCTGTCACTCACGTTTACAGGCCGCCTTGGCCGAAATGTAGATCCGGACCCACGGACAGCCGCATCCGATCCGCATCCACATCCGATCCGCAAAATCAGATTAATGTTTATTCGCATCCGCCAGTTTACTGCTGATACCTCCTGGTAATCTGTGGATATCCGCTGGTAATCTGCGGATATCCAGAACTCTACCATTAGTGTTAATAAATCGATACACGGATAGATAGAAACTATAAATGTAGTCCAGACAGTTTGAAACCGCAGGCAGGCAGCACTTTACTAACACTGTAGTTATGAAGTTATAAGAAGAAGAAAAAGGAGGGGTGTAGGATTTCTGTGTGGTCTTGAAAACTGTGTTTGTCTTTTTGACCTTGTCTAATCCAAAACACACCTCTTACTTCATAAGGCTAGAGAAAGGTTGCCTGTTGTTTTGGGTAAAAAAGATTTGTGAAGAAAGATCTTACATTTTTATTGATCTATTTTTTTAATGGCAGGATTAACCTTCTGAGCTGTTTAGTTTCGGTCGGACACAACAACAGGGTCGCTTGCATTGCAAGTCCCATAAAAAGACTTCCTAAAACGGTGTTTGTGTTGTTGGAGACATCTTTTTACAGGTTGCAAACTAACGACAGAGTTTCTTTTATTCTTTGTTGTTGTAAGAGAGAAACCACATAACAGTTTGTGTTCCAAAAGATACCAAAAAAACAAAGTCAACATATATTTTCTTTTATAGTGAGACGCCAAAGATGCTTCATTCAAAGAGACCTTGACCTAGATGTGTAACATCGCTAGCTGGTGTGCTGTGCAAAACGACAGACACAACAAACTCTGGCAAAACACAATCATCCACCCTCTAACGAGCTTGCAGACAAACTGTCATGAAATTGACGAAGCAGTGTCGACATTACGCTTCCGCTGCCTTGTTCCCACTAAAATGACAGCACTGATTTCTTCCGAGCTCCGAGGCTCTTCATTGAGGCTTGCTTACTTTTTGTTTTTGTTGTCCTCGAGCGAGCCGGAGCTTTCATTTTTGGCAGATCTCCAGTACTGGCTCGTCCCCTGTCCAACTAAACTTCCCAAAAATAAACCCTCGGTGCCCCGCTTTCTCCCTTTCTTTCCTCCTCTCTCAAACCCAACGTGGCTTGGTTGTCCTTGCGTCAACAGACGCCGATGGCAGGACTCTCAAGGACACCCGGCCGCCCCGCAGTCTGCCGCAGTGCGAGGGTGATCGGAAATGGCACGTCCGCTGTCCTGAGCCACATCCACAGCCGTATCCACAGCCGGATCTGCAGCCACAAGTCATGTGGCCCAACCTGTGTCGTCTGATACGCCCACCCGTCGTCCTTCCCTTCCTCCCGGGACGGGGCCCAGCGGCTAGCGGCATCTGCTTGTCGGGTCCGCCAGCCTGGTTTGCGTCGCGCTGGGCAGCACCAGGTGGGTGTGCGCCAAACCAGACGATGATGTTAATGACTTTATTTGTCTTAAAACAGATTGGAACGCCCTCGGGCGAGGGCACCATTGTCGCGGCACATATGCGAGCTGCACTAGAGCCACCGAACGAGTGTCAACACTCTAAGTGCAGCTTTCCTAGTGGCACCAGGGATCGGTGGAACCACCCAACAGCTGCAAAGTCAATGTGGTTGAAAACCAGTGCAACACAAACCTTCAATCGTCTTCCTCAGCATCGTTTTGATGCGTCTGCTGCATTTTTTTTTTTAGTCAGATATACAGGCTTCACATTGGAGTTACTTTTCGGCCATATTGTACCGAGAAGGCTTATTAAATACTACACAACGACTCGTTTGCAGCCGAATGAACTCCCTTCGGAAGAAAGGGTTGGCCTTTGCCACACGACAGCTAGCCACTCCTACCTGGCACCACCACGCGGGAATCATACACACTTTTCCATTGGCCTCCTTTGCAGTGCACGTGCTATGAGTTGACGAAGGCGGCGTAGTGTATGTTGCAGGTCCTGGCTGAATATCGCAGTTGATTAGATTTGTCGGAGTATATGTCTCAGCTAATTATCAAAGAGTAACCTCTTTTATTTTTGTCTTTTATCTTTCCTATAAAGAACCTACGGTTCTTTGTAGGAAAGAAAACAGACTCGCAATAAACTGTCTGGCAGTTATGTTACTGTTTGAAAACTACTACATTGCACATGTGTATGTTTCTCTTCAAATTATAATGGCAAAACATTGCCATGTTGCTCTGAGATTTTGACGTGGAAGTGAAATAAACCATATGCATCCCGTATATTTTGTGGTTAGTGTAAACATGCAAATAGAGGCCACCTTGCATAGGCCTTATCATCTTTCTTACTACTTTCTACAGGAAAAGAACTGTTTTCTCTTGTAACATCAAACAAAATCAGACCCCATGTGACCAGTAAAATGTGCTGGAGCATAATGCATGGCACTAGGCGTGAATGGATAACAATGTGCAAAAATGACTGGTGTAACTTCGCTTTAACACGTTTTAGCTGGCCTTTCCTTCCTGCGAAACGTGCAAGTCAAAGGGACGGTGCAACAATATTGGGTGGGAATGTTAGTCACTTCGCACGAGCTTATGGGCACTAGTGCGACCTACACGCACTCGCCCGCAATGCCACTAACCAAGAAGCTTCTTTGTCGTCACGTAATTTCAAGGGTAAAGGCGGTCATTTTCCTTCAGTCTCTCCTTCGGAAAACTTGGTGACGACGTTGTGAGGATCGTATTGTTGGCGTTGCCGACGGCGCAGTCCCTAGAATTTTGTCATCACACTTGGCAATCCCCGCGCCGACAATCTTTAAATGCGGCTCACACAGTGGACACAAGCACTGTGTGAGCATTTGATTTCGGCCCATGATAGTCAATAGCACGACAAGAATTCGGGTGGTGCCCTTTGTTCAGTCGCTGCAATGACGACAATAGCCGAGTCATGACAACGTCCAAGACTCAGCGCGTGTCCTGTGCTTTGCCAGCCCCAGCACTTGGCAATAATAAACATTGGCGGTATATAATAAGCTCTAGATTATGTAGCCACTTGTTCTATCTGCGAGTTGAGGGGGTGAACACCGCTTGTTTTTCGCTAATTTTTCTTGCCACTGCCATTGCTTGGAGAGAGAAACTTGCATGTGTTCCATGGGTTACGATTGTCGAGGAATAATTCTGAGCAGTATTTGCTGAAAGTGCAAAAATTGTTGCATAGCCCCCTTTGACCGACATTTCTTTCTCGTAATGCTTCAATTAGAGTTCTGCAACGTCCGAAACTCCTCTCTCGCCTTGACCGACACGAACCCGGCGTTTCTCGGGCGCAGGTGTGGGGTCGAGGCCGCATGCGAACGTGCCGAACCTCGCCATGTCGGCCGACCCGGCGCCGACGTTGGACTCCGGTAGGAGCAGCACAGCGCCGAGCAAGCGCCCACCGCCAGACGGTGCGCTCGCCAACCTTGCCGACTCCAAGCAGAAGCGGCTCTCGGAAGAAGACCGGCGGAGCTGCGTGGCCGGAGGTGGCGGCGAGGACGCCGGCAACCACACGGAGCAGACAACGACGGACCGTTACGACCCCGTTGCCGCAGCCGGTGAGGTCGCACGGCGCCCCCGCCGACTGAAGCCCCTCTATCCTGGGAAAAGTGGCGCCATTCATTGTTGTGAAAATGCTCGAGTCACGTGCCGCGCGCCATTTTTGGGTAGAACATGGCATCTGAAATCTAGCTCAGTGTTGCGCTGTGCCGCCATGATCTTCCCAAGGGCTGCACGTGCCTCGTGCATCGACGCACCATGAGATACTTTAGAAACATGAAGGGGCTTTACTGCCGACGGCACAGGCTCTCATTATCCGTGGAGTGGCTCCTTCAGATCGTCTTGCGCCTCTGCAAGCAGGACTCCACGCACTCTCTGTGCCATACGGGGAAGTCGACAAAAGATCATGCACGCGAGCCCGAACATATTTTTTGTTTGTCTTCATTTTAGAGCGCAGCTCTTAGGCGCCCATTTCTGGCTTGAGCAGCGTCGCCGTTGGAGAAACCACACGTTGCATTATGGGATGTTTCCCATAATGACGTCACGAGGGCAAAATTTACCCTCTAAATATGGCGGCAAATTTAGTGGGAAAACTTTACCCTCGTGATGCCACTCAACCCGGGAAAGTTTCCCCGCTAAATTTAGCTTACAGATTTTCCTGCTAAATTTCCTGTCAAAATTAGTGGGAAAATTGTACCCTTGTGACGTCACACATGATTCTCCCCTCCGCACCTTTTCCTCCTCCTCCTCAAGAGTTGCGTTCTAATTTGGCATTATAGAGAATCGTAAATGTCTTTCATTTTTTTTTATATAATACTCCTCAACATGTAAGGGAACCATAATCCGAAAAGATTTTGCAAAAAACAAAATATTTGAAGAGAAAAAATTTTAAGTGCGCCAAAACGGCATGTTTTATTTTTAAGTTTTCTCTTACGTCATATTTGGTGACACCTACTGCGCAAACTACAAATATGAGAAATCTAAAATATTTTGCACTTATAATTGATCATGGGAACTATTGAATTTAAATATATACAATATTGTGAAGGTTATATATTTCACATCAAAAATGTGGAAACATGGCTCCTCTGACGTTTTGTAACTAGATTTGAGAGTGGCTATGTAAAGAAATTTAATAGGTACAACCTTAAAATTTGTCACATATTCTAAGTAAAACAATTTATGGCATTCCATATGTATACACCAACTCATGTTTACAAACAAACCGGAGCGCCCCTAGCGGACGTCACCGGCGCCGCGCATGCGCCGTGGATGGTGGGCAAGAAGCCCGCCGTCGCCCATAAACAAACCATTGAATTGCGTTGTTGTCGGCGTCGGTGGGAGGTCCCCGTGCTCTTTTTCGCGTTGGAATTGTTGATTCTACGTCCTCCTAACAATGTCTGACTTCACAGCGGCTTCAGCGGCTTCAGCAAAACTATCGAGGCAAAACTTTGCGTGAATAATGTGACTTGCGGCGATTCATTTCACGTGGACGCCGCAGAATGGGCGCTATAAAACCTGACTCCCACGTCGAGATTCTGCTCGCTATTTTCAGTCGCGACGTCGCTCGGACTGCAAAAGCGTGGACCGTAGCTGAGATGGTGGACATCGATACTGAAAACCTCAAGTAGAATCGGGCATTACAAGTCGGTGATGGCCACTGGTAACAATGATCAACAACTTCTTGTATCTGTTTACACTTAGCCGACTTACCCCAACCACCCTTCAAAAGTGTTTTGAGGCCTGCACTTAGTTCTTATCGCAATTACCGGGTCAATGTTTGGTTTACGAGCCGCTGCTGTTTGAACGAACTGACGACAAAAAGCAGCCAAGTTTGAAAGAGCAGACGACAGTTGGAACGCACGCGCAATGGAGTACGGGCAAGAAGCACCGCGTCCCGCGTCAACAAACCATTCGAATGTCACGTTGTCAGCGTCTGTGTGAGTCTGCATACTCTTTTTCGCGTTGGAGTTGTCGATTCTACGTCCTCATCGCAATGTCTTACCACTTTAATCGCCTGAGCGAAATCATCAAGGCTCGTTACGCTGCTAAACTTTGCATAAATAATTTGACGTGCGGCGATGTATTTGCATGGCCGCCGCAGAATGGACGTACAAAACCATGATGAGACTCTTCTAGCTATTTTCGGTCGCGACGACCCTCGTGCTGCAAAAGTGTAGAAGGTAGCGGCGATGATCGACGTCGATACTGAAAATCGGAAGCGGGAACAGACAAAGCGTAACAAGTAGGTGATGGCCACCGGTACCAATGATCAACATCTTGTATCTACTGCTTACACCGAGCCTACTTAAGTCTTTTGAGGCCTGCAATTACTTCTTATTGCAATCACCGGGTCAAAGTTTGGTCTACGGGCCGCTTTTGTTTGAACGAGCAGACGATAAAAAGCAGACAACTTTGAAAGAGCAGACGAAAGTTCGAACGATCAGGCAGCCGTGTGAATTTGAAGACGCACTGAATCCGTGGGTGGTCCGGACAACTTGGGGGTTTTCTCTCGGTCATGTTGAAACAAAGCAAATACATCTGGCGACTACAAATTATGGCCCGCACACGCAATCGTAGTTCGACAGCGTCAGGTTTGCCCTTTTCACGGCTGCTATCGACGTTGTCGGACGAACGGAGGGTGCAAAAACACATGAAAACTGATCTTCAAACCTTCCCAGACACTCTTTGTAAAGCCCCCATCGCAGCATTTTGACGAAAAAGCAGGTTTTTTTCTCGTTTCTTCCAAAGGAACACAGGAATGCATGTCTGGCACGGCGACTTCTGCCCACCGCCCCAGACCGGAAGTGCGTCCGGCGCGCCACCACCGCGGCGTGACGTAGGAGAGTTGAGTTGGTGTATATGACATAAAGTTTATTGTTTTAGCTATTAAATTCTTTTAGATAACTGCTCGCAAATCTAGTGGCAGAACATCAAAGGAGTCCTATTTTCACATTTTTGATGCGAAAGAGATAACCTCCACAATGCTGTACACATTTATATCAATAGTTTCCATGATCCCATAAGCTCCCATAAGTGCAAAATATCTTAGATTTTACATTTGCAAAATCTTTTTTTTTTTTACATTCCCTACACATGTTGAGCAGTAACATATAAAAAAATTTACAAAAACAAAAAATACGCTCGGACTCACGTGAACCCATCTGTTTTCTTTTTTTTTCTCATAATTCTTTTTTTGCTTGAACTTTTTTTTAACAGTGTTATAAAGGGCAATTTCTTGTAGGTAGTATGTACACTTGATTTAAAAAGATACCGCAAAACCTTCGCTCTAGTGAAATGCAGTTCCAGGGCCACCGCGTAGGTGGCGCCAGCGCGCCACTGTGTTTTCTAGAGAGCCCAGATTCTAGAGAGGGTCTGTCCCAAACCAAGGAATTGTCTGCAATTTAATGGCGGACGCCTCCTCCGGAGGTTGGTCGCAAGCGCCCGTGCACCGCATCGTTGCGTGGCGGGAAGGAAAGCAGGCGGAAAGGCGGAGACGCTTGCAGACGACCAACGCTTCCGGCACCTCTTCGCAGCTCGTACTGCAAATGCGGCCCATAAACCATATGACCTTTATTGAGGATCGAGCGGTTGGACGCCCTCCATAAGAAGGGCTCTCTAGCGTTCTTTCGTCGTTAGAGATTGCGAGAACTCGTTCGTAAGCAAATGCCAGTGTTTGAAGGGGCCTTTAGACGTGGCTCATAAAGTGGCACTTGAAGTGGCGCGAGCGGGCGTCTCACGTCGCCGCCGCGGCGTGCCCGCAGGGGCGGTGCGCCAGAAACTCCGGCAGAGCCGTCGGTGGTGCTTGACGGACTGCGGCCGCCTGGACCAGAGCGGGGCCCGGACGCGGGAGCGGGGGGACCTGGAGTTCACGCTCATGTCGTACAACCTGCTCGCCCAGACGCTGCTCGAGGACAACCTGTACCTGTACCAGCACTGCCCCGAACAGCTGCTCGACTGGCCCCTGCGCAGGGACAACCTGCTCGCCGAGCTGCGCCAGGCCGATGCCGACGTGAGGCGGCCCGCGATTGTTAGACGGGGTGTTTGCGACGGCGCATCCGCCCTTCGAAGTGATCGGTTTCTTATTGTATCGCGCTATGATCTAGTAAGGAGGTGCCCTAAGGTGGTGCAATTGTTATTTGGAAGTATGCAGATATGAGCTTACGTCTTTCTTCAAAATTGTGAGTTAGCAGTGTGGGACATTTTGGTGCTTATTAAAACCTCAGCTGAGTCTGAAGAAAAGAAGCCGTTTACAACTCCCTGTAACGCCGAATTAGAGCGCAGCTCTTGAGGAGGAGGGAAGGGTACTGAGGGGAAGGTATATCCTTCCTCCCCCTCACCTCCTCATCCTGTCTGCTACTCCGAGCGGCGGCGCCGTCGCTTCACGAGGGTCACTTGACCTCACGGGGGTCACGTGACGTCACCGGGGTCATGTGACGATGACGACGACGTCATCAGTGATGTCACCAGTGATGTCACTGATGACGTCATCATCACTAATGACGTCATCAGTGACGATGCCGATGACGTCATCAGTGACGATGTCGATGACGTCATCAGTGACGTCACTGATGACATCATCAGTGACGATGCGGATGCCGATGACGTCATCAGGGGCGATGTAGATGCCGATGACGTCATCGGTGACGTCACGCGTCCCACAATGCATCGCGCAGTTACGCTGACGGCGACGCCACTTAAGCCGGAAACGGCCGCCTAAGAGCTCCGCTCTTAAAAGTTATTTTCTTCCTAGGTAATCGTGCAACTAAGCCTTTTTTATTTTTTTTAATTTATGTATAGGATACTGCAGCTCAATATTTTGACCCAATCAGCAATGGATGTCATGTTTATATAGAGCTAGATTAGCAGATATTATACGATGCAAAACAAGAGGAAAATGGGAGCGAGTGAAAAATATATATATAAAAAAAATATACTGTATGAAACATGCACAAAAGGTTACTCAAAACATTTTAAAATGCCTGATATAATACAGTGCAAATGGCATTCTGGGGTGTTTTGGTTTTTATTACGATAGAAAACCGGTAGGCAGTTCTATTATTTTTCGGAAGTATAAGGATATTTTTCCTATAAACAACCATCCAGCTAATCTTTTTTTTTTTAGTTTATTAATAGCATTGTGAGACATTTAATTTCATTTCATTTATTTTCTCTCGGGACCTGAAGGCGTTGCAGTGAGGAGTGAGTTTTAGCACAAAAATATATGAGTATATCAATGAACAAGGCAAAAATAGAAACAGTGGCTATGGAACAAGAAGAAAATTATTAATCGCGATATTAAAATCAGCAGCATCAGGTTTTGAAACAGTGGGCGTGGGAAGGCGATTTCAATCTATTGATCTTTGAGGAAGAAAAGATGCATTAAATGAGGAGGTGTTACAATGGGGAATGTTTACCTTTAACTGGCGATTTGTTTGTGATGATAGGGCTTTATAAGCAATGTTTCAAGAAGTGTGGGATTAGAGTGATAAATCTTGTGAAAAAGACATAAACAAGATAATTATCTGTGAAAAAAGAGGTTAGGTAAGGACGGAGATGCTTTCACAGAGGTGACACTGGCTGTGTGATGATAGTTTGAAAGAATGAAACATTGCGGTGTTTACTAAGGCAAAAAGACAACTGGAAGAAAAGGAAAAAAAAAAAAAAAACTGGCCGACTATTTATTCCCTTTGTTTTGCCAAAATAATTGCCACACCGGCCCATTAAGTCACTTAATAATTTCACTTGAGCTATTCATTTTTTTTTTGTTTTGTTTTTTTACCTGAGTGATCTTATGCTTTTACTTTTCTTTTTTTTTTTTTAACATTTGCTATCTAGTATTTGCATCTCTGCACTGAATTATAGCATAACCTGTAAAGAAACCGATTCATATGGTTCCTTCAAAGGGTCGTCAAATGCGTCGTCAAATGGTATGTGCCTTAAAAAAAAAAAAAAGCTTGTTTCTTTGTAATATGGAGATGTAAGGTTAAACATTTATTTTTTTACAAACGGTGTCATTAATATGAGATGTAAGGGTAAATCGTACCAAAGATTAGCAAAATAAAACATTTAAAAGGCCCCAGGCTTGCAGCAAAGTAAATTAATGACAGTAAAGTGACACGAATCACTCTCACAATGTGACAAATAAAGTGATATGAAAAAAACAGTGAAATTCTGACATTGGTTTCTAACTTTAAGAAAGTCTAAAATACATATTAGAAATAGATCACTTATAGGACGCTAAAATCAGGTGACAAAGAGAATAAGAATCTACTAACTTGGCAAATAGAAACGCTGGAACTGATTTTGAGTTTTAATGGGGAACAAAGATTTTGCAGAAAATTCTTCCAGCTACGTGCTTCTTTTGTAAAGGCTGCAGAACTTCTTCTTCTGGACAGCTTTTCTTAACCCCTTAATCATTTTGGACAAGCCTGGCTCGTCAATGTGGACTCCCCAAACTGTCCACGACGAGTATATGTCGTCTGCTTTCTTCGGTTCTCTCACTTGACTGTTTAGGATGACCCAGGCTCACTCATGGCTTAGTTTGCGGCTCCGTCAACAGATGTTCAGCACTGACTTTTGAAAAAATATTGGCTCGCGTCATTTTGTCATTCCTCACATTGTGTCGTTTCCTCGCAGATCATGTGCCTCCAGGAGCTCCAGGAAGACCACTACGAGCAGGTGTTCGAACCGGAGTTCAAGAGGCTCGGTAAGTGGTCAGACACACAAGGCGCAACTTGGCAGGCACGGTCTCGAATAGGAGAGAGTTTAGACACTGTTGGCCCTTGGCAGGCAGCGAACAGAACGACCAGGTCAATGCACCCTATGCAAAGGGGAAAGCCAAAGGAATCCAATCCAGTCCAATCCAGTCCCCACAGCGGATGAGACACTTAATGAGATGGGAGCAACGTGTATGACCTAGGCTAAAACAAACAAGCCCTAAAAAAGCTTTATGCGTGCAGAGCGGCAGTGCATTTGTGTCGTAGCACCACCCGCTTGATTTGTTGTTGCGCTGTCTGATAGTTGTATAGAGGAGGGACATGACATGGGGAGGGAAGCGGTACTTGGACTGCTCTGCTTCCCTTTGAGTTGACATGTTGGCGGTGTTTTCAGTCATAAAAGTTAGGTTTCATGGATTCTACTGTGTTCTCTTTTTAATGGTGCAGTTGCGCCAAGGACGGTGCTTTAATTCTCAAGTATTCCGAGTTGTGTGTCATCGCCATATTTTCTCGCAAGTTAATTCCTTGTAGTAAGTCGTGTTTTACGAGTAGAGGCTCGATTTTGTAGGCTCTGCAACAAATTGACGCTGCAGGGTGTTTTCAAGCGCTGTTCGGGTGTAGAGATATTTTTATGAATAAACCGAGGGATTGAGTGCATTGCAACTTTTCAAATTTCACGGGTGTAGTTCTTAGAAAAATATTGAAGCCTAAAATATTCTGTTTTGTTCCTATGTACAGAGAAAAAGACAGTACTAAAGGCTGTTTCGTTGACACTGGCACTCACAGATGGCACGACGTGAAGCAAAAGCGTGAAAACTTTGTTGAGATGAGCACCCGCTAGGCAAATCCAGCAGGTGTGGGCGTGTGTAGTAGCATCTGTGAGTAGTAGACTCAACCAGACAGTTTTTACCGTTTTCCTTCCTGTGCATAGGAACAAGCACGATTCTTTGGGCTTAAATAGTTTTTCTGAAACCAGCGCTCACGAAATCTGTATACGATAAATGCACCACCTGAAGACACCTCTGTGGAAAGTTTGAATGCACTCCGTTCATTGGTTTAGTTATATGAATTATTTTACCCCCCAATAGCGCTCAGAAACACCTCGTAGGAAAGGACCCTGTGAGCATTCGGATGACGGGGTCTCGCCCCCGGTTGGACATTTCTGCAGGCTACGGCTGCCTGTACAAGCGGCGCACGGGCAACAAGCGAGACGGCTGCGGTGTCTTCTTCCGCCAGTCGCTGTTCGAGCTCGACCGCTACGAGCTGGTCGAGTTTGCGCGCACGGGGGTCACGGTGCTGGACCGCGACAACGTGGCCATCGTGGCGCTGCTGAAGCCCCGCTCGGCGGACGGACACTTCAGCCCCGACTTCCGGCTGTGCGTGTCCACGACGCACCTGCTCTTCAACCCCCGTCGCGGAGACGTGAAGCTGGCGCAACTCTGCCTCCTCCTCGCGGAGATCGACCGCCTGGCGGCACGCGGAGGTGCCGCCGCGGACGGGGCACCCCACTACTTCCCCGTGGTGCTGTGCGGGGACATGAACAGCAGGCCGCACTCGCCGCTCTACCGCTTCGTGACGCGCGGAAGACTCAACTACGCTGGGCTGCTCTCCGGCGACGTCTCGGGCCAGAGCGAGGGCGCCAACCGCGGGAAGCTGATCCCGCTGGACGAGTGCCTGTACCAGCTCAACATTTCGGAGGGTTCGCGCTTCCACGACGCGACTCCTCCGCGAAAGACGGCTAACTCCGATGCGGTGATGGAAGACGCGGCGTCGAAGGCGGTGGAAGGCTCGGGCTGCGTGAGCCACGGATTCGACTTCGTCTCGGCGTACCAGCACGCGAAGCAGGGAGGGGTCCCAGAAGTCACGACTCATCATCAGAGAGCGAGCTGCACGGTGGACTACATTTTTTACACGGTGAAGAGGAGGTCGTCGGGAAAGGATTCGGGGGTGGCGGAAGAGCGTCCACGCGTGGTGGAGGGACCGCTGAGGCTGTTGTCGACGTACGGTCTCATGTCTTCTAAGGAACTGGCGGCGGTCCGCGGGCTGCCCAACGAAGTTCAGTCGTCGGATCACCTTCCGCTCATCGCGAGGTTTCTGTTGCGCGTACCCAGCTAGCGTTGGCCTCTGTTTTCGACGGTTTACTCTTCCAGAAGGAACGACCGTCTTTCTGGGGCCGTACCTGTAAATAAGCGCGCCGCAGGGTAGGTGGATTGGGGCTCGGTGTGCCGGCGCTTGGAACTGCCTGGACATGAGTTTAGGAACCTGGTTCACATGTTTTAGTGTTTTGTGAACATTCATGCGCATTGTCATCAGAGGGTTCTCTATTTTTATTTGAATAATAAATGTTCTTTAGTTTGAATCCTTTAAATTTTGTTCTTTGGAGTTTCCACCAAGTAAGCATTAACTGTCTCATTTTTATATGGATTTCAGTGGCTTGGGTTGTGTTTCAGTGTATGGAGATGGTTTAGTCACATTTGAGCAATAAAAATGACAGCTAGATTCATTAATATCCTCCGAAAGTTCCCTATGTCTATGTTAACTGTTTCTAACTTAGGACTTTCTTTAAATTTTGTTGTTTGGATGTTGTGGTGTATTGGGATGACTTGATTTAATCGCATTTGATTGAGATAAAATGCCAGCCTGATTTTTCATTGTTAATATTCCGCAAAGGTATCGGGGTTTAAATATCGGTGTTTCATACTCCCTTTGAGTCGAAAAATGCACTGATGGTGGACTAACCCATTCCCTTAATTCTGTAGTAATAATATTTTGATTGCTTCTGCTGCTATATGTTTAGTTTGTTTCTTTTATGGTGAAGGTAAAGGGGGCTGCCGGGAGAGGGGTGGGCCTCCGGTCAGAGGCAAAAAAAAATTATAAAAGACATCGAGCGACGCAACGCGGCGCTAGCTACCGCCTGGTTTCGAGAGCGCAACTGTTGTCTCTCCACCCGTTGGTTGATGCGGCATGGCGGCGTTCCGTTTGCCAAAGATTTCGGTTGTTTGTTTGCGGAAGCACCGAAGTGCAAGGCAAGTTTGACCCCATTTGCGAGAGCGTAAAATAGTCTTGACGAATTTAACGACGGTAAATATGACACACTGGGTGGTGCATCCACTTCGCGGGTGGCTAGCGTTTCTATCGCTAACAAATTTGGGCACGGGCCTCCGTTGCCTTTGGGAAGAGGGGTTCATGCAACAACGAATCTTCACCGAGCTGAAAACTTCCGACGGTAAGCTTCTATCTTAGCTATTCCCTATTCGAGCGGTGCCGGGCTGATAAGCTACGTGTTTGCGTTCCACAAGATGCATCGGTTTTCTTTGAAGGCTCACACTTTTGTTTCCTTGCCGCTCTGTGGAAGAGTCGATGCAGCTTCTCCGCGTGACTCCGCCACTAAGCAGGAAAGTTGGAGTTACAGAGCGTCATCACGCATGCTGATGCGAGCGGGGTGCTGAGTGCTAATCCGCCTGAAAAAAAGTTACTGTTAATAAGTCCTGTTTGCTTATGATTTTGGTCCATGTGCATTATTTATGCTTTCGATTTCTGACGTTGGCTTTTATATCTACTTATTTTTTTCTCGTGAAATCTGGACATGCACAAAACCAGTTTCAGTCTGGGTGGCTGTCCTGTTGTCCAGTGGCTAGGGTTACTTGATGTGTAGACGAACTAGAAATTACAAACTGATGAAATAATGTTGTCTGCATTTGTTTAGAATATTTGATATTAAGAAAACCAATGTTTGTCGACCAGAATAAGCTGACCTTGAACAGCTGGTGTCCACGCACGTTCCATAAGATATCAAACAGCACACTACTACTAAGGGATTCTACCAGATCTGTATGCACTTTCCAACAATTAATTGTAGCGATTATCAGATCATCTTTGGACTTAGCCCTGCGATATGCACAGCAATAGTTTTCGCGCTTTGCTCAGACCATCATGGCAGTTCTTAGAATGGGTGGAGCACCCCCTTGCAGGCCTTCCTGGCTGTCCTGAGATGGAGCGCACTTTTGGATTCTGGTCTGTCTTCAACGCCATCCTGTTCCTCCACTGCAGTATCTTCCTCGAGGAGCCACCGTAAGCCTCGACTCAATGCTAAGGATGATTGCACAAACAAACATCCCACATTAATTATGCGGATATGCACTCCTACCGGGTGAAGACTTAAAGAAACCTCCCACCAATAGCGCACGTGGTTGAGAAAAAAATTAACTCTTTTCGAGGACAAATATTGATTAGCAGAGTTGTATAATTATTTAGCCAATTGTTTTGCAATCCCTGACATCCATTGTGGCTGGCAGTTTTTCCCCAGAAAGTTTCTTTCAACCCATTAAGTGCCACATTTTGTTTTCCAAAAATACCCGAAAAGTGCCATATTTTTTTTTATTTTGAATTTTTAGTCCTCTAGTAATAGACATATAATTTGAAAAGTTTATTACAAAAAAATCAGCGGAGGCGAAAAAAAATATTTGCCAACTAATACGAGTACTGCCATCTATGATCAGTGCCACAAAACTACACGGACGAGCCTTGCTCGTCCGTGGAATTGAGGGCTCCTGAAAAAAACACTGGACGAGCTGAGCTCGTCCTGGCATTTTTAGCCAAAAAATGGCCGACGAGCCCAGCTCGTCCACCACCAAATTCGTTAAAACCTTCGCTGAGACACCGAATGTGTGTTTATTGTTTATCTGTTATTATAACTTATGAGTACTTATTTATTACTTATTCCTATTTGGAATGCTTAATAGCATAGGTTGTACGAGAGACATTAATCCAGCTGGAAATAAAGGCTGAATTTATATGAGCAAAAAAATATACAGTGGATGCGAGTGAACATGTAGTGGACAATGAATATGTTAGGTAAGACGTGAGGTTTTTTACATGTTATGCATAATAGCATTAATAGACTACATGGACAGAGTAAGCTCATAAAAAGGAATGGAGACGTGCAACAGAACTGAACTTTCTAGGTCACAACAACTTTGCGAAAATGTCCATCTGGTTTCCCGTGTCTTCAGAAGTGGCCTTCGAGTCTTCTAGCAAATGAAATTCTTTCTAAGTGGAAATTCTGCTGGGTCTAACGGGAAGTGAAGCGCAGAAGTTACTGTTTCCCTGACTCATACATCACTGTCTCTTTTGACACTTCCACTTGCATATATAGCAAGAGGAAAAACCTCATCTTTCTTCGTAAAGGACCCCTGCTGACACAGTCCCTTCGTATGGCGCAGGATATTTTCGATGACCGTCTTCTCCCTCACCGTCTACCTGGCCTACTTTGCCAACGAAGCTTTTGTGCATCACTCCATCTCGAGGGGAGGAGCTGCCCTTTTCCCCATTCTTTTGAGTGGTAAGTATTTCTGGTCAGACATGCGACTACAAGTGGCACCGGCTCACAAGTGATAAAAGACGACCAGCAACACTGACATAGAGGTGTCTTCCTCGGAAAACCTCTCACGAAACTCACCGGAAGTTTTTTTTTTTAATGGGATACATTAGTCATGGATGGAAAATGGTAAACAAATGTAAAGCTGAAAATAAATTATTAACGAGGCAAACTTCTGCCTCCAAACTTAAACAGAAAAGAATTGTACATCAGGCGACAGTGACGAAAGAGTGACTGACTCGATGTTGCCACTCTCAGCTTCTTTATATACATACTATGTAGTCTAAAACATTTTGAACTGGAACAAGTGGTACGTCACGAGATGCCACTAGAACAGCAGTGAAAGATAATATGAAGAATTAGTCTAGTGGGGTTCAAACCCCGTGTCTGCATGAGAGCTGGATGTAATGCCAACTCGGACGTGCACATGGCAATATGATGCTACTATTGCTGAACCTCTTCCTCGTTGTTGAACATGGTATGTAATGCATTCAACATGGCAGGTGCATGTGGCCTTGTCGAACAAGTGCAAGAACGACCTTGGACTGATTGTTGGTGTGGCAGAATGTCAATGTTTCAGCATTTTGCTATGTCTAGGCAAATTTTCCGTGGCAGCATTCTTTTCTGACGAGCGGACGGTGAACCAAACCCCGCACTATAGGTTTGGCTGCTGCCACTCCTTTCTGCCGTTGAATATTTTTTTTATGGTTTTGTTTGATACTACATCTATAAATTTCTTGCCTGTCTGTCAGTTCTGTTGTGACACTTGGGCAAACTTACTACTTAAAACTCATGAGACCACTTATGAAACAGCCTTATTTGGCTTGTTGTCATTGGAAGCAAGTGCAATATGCTGTAAGAACAATGAACACTTATTTCGTCTGCTGTCAGTTCCTCGTCTGCAGAAACTTACTTTTTGATGATGATTGCTAATGATTCTCCTTAATTAATTGCAGCACTTACGATGTTGTGGCTTGCGGTCGCCTACAAGTTCATCTGGCCCTCGAGTCGTAAAGAAGATGACGACAATGAAAATGAGCATCTTGCCGAACGACTGTCGACGCAGCAGCCAAGGCTTAAACGAAAAACTAAGTTCTCCTGAGCCTGACATTGCAGTCTTTGTATTACAAATATACACGCATACTAGTCACTGCAAAAGATATTCAGTCGTATCATAAAATTGGTGTTCATATTTCTTGCCATAGATGCGTTCAGCTCGTCATTCACAGGTTCTTGGTTCTTTCGTTGAGGTCACTGTTAAAGTTTCGCTTAATTGATTCATCACTTTTATTAGGTTAGGTAGTGGCGCTGAGAAAATGCTGGGGCATGCCAGCTTGCAGAAACTGAGCTACGAATCGATTGTATATACATTAGGAATTTTCGTGCATTAATCTTCGAGGCACTGCATTTTTGTGTATATCTAGTCACAAGTACTTTTCTCATGCGAATCTGGGGGTCATTGGCTGGTGCTCATTTGCACTATCTTTCATTGTCGCATTTTATATAATTGTTTCAGTTTGGTCATATGAAGCAGTGATATTGGTGACCTGAAATTTTGAATGATGACAATGCAATATAGTTCTGGAGTCAAAAGTGCCATGAAAAGAGGATAGTACTGGCAGTGGGGGACTGGACGGTCTTTCTATAATTTTACGAGATTATGTGACTGTGGCAGCTAGTGTGAGTTCCCGCTGACATTTTTGTCGATGCGGGTCACGAAGGGAGACAGTTTCTTTCTTTTGTTTTGCTAATATGGGCCCTGTTTGGACACTGGCTTACCTCCAATGAGGCTGAACAAATGCATTATCCACTGCCTTGATATAATCCTTCAATATCAAATGGATGTAAAGTGTTTCATTGCTCCTTTATTTCCAGGCAGAAGGGCACTGTAGAAAATGCTGCCTGTGGCATAAAATGTTGACCCAGAGAATCACACTGTTATGCTTCAAGACAACTAGATTGTGGCTGCTTGACTAACATATAGGCTTGCATCCACTGTCTACAAAGGGACTGTAGCATGTTGCCTTTCCCTTGTGTATTGCATCCGTGGGGGCCTCAACTGCCTTGACACGTATTAAGTGACAATGATGTTGATGTATTTCTAGGGTACTGTGACATCTCGGGAAATCTCCCCTAAAAGTGCAACTTCACTGGTTGTCTAACAAGGTTGAAATGACGCGTCACATCGTGCATGTGTGGCAGAGCTTTTATTTCGTATGAATATAGCTATCACAAGAGACACTGTTGCAGTAAAGTCCAGTCTTTGTCATTTGCATGTCACGAGAATGTGTGCAAGTATTTTTTTTGTCTGGCATCATTCGTTCTGGGGCAGCTCTTAATTGTACCAGTGATTTTTGTTTTTGTGAGCAATAAAATGAAATGAGGCGCATGACCTGCACTTTGCACTTTGCATGAAAGATATTTTAGTGTGAGTCTGACAATGGAATGTCTGAATTTCCTCCTCATTAAATTAATCTTTGTTGGCAGGAGATGGAGAGAATAATTCACACTCCTGGGGCTCGTGTACGTTATGAATTTTCATCCATCACACTGCACCACAAATGTAATTTCGAGTGTATGAAATGTGCCCATCTACATGCATGCTTTTTTTTACTATTTTCTACATTGACTGCACATTTATTTACCTCTGACACAGGTGCAAATCATAAAAGAAAGAAAAATCTAATCGTAATGAGATAAATCAAAACGAATATTACAACTGGAACCATTAAAAATAAAAAAAAAGCTACCTAACTTGTAAAAAAAAAAAAAAGTTTTTCTAGTGTTGTATTTTATGGTGTCATTGGGCAGTTTATTAATCTTCAAATGAACTGTAGAAAAAAATATCTGCTTTGAGTTGTTTGTGCGTGTATGGGGAAATTGGTTGATGTTAAACATAAATATCGCTATCCTTCTAACAGCTGTAATCGTTTGCAAGAGAAAGATCTCCAAATGGAAAGCATGTTTTGGCATTTGTGAGGGGAGTACAAGTTTAATTTCCCAAAACTTGAATCTAAAAGAGAAATAACGGGAACTACAAAAGTTAATTAAAATCGTTTTCTTAATAATGAATCGTGCAGGAAGATCGTAGACTATTTTACAACGACCCGTGGAATCCTTCAACGCAGCTGATGTGGGAACAACGACAGAACGCTGTCCGAGCATCGAAAATGCAAGTTAAAAGGTTTGGCAGCGGTGGGATTCGAACCCACGCCTTTATCAGACTGGTGCCTAAAACCAGCGCCTTAGACCGCTCGGCCACGCTACCACGAGTTCCAGCTGATCGCCAGATGCGACGGAACCAAAATGCTCAAATTATTTCAATTTCGGCACGAAATGAATTTGGTTTATTTATTTTTAGAACTAGCCCGTCGACTGTCGCACCTTCTTTAGACCTTCGCCGTTTCCAACTACAAGAGGGTTTCTCGTACCTGTCATACGTGGCGTTCGGTAGTCGCGCAGGGAGCAGCTTGGAGGCGTGAATTTCTGCTCGGAGCGCGAGATTTAAAAATGGCGTCTCGTCTGCGACTTCCAGGCTTCTCTGAACCTGGAAACAACTTATTTATTGGTCTTTGTATTTAGTTTCTTGAGGTCTATTAAAATATCCTATTCATTTGCGAGTATCCAGTATCTTCGTTTGTTATAGTAGCGCACCCGTTTCGGACAACCTTGTTTGTCTCTTGATAGGGGAACAAAAGAGTTCGCAAGTGTTGGGTTCAGTCTGACCGTGCCAAGTGCGGAAGTTCCTGCATTCTTTTTTCGAGTTAGTGTCCCTTTATGTATCGGGCGTGTTTGCTTTTGTGTGCGTTTGTCGGTATATGTTGAGGGCGGGGGTACACTGTGAAGTGGGCGAGGAGGTCTCTTGAATTGTGTTGGAGATCGGTGACATATGGTTGATTGTTAGATAAATTTTCAGGCTGTGGAGACTTCCTTGTACTGTCCGCTTTTTTTTTTTTTTTCTACGTTTCAGGGTTACTATGGATATCATTCACCAGCTCGCCTGCGTTTTTTACCTTTCTTCAATAGTTCTGTTTCAAACTCAAGCCTGTGAACATGCCAGGTCCGAAGAGTAAATATTTGTAAATATTCAAGCTCCATTCTTAAAACACAAGACTACCACATGCAGAAATTAATGAACACGCGTGCAAAAACAAACGAAAATAAACACACACGACACCTTTGTGTGCCATCGTCTGCTACCAGTCTTGTGTCGCGTATATGTTTAAAGTGTGCAGAAAGTATCCACTAACCCAAATTCTTGCCCGATTACAAATTTCAGTCAGATGTCAGCAATTGATGCAGATCACAGCCAACTGTTTTTAAAGGCTAGAGAATAATTTATTTGGTCCAAAATTTGTGATGCTCCAAGATGTAGAATGTACATGCGAGTCTTCTGAAAGATCTCTGCTGGGACATCATTTTTGGGACATCTTGGGGCACCCCTTTTGGGACATCAGTGACATCACTTCTGGAGCATCAGTTCTGGTCCAGCTTGGCTGACACTTTTGGGACGTCATGATTGACATCACTTCAGAAACACCACTCCAGGGACATCTGTTCTGGGAGAACCTGGGGACTGGGACGTCAATCCAGAGACATCCTTCCTTGTGGAGATTCTCACTTCTTGGAGAGCCCCCGGAGGATGTTTGCCCTGATGACTTTGGGCACCACCCGAATAGTAAGTGACACCCGGGTGCCCCTCTCCAGTATGGCGCCCCGCGCCACTCCACTCGCAGAGAGGTTGACGATGCCATCGTCTATTGCGTCTTTGGTCCGTGCCTCGATGCCGTGCAGGTGGTCCGTGTACATGGCGCCTCGGGTCACCAGCAGACTCCTTGGCTGCAGCAGCAGTGAACCCACCGGAACGTGCTTCTCGCAGTCCTGCAGCCAATTGTTGTGACACAAGAACATCACCATGTGCGCTCAGTATTTGTTATTCAAGGTACATGGTTTGTCAAGTAAAATTTAAGCTTTCAATTTTCTTTACATGGGGGTAGATTTTAAACTTCGAAATAAAGTAAAACATACACTGAAGGGCGGGTGCTTTGTGTAAACTACATCAGACGAAGTGCACTTTCTGATTAAAGAACCCAAGCACCTTCTTAATGTCAACTTTTTTGATACATTCCCATTCACCTTGTTAATGGTGAAAATAATTTTGTCAATGTGAGAGTAAACATAAAAGAGTTGCCAATATACTGACGGCACACATGGTTAGATAGTGCCTTACAGTGGTGATATGATCATGATAACGCTCGCTTTCGATGGTTGCAAATTAACGCAGGGGAGGGAACATGCACAGCAAAAATACCACGGGCGTGGCCGACAAACTTGCATCAATGCAACTTCATCTGCTCGTTGTCGCCCCACAATAAAAACCAAGTTCTGCAGAGTTCAGGCTTTTTAGAATTTGAAATGTGCACATTTTGATGAAATCACAAGTTACCAATCTTAAATGCGTGTACCAGAATGTCAATTCACCACATAAAGGGGGAAAACAATAACAATCCATGAAGAGCAAACTTTTTTTTTTTTACTACAGCTCTTGAGATGAAAACAAGTATATTGTAGACGGCACTGTTGTGGAAGGTAAGACAGCACAACACTTGAAATGGGGGCAAATGAGGTTGTTACTGAAGACGGATGCCATTAACCATTACTAAGATGCTTTAACAATCTTCCTGTGCAAAATTCCAGGGCGCAGTGGACTCTCGTCTCACCTTGTCCTCGTCAGATTCTTGGCCGCTCTTGTCAACCTTCCTGGGCCGATAGAAGTCGAGGACGGTGTGGGAGTTAAGTGTGATGTTGGTCACCACAGGGTGGTACAAAGGCCCATCTTCATGAGGCTGCAGAACAGATGTTGAAAACGTGGATAGCAGTCCTTAGAGCAAAATAAGAAAGACAAAGAAGCCTCAGGTGCCTTATTTTCTAAGAGGAGCATCTTTATACCAACACAATAATGATTATCTTCATGGAGTAGGCGGTGGATGCTATTTTTTTTACTTTAGGAAGGCTTTCGATAAAGTCTCGCACAAAATGACTATCGATTACGGTGGATTGACTCTTACCTTACAGACCGTCAGCAGTATGTGACTGTTAGTAAGGCAGAGTCTATAGAAATGCTAGTTCTTTTAGGAGTGCCACAGGGCTCGGTACTCGGTTCTTTGCTTTTTTTTAGTGTTTATTAAAATTCCGCCGGTCGTCAACCCTTACTTCAGTGTCGTTTTTTTGCTCACAATTGTGTTTTGTTCTTTAAAGTATCCTGTATTGCCGATCAGGTATGTTTAAATGATAGTCTGCAGATGGTCTTTCCTGGTGCCAAAATTGGCAAATGAATTTAAATGTAAAGATATGTCTTCAAGTGACACTAACACTTAAAAGGTCTCCACTTGTGTTTTACTATGGTATAAACTTAGCTCCTTTAGGAATAGTCACTTCATATAAATATTTAGGCATAATCGTAATGTCGACCTTAAGTTGGTTTGCTCATTTTGTGACTGTTACAGCGAATGCTTCCCGTAAACTGTGGTCTTTACAAAGGAATTTGTGCCACAGTACTGCAGAAAGGAAGCTAGTGGCTTACACTTCTCTGATTTGTCCACTATTGGAATATGCAAATATTTTATGAGACCTGCATTCTCAGATATCTATTGATCAATTGGAAGGCGCTCAGAAAAAGGCACTTAGAATCATTTATAACGCAAACAAAAAAGTGACGTCCATGTCATCTTTGTATGCCTCATCCGCATTGCCAAAGTTATCATGTCGAAGGAAAGTCAAGGGCTTGAAGTTTTTTATATAATCTAACACACTATAAGATTGGGTTAAATTTCAACGACCATCTGAAACACAACGACAGCCGTGAAACAAGGTGGAAGAACGAAAATCTGCTTCGCGGGTTTCAATGTAAAAAATACATTTTTAGATATTCTTCTTTTTTTAGAACTGTCTGCGATTGCAATGACTTGCCTCAAAGTGTGACAAATCTTGCTACATGTCACTGCTTTGCTAGAGCTATAGACAGTTCTGCATATAAGTAAACATCCATGAATTAATCAATATTTTTGCATAACTAAAATTGTAAAATTTTGTATTGTATATTTTTACAATGTCTGCCATGCAACTGTACATCCAACCATGCATTGGCCCACAAGAGTGGGCCGGCAGTGTTCCTGAAATAAATAAATAAAATAATAAACAAGTGAGCACCAAAGAACTCCTTACCAGGATACCTTCTCCAGGTTTGTACTCATTCACAAGAACATGGTTTGGTTTCTTATCCCCAAAGACACCCAGACTCGCAACTCTGGAGGAGATCTCCACAAGCCACTGCACAGAAACCGACAGTTTGTTTATTGGCTGTGGCTACGGTTTTGTCCTGACGGAATAATAGTCACCACAAGAGTTCCGTCCAGACAGAACCAGTTGCAGCGCATAATTTAGCAATTAGGTTCGCATGATAAGAGGTATTGTGGCTCCACCTTGTAAATAATCACAAGAAAAAACACCCTTGACATCCCAACAGATTGACCAAGAACTTGTTACTGTTGCTCTAGCTTGGACGAAAAGGAGCAACTGTCTACTGGGCCCTCGGGACGGGACTCTACAAGGCTTGCTGTCGTTCCGTCTGGACGGAACTCTACTGGGCCTGCTATCGATCCGTCTGGAGTCTGGACGGTACTCTACTGCGCCTGCTACTGTTCCGTCTGGACGGAACTACGCTTCACCCCTTATTTTATATAGTCTGACGACCAGTTCGCGCTTTCCACTTTTCTCTTGCTTCCTCCTCTCCCCCTTCTACCCTGTCCACCGTTGCCTAGCTGTATCCTCCTCCCCCACGGTGAGGAGGATCTTCTGCCTTGCAGAATCTCGTGTCTGGTCGTCGGCCTTTAAAGGCCGACACTTGTCCGCCTTCGCTTTTCCTATATCCTCTCCACGTTTTACTTTGCCCCAACTTGGCTACCCTAGCGGCTTAGGAGAGGGGAGTGCTAAGAGGATTATCTTCCCCGCAGAAAACCGAGAGAAAGAGAGGAACAAGTTTTACCGGCGGCAACGGCTCCGAGAGCATGCCCTTGGGATGTGGAAGGCCGCCTACGTGAGAATAAATACGTACAATAAAAATGGCGATAATAATGAGTGAGCATGTTGGACGTTGTCATGTTCGATCATGTTGGCGTACCCCAATTTTGTAACCTCCTGTGCGCGAGTTGGACCCATTTTGGCTTCGGAGCGTCGTACACTTTCTCGAACAGGTAGCGCTCTTCATTTTCGCTGATGAAATCTGGAACGTAGTACACGGTTTCAGGCAACTGAAAACGAAAGAGACGGCACTTGAAATAGCGATCTCTGCGAAACAGCAGATCCTCAGTCTTTCCGCAGATAAACAAGATACCGTAGTCCACGACACTCCAACCACCGAGGACAACAAGACTTCACGTCAATCTTGTGCACATTTCGTACTTAGAAATAAAATTAATTAAACGAATTAAATTAATATAAAAAACCATACCGTTGTCACTCGAAAATCAGAAAGACTACCGACGACATCGGTTCCTGCCGGTCGGATGGGGGCCGCCATTTTCCCTTCCCGGCATCTACCGCTGCATTTCATTGCGATTTACCATTGGCTGAACCCAATCACGTGACATATATGAGCCAATGAAAAGTGCGGTGTTTTTGTTTTTTAAAGGGGGAATCTCCGGTGTTACTTGTCTGCTTTGGTGGTTGCGATTTTCTCAACTTTGGTGCCGTCGTGATGCTTTGAAAAAACAAAAAAAGGAAAGTATCGGCACGAAGTAACAGATACCGGTACGCAGCTTCGCTTATTTTGTCCTCTAAACTTCAGCGTCTTGTTTTGGCCCGAGCGCGAGCCAACGACCGTGGTTTGCGAGAGCGATTTTGAAAACTCGGGATCTTTCATCACGCTTGCTGCGGCTCTTTGTATGACATGACACAGCGTGCTCGCCAAAGGTAGCCCCGATTGTGTGTTGGTGACCGGCGATATGTTTTTCAGAGATCCAAAAGTGCCGTTTTAATCCGCCGAAATGGCCATCAAAAGGACGGGTGACGCGCCTCCAGCGCGCCCAAGGAGGCATCACTACTTGGAAAACGTGCAAACCAAGACATTCACACCGCTTGAATACCAAGTAAGCGCAGATTTTTCAGTGTCTAGGTTTTATTGACTTAATTTTTGTAATCTCAATTAACCCCCGACTCAACTGTGCACAAAATGCTGATGTCAGCAAACAGTTTAACGGTTTTACCGGCTTTAAAGTGCTTGTTTGGATTGCCAAACTCTCGAACTCCAACATCACATGGATTGCCTGTTGTAGTCCTCCTTATCTGGTGTATGCAGGAAACTTGATAAGGCACCTAAGTAACGTGGGCTTGATCTGATAGCATTTGACAAGATGCATTTCCTTTCTTGCCGGGGTAAAGTTTTTTGCTTCACCTCTTGGACCCTCCCTTGCTCACAGATGAATATATATACATTGTGTTCCCTTCCTGCCGTAGCTGAGTCTACTGCTGAGTGCACAGTTCCACGCCGCCTTCCGCTACACGCATTTTGCACCTTCCTGACTGCTATTCTCTAAATTGTGGGGTGCAGTGAATATATATTGGGGTGCACCCATGTCACTCCATTAGAAAGGATTGACAATCCACCTTTTGGTGAATATGTACCGCCACCTAGACATACGACTGGGTTTGAGACTAAGTGGCTAAAAAACAACAAGTCCCTAAGGCTTCTCCCACCCTTTCGACACCCAAAACGTCAGCCACATCCTGTTTGCCCATTGAGCCGCTGTGACCTAGATACGGCTCCCCCAAACTTGCCTTTGCCCCTATCGTGGGTTATCTTCTGCCCCTATGTCGACACAAAGAAACCATCTTCCCTCTCTGCTCAGCCAGAAGAAAGAGAGAGGCTATTAGAACCATATACTCACAAACCCATGTTTCTACAAAAGGTGCATAGACCGAGCTTTTTTAACCCTGGTGACTGCGGAAACAGAAGGACAGGGCAACGCAAAATCTCCAAACACAGCTCAGGTTTATTTTACCAAACAACCTTAAATAGACAAGACAAAAAATCCCAGAGACCAAAAGATGTCACTGATGGCAACATTGACATCACGCTTGCCCAAACCAGGATACACGTATCTAATGATAATCCCTGGAGTAGGGGAACAAGGGGGACAAAGGACAAACACAAATCTCCAAACACAATTAGGTGACTGGTGCACGACTGAAAAAATCTGTTTGGTCCTTGAGTTGAACCAGGGACCTCTCCATAAAACCCGTTTGCTCTACTGATGTCTAACTCCTGGTTAGCTCAGCAAATAGAGCGCTCCACTGGAAATGGAGAAGTCCCTTGTTCGATACCAGGACCAGGTGGATTTTTTCCGTCGTGCACCAGTCACGTAGCTGTGTTTGGAGATTCGTGTTTGTCCTTTGTCCCCCTTGTTCCCCCTCTCCAGGGATTATTATTGTTATTCTTGTCCAGCCTGGTTGCACCTTTGCACTTTACGAGTGCGGCCCATCTCAAAACACAACCGGAAGTACGCCGCCCCGCATTTTTCTGCACCGTGCTATACTTTGTTTCTGCACCGATGCTGGCTTGGGGAGGTAAATTTAATGAGCCTAGTGTCATTGTTACATACATTGAATTACAATAAAAGCCTATTTATTGGTCAGGATCAGGGTACAAGATATACATGTAGGTGTGGGCGCTGTGCGCGTCGCAGCTGCCAGATAAAGTCTTCTCCTTGCCTCAGTTGCAAGCGGTGCCACAAGATGACTCTTCCACAGTTGGGTAGTGGTAGCCCTTCGGAGGCCCTGTTTCACATGCTTCTCAATGGGAGTCATGCTTATGTTTAAAGTTGTTTTCTGAGTGTGCCACATCATGTAGAACTTGGCACCTGTGCTATGCATGTTGTTTAGGTGCAGCTCCTTCATTGACCCTAGTTTCGTTGCCTCAACGGCGGCAAGAACATTTTTATGAACTCATTGAAGTGGAGAGATCTCTGGCACAGTGCTCGAGCCAGCGTTCATTGAGGTAGGAGCTGACGCACCGAACGGAAAACGCACGCACAAGGGTGCCATGACAGCGAGGCGTTTTTCTTTTCTTAGTTGTGTTGTCTGGCTTGTAGATACACTGTCAGAATAGGAGACTTGGTCGCGTGCCCCTAGAACATTATTTGGCCGATCACGTTGCCGTGTTTACCACGCTGTGTCCATACATATATATATATATCACACCGTGGTCTGGGCGGTCAGGACCAACTTTAGCAGGTAGTAAGTTAGATTAACCGCCTGTGCTGCACGAAAGCTCCTGCTCTCATGCAGCACGAGCAACGAAGATGCAACTCACCGCGCCTTTGTGATATAATATTTGCAGCCACACCTTGTAGGCGTGTGTTATGCTGTAGGTAGAATTTGCAAAATTGGATCATTTAAAAGGTACCATGGGATGTATGTTCTACGTTTGGTGCCAGTGCATTACCGGTTCGAGTTGCAAGCTCGTCATCACCGTTGCCTTGAGCGTGCCGTTGACGCCGTTCTCTCGTTCCCCGAGGTGGAGCTTCTGGACACGGCCAAGGGCCAGAACTCGATCGTGTTCCTGTCTTCGGGAAAGACCTTTATGGTGGTGATGCTGGTCAAGGAGCTGGCATACCAGGTGCGCAGGGACGTCGAGAGCGGCGGCAAGAGGGTGCTTGTCCTTGTGCCCTCAGGTGAGACCGGCAAGGCGACGCCTCTGCCGCCCTCCAGAGAAAAATCAGTGGTGGCGTCCATACGTGAACGCCAAGCTGGGGTCTTCAACGTGAACCATGTAGTTACAAAGGATGTCCGACCCAGCCTTAAATATGGACCTAAAAACTCGTCCACACACTTGCGACTGCTTACGACCGCGTGCCTTGAAACCTCTTAATATCTCTCACCACAGCACTGGTGCCACCTATTGCATAACTATGGAACACTTGCAGTTCTTGTATATTTCCTATTTTGTTTTTGCGTATCATTCTTTCTTGGCTAAAAAAACTTTTGACAATGTTATAAACAGCCGTTTCTCGTAGACAGTGTGTATACATTCAATATCGCAAATAGTTCAAAACCTTAAAGGGGAGGGAGCTCCCTTTTAAGGTTTTGAACGTTTCCATCTAAACATATTTTCTGAAAGAGTGCAAGAAACTAAGACTAGAACCACAAGTAGATTTTCACGAAACTTTTATTAAAATAAATTTTAATCTTAGAAATGCGATAAAACTGAAACCAAAACTGACCTGCAACTTTACTAGTCTGCCACCTTGTTGCGACGTCAGATTTTGTAGAAACATCGGCACATGGGCAGCTTGAGCTTTTCTCACCCAACGTAAGAAGCAGTCAAAAAGCCGTTGGGGTCGTCCCTGCGAAATGATGGCCTACGATTCATCGAGCTTGTCTGAGTCCAGCAAAGACTAGCGGGTGTTAAAAGATTTTCAGTGCGAGATTTCAGACGATGCACAGTTCGCATTTGATCTGCCGGCATCGTCTGCAAGGAGACCACCCGTGGTGGCTGCACTCGCGATCTGCCGACTTGACAAGTGTCTACTCTTTTATTCACAAAATCCGTCACGTCTTGCCATACAACGATATTGAAAAAGTGCTTCTTATGAGTTGTGAATGCGAAAGCATGAATGTCGTACTTCCGTTCTCTTAGTTCGTCTGCGGCATAGTGGCGTGGACGGCCACGTTTCGCTACTGCGGAGGTTGCGGCTGAGCGCGAGCTCTCGTGAAGTGGCCGCGCTGCGCTGAGCTCGGCCCTGCAGCTTCTCTGGAGTTTGCCCGAGCGGGCTGTACGGCCAGGCCAGCACCGCCGCACCTCTTACCGGCAGCCGGGCCAATGCGTGCGCTGCGCTGCCATGAAGAGGGCTTCTCTGGTAGCGTCTTTTGCAAATACGCCACACGAGAGCCAATGGAAGCCTTGTTCCTTGACGACGCCCGCCATCCGACGGGAGCCTTCCATCAGATCGCGGCTTCACTTCGCTGCATTGGGAAAGGAGAGTTTAGGTGCCGTTTGGCGCAGCTTCAGTTCTGATAACGTCGGTTCGCTCCATAATACAGTTAATGCTTTCGCATTAAAAAAAATTCCTGTATTGTCCGCATGCGTAGATAGTCCGCACAGCCTAAAACGTCCACAGCCTCTAGTCCGGAAAATATGGTACTGTACCCAAGAGATTTCATTGTCCAGTATTTGTCGAATGCTTCTTACCTCTCTTGACGGACCTTGCTGTGGAAAGGATTTATCGCGCTTCCTATACATAGAATACAAGTTCTTTAGTTGCCGCGTCGAAACCGTAAAAGCTGATTCGCACACTTGCGACCGCTTACGTCTGTGTGGCTTCAAACCTCTAGGGGTCTCTTACAACGAGAGAGCACACTGGCGCCATCTATCGGGCAGTCTTGGAACACTTGGCATTTCCGTATACCTCCTATCTTATTCGTGCATTCTTTCTTTCTTGCCTCGAAAAACTTCAACAATGTTCTAACGACCGTTTCTCATAGACAGTATGTGCGCATTTGATCTCGGAAATACCGAAGAAACTTTGCTCGAGTGAAATACTGATACAGGGCCACCTCACAGATGGCACCAGCGCGCCAGTGTGATCTCTCGTAAGAGACCGCGAGAGCTCGGTCCTTAACAAATGCAAGTGCGTGAACGACCCCTTAAGAACTGTTAGTCTTCTTCATGCAGCGGAGTCTGGCACCCGCCACCAGAAGATGATGGAGGACTACACAGACCTCAAGTCGGCCTTCTTCTCTGCTCCGGACAACCGCACCGACTTCCCCAAGCAGTTTGCTGAGCACCATGTCCTGGTGCTGACGCCCGAGGCTTTTGCGCACCACTTCGTCGAAGCCGACGCGGACATCGCCGAGACGTTAATCGATGCAGTCAACCTCGTCGTCTTCGACGACTGCCACGTGGCGCTCCGCGAGGCCGCCTACGGGCCCGTGCTCGCCTTCCTCCTTGACTTTGTGGCGGAGGGCCGGATGCGCGTGCTCGGACTTGCGCCGCCGCTGGCTGTGCGGCGCCAGAGGCCGGCTCTGCTCGAGGCCGAGATTCTCGAACTAGAGGACGGCCTGCAGAGCACGGCGTGCACCTCGAGCGAGCTCACGGTCTTGAGCAAGTATGGGAGCCGCCCGCGGGAGACGGTGGTGGAGTACGCGTCGTACTGTGGCAACGGGGAGGGGCGCGAGGCGCTCGGCACCATCTTGCGACTGCTTGACGAGGCCATGGCATTCCTGGGCGAGAAGGAGGGCCACCTGGTGGAGAGAGAGCGTGCGGCCCTGCGCCAATCGCAGCGCTACCTGGTGGAGCTGTGCTACACCCTCGTCACCCTGGGGCCCTGGTGCGCACGCGAGGTCACCGAGCTCTTCCTCAAGGTGGGGTTCTGGTGGTCTGCAGATGTTTTCTTTGTCCTCGGACCGTCTGATATGTTAATGTGGAGAACTGAACTTAGACAAAATGCAAAGTTAAGACATGGACAAAGACAACGCTGACTAGTAACTGCGCCTTAATACTCCTTATTTTCGTGTTTCAGCTAAATTCAGCTCTCCACATTAAGGAGCATGGACCAACCACAGTAGCTGAACATAAGCCTGTAATGCTGTTGTTTTGTTTTGATTGTATTTTTCTTGCACATGCTTCAGGACATTTGATAGAGTAAAAAAAAAAAGCCGTGCTGCGGAACAGTGCGCGCACGAGTGTAACAGAAAAACACTCGACTTATGCTTTAATCTGTACACAAGAGTGGTAAATTGAAAAGAAAGAACAAAATTCTAAATGCGCTCCAACTGGAACAGAGCCCACAAACCCGTGATTCGAGCTCGACATTCTACCACTACACCAACTAGCAGCTAGACACAAAGCTGGCTTTGTCTTTACCATGGTGGTCCTCACAAATTTTTCGAATGCGAATGCCGTTCGCTGGTGTTCGGTTAGAACAGTTTATTGAGAAGGAACGAGATTTTTCACGTATTCTTGTATCGCGCAACTAACCGAGCTCTGTCATAATCTTGTCATGTCCATAGATGGAGGTGAACAGACCGATTATGTCTTTCTCGATTATTGGAAAGCGTTTGACACAGTGTCGCACTCTTTCTTACTTCAGAAATCGAATTGTTTAAAAAATAGATATTACGACACTAAAATCGATTCAGTCATTCCAGAGTTCGCGTCAGCAATGCGTAATTTTAAACGGCGAGGCGTCTCATTTTCTTGAAGTTACGTGTGGCGTACCGCAGGGCTCGGTTCTGGGGCCTTTGTTGTTCTTGATATTTATCAACGATATTCATGTCAGTGTAACTTCCCAATTGAGATAATTTGCAGATGATTCTGGTGTGTACACATGTATAAGGAGCAAGGAAGGTTCCAGAAAACTGCAGGCTGACCTATATTGAATAGAACATTGGTGTGGTGAATGGGGGATGCAACTTTACATAATGAAAAGTGTTCATGTCAGCTTCATACGTAAGAAAAATCAATTTGACAAGCAGTGTTATTTAAATAATGAGTTAGTAACGAATGAGAATGAAGTAAAATACCTCGGAGTCATTTTTTTATCCGACCGCAAGTGGGATTTGCAGAGTGATGATGTCATTATGAGGGCGGGTGGCGCACTTGGCTTTGTCCGAAGAAACCTGACAAACGCTACACAAAAAATAAAGGAACTAGCATATCTTGCTTATGTACAACCCATTCTAGATTACACGTGCACCGTGTGGGACTTTCCGAAACAAATCACATTGATGGCGTGAAAAAAATACAAAATCGTGCTGCACGCTTCGTCCTGGGCCAGTACGACCATTTCTCTAGTGTAACTAGCATGAAACAATCACTAGGATGGTGGTCGTTGGATCGTCGGCGAAAAAATTTACGGTTGAAATTTTCATACAGCATTTATCATGAAGCTACTGGTGTTAACAGCTCAGCATACCTCTTAAAACCAAATTATTTTTCCCACTGGAATGATCATGTGCACAAGATATGCAAATACTGTACCAGAACGGAGCTCTAGAAAAAATTTTTTCATCAGGACGGTCAAGGACTGGAACGCTTTACAGAAATGTATAGTTCGTGCTGCAAATGCTAAATCTTTGTTTTTGTTATTATTCACTCCCTGCAATAATGCCTTCTGGGCGCTGCAGGAGTTCTCTGAATAAAGAAAAAAGAGACCTTTGAGACGTGCCCACCATGGCATATATAAAAATGAGAGTTTGGAATAAAACACCTTGCTATAACCCAAATAAAAAAAAAACTGCAGTGTCCACCACAAACCCCGAACAATGCCGCAGAAACAAATTTGATGTATATACCGTATTTACTCGAGTAATAGCTGCACTGTTTATGAAGAGAACCTGAGGGTTCGTTTTTCCGTGGAGCATGCGGCTTGCCAATCACCGCGATCGACAGCATGATTCCAGCGGTTTACAGGACAGAGATAACGTCTTCGCGCAAGGATATCACCTGTGAAGATAGCATTTGTATGGATAATCGTGTTCTCGATCTAGTTATTCGCTATGTTAATTATGCGCAACGTGATGATTGGCTGTATATGTGCTTTGCGGGAAAACAGACGCAAGGGCCTTGTTCATAAATAGTGCGGCTATCACTCGAGTAAATACGGTACCGACTTAATCCGTAGCATTAAGGTAAACTGAACATTTTCTTTTTTAAAAGAACGTCTTAGAAGAGTCTGTCAGTCACGCCGTCCGGTGGTCCGCCCCGTTGCCCTGCAGGAAGTGAGCCGGGCGGTGGACTCCCTGGGGCCCCTGCCCAGTTGGTCCCGGGTGGCGCTGCTGGTGGTGCACACCGTCCTCCAGCAGGCGGCACGCCTGGCGGGGGAGCTGGCCAACCGGTGGGACCTCGCGCCCAGCGCGGGCTCAAACCAGCCGGCCAAACTGCGTCACCTCCTGCGCATCCTCAAGGAGTACAAGCCGGCACCGGAAGCCAATCCGGTGCCCGAAGCTAGTCCAAAGCCGGAAGCCGACCCAGCGTCAACCCAAGACGCGACATCGGCAAAGTCTGTGGCGGGACCCGAAGAAATGGCACCCAGTTTACGATGCAATGCGCCTAGGGACCAAACTGCTACGTCGGGTGAAAGCGACACAAACAAGGACGACGGGCCGTCGGTCGGGACTCTGTCGTCGGTTAATGCTTTAGCGAAAGACCTGGTGTCGTTGTCTGTTGCCGACGACGCCGGCCAACTGCCGGGTGCCACGGTGGGCACTGGCAGTGCCGGCGAACTGCCGGGTGTTACGGCTGGCGACGCCAAGGACGTGGCGGCGTCGGGGTCGGTCGCCGGCGACTCGACTGTGGCGACGCAGCCGCGACCGGTCGCACGACCGGACATCGTGGACGACCCTAATGCTCTGTGCGGGATCGTGTTTGTGCGGCAGAGGATCACCGCCTACATCCTCAGCCTGTGGCTGTCGGAGGTGGCGGCGCGGTTCCCCGAGGAGTACGGGTTCATTACGCCCAACTTCCTGGTGGGGCGGTCGACGCCTCCTCCAGTGGCACCTGGTGGCCGCGGCCGTGCCGGGGGCGACGTGGTAGCGGCGCTGGCCCTGACGCCGCTTGGCCTGCAGCGACAGGAGGAGGTGCTGCAGAAGTTCCGGGCAAGGGAGTGCAACCTTCTGGTGGCTACCAGCGTGGTGGAGGAAGGCATTGAGGTGCGTGCGTAGCCGGCCTCGGGCTGGCGGGGAAAGGTAACTGTAAACGCTCGTTCTTTTCTGTTCTTTGTGAGAGCAGCGAAGAGGGGATGGTTTCGTTGACTTCTTGTAGGTGGCGCCACAAACGCATAGTCTAGTGAATCTTGTTGACAACGAAAGGATTTTGACACCTTTATTAGCGTTTGGACGTGAAGTTACATCGAACTCGGCAGATAATTCCGGAACTTCCTAATTCATCGACATTTTATCGTGGTTCCCTTGGCCGCCGTATGCGGCTGCAGGTTGGCAAATAATTTGTTTTTAACATATAATGAGGGCTGGGATTGTTGAGAAGTGTTACAAAATGGGCAACACATACTTGAGAGGGCAATCTTTACAAAAGAGTGGTAAATTGAGAAGAAAGATAAAAATTTTAAATGTGCCCCAACGGGAATTTAACCAACAACCCCATGATTGTTAGCTCGACATTCCACCGCCGAGCCAGTTAGCGGGTAGACGCGAAACTAGTCAACTTTGTCTCGACCACGGTGGTCTCTACCAACTGTTTGACTGCAAACACCGGCATTCGGCGTTCGCGTTACAACAGTTTACAGGACGAAACAAGAAATCTGGGACATGCCCACATCACATAAAAAAATTTGGATAAAAATAATGTCCTGAAACCAAAGAAAACTAAAAAAAAAACCTGCAATGTCCATCATGAGCTCCGAAAAACGCTACATAATCACATTTTGTGTACGCTGAATTTATCCGTAGAATCAAGATAAATGTGCACTTTCATTTTTTGGTGTGTAGCAACTTTGTACGCCACAAACTGAAGTCGTCTGGACATCAACATTTTATGACGCCGTTCCATCTGCTGCAGTTGCCTCTATTTCGCACATTCAACATTAAAACATGTAGGTACCTGCGCACCATTAAGAATGGATATTTTGCTTTGAAATTACCCGGCGGAATTGTGATTACGAGGTGAAAGTGACGTGTTTTCTTTTACTTATGCAGAGGCAAACGAAATGAAAGTAATGCACTGCAGGGTTGTCGCACTGCATCTTTAAGCTCTTCACCGTTTTTTGTTTTTGGGAATTTCAGACCCTCAACAGCTTAATTGTTGTCTTCACAATAAAAAATGTTACCTTAAAAATCATACTTCTAGCCACAAACGAAATGACAGGCAAAATCTTGAAAACTTCAGCTCTGCCATCTGTTGGCAGAGCTGCAAACTATGCCTTGAGCGAGCCTGGTTCGTCCAAAGTGGTTGAGTGGGTGATTCGGGGAAAGCAGACGAGCTATACTCATCCCGAACAATTTGGGGACGGTTCCACGTTGACGACCTGGGCTCGTCCAAAACGATTATTAAGGGGCTCAGCAATTGCACTTTTTTTCGGTAACTTGGTAAGACTGCAGTTTGGGCAAGTGTGTTGTCTATATCTCCAATGTTACGGTGCACAAAAGCGGACACACAATTTGTGTTGGCGCACAAAAAGGGAGGCATTCGCGCGGCGACGACTACAAATCCTGCGTTTTAATTTTGTCTCCTTGAACTCGTGACTAAGTAATCTGTTTTCCTGACAAAGTTAGAGACAGGGCACCAACACACTGGTCGCTTAGCCACTCTACAGGGTGAAACAAGGAGACGCCAGGCTCTTTAAATCAACCGGAAAATTCGGTTTCTTAACCTATCGCGCTACGACTTTGTGCAGCGTTGCCTACAGATGGTGCATTTTTTTTGTAAAATTTGCGAAGAGCGAACTTACCTGAGGAAAAAGTAAAGAAAGAAAAAGGCTTAGGTCCTATGGAAACGCAGCGACGCCACCGGTCTGCAAACAACACGGCGCCGTTTCGCACGGGGCACAAGAGATGGCGCAATGAACGCCGCCAGCGAACGAACATACAGCACCGGGAGCCAGCGTCTTTAGCAGACAATCTTTTCGACTCAAAAGCAGCGCGCGTTCCGCAGACGGCGACAGTCGCAGAAACAAAAACAGGCGTGGCAACAACAAGGAACTGCAGTTCCTTGTCTGCTAAATACGCCGGCTCTCGGCGTCGTCTGCTCGTTCGTTGGCGGCAGTTGGCGTCGCGACCGCTTGCGCCATCTCTTGTCTCCCGTGCGAAATGGCGCAGTGTTGTTTGAAGAGCGGTGGCGTCGCTGCGTTTCCATAGGAGCTAAGCCTTTTTCTTTCTTTACTTTTTCCTCAGGTAAGTTCGCTCTGCAAATTTTACAAAAAAAATGCACCATCTGTGGGCAACGCTGCACAAAGTCGTAGCGCGATAGATTAAGAAATTGAATTTCCCGGTCGATTTAAAGAGCCTGGCGTTTCCTTGTTTCACCCTGTATTTTTGGCTTAGAATCTCCGGGAACGTTACACCCGGTGGGGCGATAACGTGGGGGACGACGGTTCGCTCCCCGTACCCCCGCAGGTGCCCCGCTGCAACCTGGTGGTGCGCTTCGACCCACCGGAGAACCTGCGAGCCTACATGCTGTCCAAGGGCAAGGCCAAGGCGGCCCACTCTCGCTACTTCGTGCTCGTGCCCAGGGAGGAGAGCGCTCGCTTCCTCGAGGACCTGCACGACCACCGCACCACCGAGCAGGTGACCTCAAAGACGAGAGCCGACAACGGTGTCCTCAACGCGTCCTCAAAGTGGTCCCTCAATTTCCGCCCAATGACGTCGCAGAAGTGTCGTGCTGTCGCCGGTCGTGATCTGGGTGGTGTCGAAGCAGCGGGTGGGAATGTGGCAGACGTCTGTTCTGCTGCAGGTCGTTCTGCAGCTTGATGGTTCATAGAAGATTCCACAGCTGGCGGTCGGGGCGCGCAAGACTGCAACACGCACATTTGCTCGTGCTTTTTGCCAGAACGACCAACCAGCAGGATCGTGACATCCGACAGCATGACACTCCGGCTTTTGCGACTTCATTTGTTGCCTCGTCGGGACCACTTTGGATGCATGGGCGACATCGGACTCTAAACACCCCAGTCGGAGACGCTTCCTAAGCACCGTAGTATCTAAAAGAAGACGGGGACCAAAGAACATACGGAAAATGGTGAAAGGATTTATTGAGAATGAGGGCTGTGTTTGCATGCCCTAGTTTTGGGTTTTTTCTCGGGACAAAGGGCAGTCGCCATGCATCTGCATGCTCAAACTAACTTACATATTTCATTTAACCTCAAACTCCAACGCCTACAACTTACGGCATGACTATCTGTGGTCTGTTCCTCAAAGCAGAACTAACTGTGGCATTCAATTGTTGAAACATTGTCTGCCGTCACTACTTAACAACTTCATATGAAACATTGTCATCATAGAACGTATGGCTTCCAAATCTATAATGAGTTTTTTCACAACATTGTTATAGCTACAACTCTTTGTTCTGTTTCTTTTAAAAATCTATTTGAGACACATGTTAGTTATTTTTTGCTGTTGTCTTTTTGTTATAGCTCTAGTTTTGCCAAGAAGATGGGTGACCAGACTTTTTCAAGTCAACAACTGTTAAAATTTTGTCTGCTGACTAGCATCTGTATGCATATAGGTGCCAATCATCTGGTTCACTAAGCTCGTCCGAAACAGCGTGTGTTTACATCTTCCACTGTGTGTGCACAGATCCTGTTAGAACGCAGTCATGTGGAAGACACCACCCTGGACGAGGAAGTGGATCCGACTTTTGCAGACAGCCTCAAGCCGCCCTACAAGCCACTGGAAGCCGAGGACGCCCCGAAGGTCTCTATGTCCACGGCCATCGCGCTGGTCAACAGGTGAAGCAAGTTACGGAAAAGTTCAATTGATGCAACCCTCTCAACCTCATACAATTATACGGTTTCTTCAAGAACGTGGCAGGTTTCCTCCGTCTTCAATTGTGTTGTGTTCCCCTTTAACCCATTCACGGTCAGGTTTTTTTCTATACAAAATATACTTCCCAGTGGTCATGTTTTGTTTCTGAAGGGGTAGTACAAAAAAAAAACACAGTGCGAAGTTTTTTTTATTATTATTTAACAGGAGTGTGTCCAGGGCTTGTAAACTGTTCAGTTTGAGAAGTGTCGAATGGAAACATTAAGGGGGAAATATTATTGCCTGCCTTGTATTTGGTTTCACCTTGGCGCATCCGCTTCTGCGACATTCTGGTGTTCTTCAGTTTGGAACTGGAGGTACTCCACAGAGCTTCTGCATTGGGCGACATCCTCTAAATTTAATTTTGGGAAGCTGGAAAAGTCTGATTCAAAAGAGCCGGTGCTTCAATTGCCACAATCGTCAGAACAGTTGACACGCGAAGCGACAATCACGTGCTCAGAGCATCTAGTTTTAAAACTGTAAATACCCCAGCAAAGTGAAACACTGCACGAAGATAACGAAAAGCGGCCCTTCTCGGGATGGGCATGGTTTGGCGTTTAGGAGGGAAATATCAAATGTGCGTCGCCACCGTACACGTACGGCAACGACCGTCAAAGAGCTAATAAATGAATAGTTAATTTTTTAATTTGCTACTTGTCAAATAAACGTGTCGTTTTGCAGCACGAACGCAGGTTACAAATTCAATGGCTTAAGGGATAAATGTAGACTGGTGCAAAAACCAAGCCCAAAGTCATTTATTTTGAGGCCTCAATGCTTGTTGTTTGTAACTACATTGTTACGTTCTTGAAGCAGGCTCCGATTTCGTAGCCGTGCGTCTTTTAATGCGTTGGCATTAGAACACTCGTTTCGACGAAAACCCGGCAGTGTCTTTTCGTTTGTCAGAGCCGGGGAGAGAGGGACAAGGAAGAAGAGGGGGTGACGCGTGCGACGCTCCCATTGGTCCGAAGAGCTGACATCAGCATGCATCAACATCTCTCTTTCTCTCCGGCGCTGACAAACTGACAGACACCGCCGGGTTTTTGTCGAAATGAGCCCTTTCGTTTTTAGCAAAGTCACGCACACAGCTGGACAATCCGCACACATGATCCAGAGAGGAGAAGGCGCCTCGCAACACCCCCTAGATAACAAAGCTGTTGTGCTGAATGAGGTGGCGTCATCAGAGAAGGCCAACACTGGACACAGATTGGAAACGAGTGCTGCGTCAGCGCTCGGCTTCGAGTCAACTTTGAGCCGAATGTTGACGCAATCGTCGTGTCCAATCCATGCCCAGCGTTGGCCCTCTCCGATGATGCCATCTCATTCAGCACGACGGCTTTGTTATCTAGAAGGCGTTGCGCCGCGTCGCGGTGGAATGCAAGCGTGCTCAGCTGCCGCTCTACCATCTCAAATTGTTCTTCGCTTCGGGTTTCCGTAGTAACGGTGCGTGGGCTGTGATATGTGTGTATGTAGTTAAAACGATGGATGCTCACTTAATGGGTGGTAGGGATGTGGTTCTTTCCAGGAGTGATATGGATGATTGTATCCAAGGACGTTGACATCCTCTGACAGGCAGAGTACAGATAAGGAGGCAAAAAAAATTACAGGAAGTTCCATTGGTGGATTGTTAGGGAATGCTTTATCATGACCCTTGGAAACAATACACACGTCCCTCTTTGGAAAACGCTGAAGGTGACCTCGTAACGAGGCCAAAAAGATGTAGTAAAAAAATAGAGGAAGCAAAAGAGAAAGCCAAGACAGAAAAGTTGAGGGGCCAGTGGTAGCGTTTCCCAAGAGGAGACGTGTGGCGTTTCCAAGGGCCATGCTAATGCATTCCCTAAGAATCCACCAGTGGATCTTCTTGTATTTTTTTCTTGAGAATATTTGCAGAGATTACTGTTTTGCAGAATTTATTCAATCTAGACGTATGTCCGAAACCCAAGCAGGCTTCTCTTTACGTCAAGTGCAGAGATTTTAATGTTTGCAGTTCTCGATAGAAACAGATTACCGCATGCAGTTTGTATCGCAAAGACATTTCCGACAAACAGCCGAGCTCTTGTTCGTGCATGATAGAACAGAGTGAGACGGTATTGAGCAGGGTTCTTTTTTTTTTTTTCAACAAAATGCATCAGTCTATGAATTGGTTAATAAAAAGCTTGCCATTTAATTGTATTTTGACCCCTAATGAGCTATTGCGGGGCACGCTTTTTTGACGACGAAATCATTTCCACTTTCGCTTGTGTCCGTGCCGTTACAGGTACTGTGCCAAGCTTCCCAGCGACACCTTCACGAGACTCACCCCCACGAGCAGCATGACCGAGGTGAACGTCGAGGGCGACCGCGACACCACGCTGTACCGCTGCTCTCTACACCTGCCCATCAATTCCCCCCTCAAGCGCTGCATCGTGGTGAGTGTGCAAGAGCTGTCGGGAGGTGCGTTGCCACGCGCGTGGCAGAGTCGGGAATGCACGTGGCTACCACGCGGAGGAACGGGGTTCGAACCCCTTTGGCCCAGTCCTCTCTTTTGTTGCCCACACTCTTCCAGGAGGTTCCGGCTTTTTCTCGGTTGTCATTGTGTGTTCTGGTTCGGAACGTTACCGAACGTTATGCGTGCATAAAAGTGGCAGTTATGCGCTGCGTCAGGGCGGTCGCCACTTCGCCGGCCGATGTAAAGATGCGTGGTACCCTTCTCTCTAAAATTCTAAGCTTTTATTTTCAGTTCTAAATTCGTTTTTTTTTTAGGAAGAGCTACCGTCGGTCTTACTCCACCTACCGCGTAATTTGCAGGGCGACCCCATGCCCGGAAAACTGCTCGCCAAGCAGGCGGTGGCACTCAAGACGTGCGAAGAGCTCCACAAGATGGGTGAGTTGCGCCCGAAACTAGCCGGTGGTCCAGATCGCCCAGTTCGTCTCTCGTGGTCGCGCACCCCAGCTTTGACCGGCGCATGCTCGTTCTCTTCCCCTTGCCTCCTGCGCACTCTCCCACCGCATGTGCGAGCACACTCGCTCGCTACCTGCTAAGCCGCATTCGCGCTGCTCGTATGTCGTACATAAAACGCAATGTTTGCTGCAGACGCAACGACAGAATTACATGCGGACAGAGTTTTTTGAAGTGCGTCTGCCTCATACATGTGTACGCTTCGAACATGTCTGTGGACAGTTTCTGTACGATCAACGTGAAAGGTCCGTCGTACAAGGAAGGCCTCGAGCACCATTTGCAGACTGTACGATGCATTAGCAGTGCGGATTTAGAAAAGAAAGTCATAGCGCTGGTTTCAGCGCGTGTTGCAATATGAAAACGAGCGCTGCGTCGGGGTTCAGCTTGTGGTTTCGTCGGTGAGGACACGAGTCCGGTCGAGCGCCGACGCGGCACTCGCGCCACAGTCTTCTGTCGCAGGAGCATGTGGCGGGAGGTGGTTAGCATCCTATCGTACGACACATTTCACGTCAATAGAAATGGCAGTTTCTTTGACATTCCCAAAGGCGTTTTAAAGGAATGCCGAACCGAAGACTTTGCAAAATAAGGTCGCAGAAGCGTTGAACAGGATGCTACTAACTCCAAAACGTCACTCGGACTTCGACATCTCAGATGGATGGCTGTATTTTGGGAAAAGAGGGGCGTGATCGAGCGAGGAATGTGACATCACGATTCTCTTGGAACAGTTGATAATGAGGGGAGGCGACCTCGCTTCTCCACTCCTCGCTTCAGTTCATCCGCTCGGGGCGACGAAGCGAAGAGGAGAGAGAATGAGAATCTTGATGTCGCACGTTTCTTTGGCCATGCTCAGTCGCGGGCTTCTTTTCCGAAAATACGGCCATCCGTTAGAGATATCGCTGCGCAAGTGATGTTTTGGGGTTTTGCAGCGTCCTGCCTATTGCTCCAGCCCTGTTTTGTAAGCTCCAAATTTTACGCATATGTTTTTGCTAACGCCCGCCCGAAACCACAGCCATTAGCTTGCATTACGCCAAACAGATTGTCCGTGAAGTGGCACTTGAACTGCTGCTCGGCCGTTGCATAATGGCAACTGGCTTCCCGTTGCTCTCGTTCCGCGACCCCTCCCTCCTCGCGTGGCTGCACCCGGCGTTGTCGCTCCTGCTCCACTTTGGTGGTACGTAAAGCCCACGAGCGAGGGTGTTCGTAGTGCGCATAGTTCGCTTTGCCTCCACCAAGAGCACACCATGGGAAGTCCGCGCTCCAATAGCAGTTGCCTTTTGCATGTTCCGTCGAGGCCATGTCTGGGGCACGATTGCGGAAGTGCGGCCCTACGAAAGCTATGCATTCAGAACTTCGTGATCGTGGCGCGTCAAGCTTCTGTCTCCGGAAACATTGCAACCGGCATTGTTTGTGCGCGTGTTGTTCGACGGTACCGGTTCGGTGCCTGGAACAGGTCCCCGACCGGTGTTTTTATTGTGTCCTAATATGTGGTTCCTCGGCTTCTGCCCGACGACGTAGTACTAGCGTTGCGCCATCGCTGGCCACGATCCTGGCAGCGTCGCAGCGGCAATGGTGGAAGTGGCAGGTGCCCATTCTGTGGCAGGTGCCCATTCTGCGGCAGGTCGCCCTCCAGCTCGACAGATCACGGAAGCTTTGGAAGCCCCAAGTTTGGACATTGTGAAGACAGCAACATTCACTTTCACTGTCGGGCTGCGTTTCAAATTTTACCCAAATGGATCCGAGCAGTACTTTGGCGGGTCGGGTCACGTAACAACACGGATGGAAAAACGCTGGACGCGAGTAGGTTTTAAAACGCCGAGGTTTAAAACCCTTACCCTGGAGTAGGATAGAGTAAATTTTGGAACACGGTCTTCCTCTTTGCCTGGGCTTTTAGCACCAACCACCAGGATCACAACTCCCGACAACGCGACCCGCCGGCATCGGCGGCATTATTTGTCACCACTTCGGGATCACTTCTGACTTTCACACCGGCTGAAAACTTGTTTTGGCGGGTCGGGTCACGTAACAACACGGATGGAAAAACGCTGGACGCGAGTAGGTTTTAAAACGCCGAGGTTTAAAACCCTTACCCTGGAGTAGGATAGAGTAAATTTTGGAACACGGTCTTCCTCTTTGCCTGGGCTTTTAGCACCAACCACCAGGATCACAACTCCCGACAACGCGACCCGCCGGCATCGGCGGCATTATTTGTCACCACTTCGGGATCACTTCTGACTTTCACACCGGCTGAAAACTTGTTTTGGGCACCATAGTAGCAGACCCGGAAAGGTCGAAGAGCCGTCCTCGCGCGTGACGTGGCGTCGTCTTTTGACAGGCGAGCTGGACGACAACCTGGTGCCTCAGGGCAAGGAGGCGATGCGGCTGGCGCTGGACCAAAGCGCCGGACGCTTCCCCGAGGAGGAGCTCCAGCCGGGGGCTCCCAGGCCGGGCACCACCAAGCGCCGCCAGTACTACGACAAGAAGGTGGGCTTTGGCTAGGGCCCACCTAGAAGACGAGGCCCGCACACGTCGTCGTCGTTAGTGCATTCGTGACCCGCCCCGAGCGAGAGGTTCAGGTGCCAGCACGCGGTAGCGCTCGACGAGAGACGCTAGAGTGCGGCAGCGTCAAGACGGACGCGTCTAGGCGTTGCCGCGGGTTAGTGCAGCGCTCGTCGTGAGACACTGCGAGATGCGCCGGCAGCGATGCTGTTGCAAAGTAGGTGGAGCTGCGTGGAACCACTAGGGGGGACGTTTGAGGTGGAAAGCGCAGGCCTCGTCTTCTCGGTAATATGGCTCGGCTCGGCTTTGTGTCGACCCCGTCTCTACTTCAGTTCGACTTGACTCAAGCCAGGGCCTTTCTGGCCCTTAATGACTTTGAAATCTTTACATAGTATTCTTTTGTTTGCGAGTGAAATTTGTCAAAACTTGGTGCGAGTGAGCGAGTGCAAAACTAGGTGCGAGTATGCCGCCGTACACTTTCTGCACCGACGCTAGTCGGTGCAGAAAGTGTAGGGCTGCATACTTCCGATCGTATCTCAATACACCTACCGGAAGTACACCGCGCTACAATTTGCTGCACGGGTGTAGGAGGTGCAGGTAAGTCGAATGAAGCTATTCTCTGTCCTGTGCGTATATCGTACAGCGAGTTATACGATTGTATTTTTGGAACATGCCAATACCTCCTGCTGTTTTGCTCCCTGGTTTTGATATCTTCAAATAACTTCCCAATTTAGTTTAAGGTTCATCAAACACCGACTCACACTGAAAGGCTAGCTGGAAGAAGAAAGAAAGGAAGTATGAACATATCTGTTAGAATTTGCCGTACTTGAAAAGCAACCTCGTGGTACATTTCGCTAAGCGACTAAGCTTTTTCAGGGCCTTGAAGCGGTTAGGTCCCTCACTTCGATGCTTTGAGAGAAGCCTTTTTTTAAATATCTTCCCGTACCAGCTTCAGCTACTTCTGTGAACTAACCTGGGGACCACAGGAGCTTGCATGCATGTAGCGTTGCAAGCGAGGACAAGGTTTCTGGTTTGTCTCTAACCCAGAGGCGTCCCGACTTTTTGCCCCTGTGTCCTGCATCAGTGTCTGATGATGTGAGATGAAAGATTGATTGATTGAGTGGTTGGTTGACTGATTGGTTCATCCAGGTGTTTGATTGAGTGATTGGTTGATTTATGGTTTGTTTAGGTGATTGATTGAGCGATTAGTTGATTGATTGGTTCATACAGGTGTTTGATTGATTGAGCAATTGGTTGATTGATCCGGGTATTTGATTGGTTGATTGAGCGATTGGTTGACCGATTCAGGTGTCCGAGGTGCTGAAAGGCCAGCAGGTGGGTGCGGCCGGCCAGTGCCACCTGTACGCCTTCTCCATGAAGCTGACATGCCCGATCCCGGAGGAGCAGAACACGAGGGGCCGCAAGATCCACGACCCCGCAGACACCCTCCGCGGTTTCGGACTCCTCACCTCCACCCGCATCCCCCCGGTGAGAGTGCACAGAAATACCGGCGTCGTCTGCGGCCTTTTTTTTTGCCCTTTACTTTTTGTGAGTGTAGACTCTGCTTGGCCGATTGTTAATGAAGAAAACTGTGCAAATTGCTTGGGCTTTCTCTGACTCCTCTGTTCAAATGTTGCGACATGATTGTGTCGATTTATTAGACCGCTCACCGAACTTGCTCGTGTACTGAACAGTCGGGGGGCGCCAGGGGAATTGTGGGTTATCTGGTAGCTTTCCTGATGAGGAATTGCTCCTCAATTTTTTTTTTCCGTGTGCCAGAATTTTGGAAGGAAGTTAAGGAAAGCTGGGGAGTCGCAAGGCATCTATACTCATGGCATTTTTACCTCAAGAACCATGATGAAAAAGACAGACTCTTTGCAGAGTGTTACTAGTTTCCCCTTTATGTGGTGTGCTAGGATCATTATCTTAAGATGAGTTATTTGTTGATATTCGTAACGAGCGTGTGTATGCTTCTAGCAGAAAGAATAAAACAGGAAGAGCGCAAGGCACGGATGGGCACACTCTTTCATGTGGCCATTCTTTCTGCTAAAAAAATTATTTGTTATCCTATTTCAATGTTTGTTTCAAATGCAGAAAGCATAGCTTTTCGAGCGCAGCTCTTAGGCGGCCGTTTTCGGGTTGAGCAGCGTCGCCGTTAGCGTAACCACGCTAAATTTAGCGGGAAAATTGACGTCACGTGACCTCAACACCAGTTTGGTTCCCCGCTAAATTTAGTGGGGAAAATGACGTCACATGGCTTGGTGTCACGTCACGTATGAACAAATTCAGTTTCTCCGCTAGATTTAGCGGGAAAATTGCTGTCACTTGTGGAGGAGGAGGAGGGGAAGGTACGCAGGGGGAGGGGGAGGGGAGAAAAGTAGCAAGAAAGGAGGAGAGGAGGAGAAGGAGGGGCATACCCTTCCCTCCGCACCCTCCCCTCCTCTTCCTCGAGAGCTGTGCTCTAATTTTGCGTTACAGAGATTTGTAAACGTCTTTAATTTTTTTCTCCGACAACCTTAGCTTGTAGGGACTATTCATACAGTGTGTGAAGTATACTCGAAGTATACGCATTGGGTGTCGGGTTGCGGTGTAATATGACATCAGATCACGTGACGTCACTGTGCGACGTGACATCACTCGACATTGTTTTGCCCAGATTTGCGTATGTCACGCTAATGCATTCTGCATACGAGACCTTCGAGCGGCCGATCAGATCACCTTAATTGCCTCCTCTCCCCACCCGCACGTGCAGATCTGCAGCTTCCCGGTGTTCACGCGGTCGGGGGAGGTGACGGTGCGACTGGAGCACGTGAGCTCCTCCCTGGGGCCCCTGAGCTCCCAGCAGGTGGGGGACCTGCGGAACTTCCACCGCTACACCTTCACCAACGTGCTTCGCCTCGAGAAGTACCCGATGACCTTCGACCCCCAGGGAAACGCCTGCTCCTTCCTCGTTGTGCCCATCAACCACGGTGGGTCCAGGTCCTCCGTCCACGCTCCAGTGTTGCCGACGCTACTGTTGGCAGTATCATTCTGATGGCCCGCTTTAAGCCCAATCAAGGCAGTGCCGGCCCCACGCCGGTAACGTTGGTCGACGGTGCCGTAGGCAATGTCGGCTAAATGTAGGAAACATTCGCCCCAAGTTTACAGCTCCGGCCTCATGTCGGCAACGGTGGGAAACCGTTATAGGCAATGTCGGCACATTACCCCGATGTAAGCCCAATGTTGGCACCCTATACACCGTGTCGACAATGTCGGCCCTTCGTCGGCGAAGTTGGTCTGACCTTGCTGCTGTTCTGGTTGATACGGCCAAAAATTTAAAGGGAAGGCTGTCCATAGGTCAATTCATGGTGTATTCTTGCGTTTGCCTGGGCACAGTGATTGCTACAGATGTGAACCGTTGGAGGGCCGTGATATGATTTGTTTTTGCTTCAATTGGCCAAGTAGGAAATCCAAGAGTCCGCTCGCTAATTAGCGCATCACTGCGTTGCATGGTGCAAACAACACTGGTTTGCCCGTACCCTCAATGCCGTTCTATTAAGTGACTTTTCTAAAATTTTGGTGCTAGGACACATGCGTTGGGGCCTTTTCGGCGCCATGTTTCCGACTTCGTAGCTTGCTGAGTAGGAAAAACGGCTCAGTTACGTTAAAGGAACGTATACGGAAGATTGCTCTTGAGCAGTCCCATCTTTCATTCGTCGTTCTTCCCTGCGAAGCAATGTGTGGCCGCCCGTCTCTTCCTTCCCCAGCGTCCGGCAGCACCGCCTGCGGCATTGACTGGCCTTTCGTCCAACGCATCTGCGAGGAACAGAGCTTTGCACCCCGCAGAATTCCCGAAGAGGAGCGCGAGCTGTTCGTCTTCAAGGAGGAAGACTACCTCGACACCGTGGTAAGTGCCGTCGCGTACAGTTGTCTAGTGCACAGATCAACTTTATTAACCCACCCAGTCACGGAACTGCCCATAAACGCCGCTTCCACAAGCAGTAACCCCCCCTCTCCCCCCAAGGTCCGTCTCTTGTTGAACGCTCCACAGTTTCTTGGGGGGACGGCTGCTACGTTGACCACAGTTTTTCAGGTTTGGAAGCACAGAGTCTAGATGGTGCCTGACCGTGGTGTTTCCGAAGAGTACAGCTTTGAAAGGCAACCTCTAGATGGCGCTTCAAACGACGGGCGGGGGCCTGAAGGAGAGAAGGGACGTACCTTGTCGTGGGAGTTCCATAATGAGTTGATCTAATAACGACGGCGCGGATCAAATGTTCCGCCATTTGTTGAATCGCACGGAATTGCTTGAATTTTCTCTTGGCAAACTGTTCTTTAACTAAACAGTTAGGGTTGTTGGGAACCGTGTATATTACTGGGAGATGTTTCTTGGATTTAAGATTAGCAATGCACGGTTTGGTGGCCATCCCAGGTGATGCCATGGTACCGGAACTTGGACAAGCCGCAGTTCTTCTACGTGGCAGAGATCTGCCACGACCTGAATCCAAAGAGCGACTTCCCGGACGCGGGCTTCGAGACCTTTGACGCCTACTACAGGTGGAGTGTTTTTTTTGTGTGTTTTTTTCCGGAAATTTACGAGTTAGGCATTTGATGGGTTAAGGACACTGTCTAAAGGTGGGAACTTAATGCAACCCTCGCGGGTGCTGATTATAGGAGTGAAGTTCACTCTTTGTGGACCGTGGTGAAAAATTAGAGAAGCGTCGAATTAAGGCTAGGAACACCGTCGGGTTGGAGTTCAGTGTGCAAGGGCGGTTATGCGCTGCGCAACCTTTGCGCATGCGTGGTTGCGCGCCTCGCGGCCTTGAAAATGGAGATGTGAATGAGGACGGTTCTTCCAACTTTTGTCATGCTGAGAGCAAGCCTTTGACGCACTTGCTTCGTGGCAAGGCAGCACCATTCAGACACATCTCCCTTGCACCGTACCGTAGATGTAAGAGGCAATCTTTTCCCAAGGCTCGAGCCACCCTTTGATCGACCTAATTAGATATGAACATCTATAGAATATTGGTGCGTCAAACTTGCTCTAGCTTCGAACCTTTTATGCGTGCGATGTGCATTTGTTTTTGTGATGAATTTTCTGCAGTTGTATTTTTGAAGCGAAAATATAATAGGGACGATGCCACTGTCAAAGAAGGGCTCTTTTAATTCGAGCGATACTACTAATCCGGTTTAATTTCCAGACTCTCTTTCTGCAATGGTTGGAGAATCGAAATAATCGGGGAAAACCTGAAAAAAATCGGGAAATTTGAAAGAAGTAACTTGGTAGCAAAGACGAAAAGTTCATTCCGGTAGCCCAAAACGCGTTTTCACCGAAGCGTACCCGATTCCAGGGAGAAGTACGACATCCGGGTGGTGGACGGGCGCCAGCCGCTGCTGGACGTGGACCACACGTCGGCGCGGCTGAACCTGCTGACGCCGCGCTACGTGAACCGCAAGGGGGTGACGCTGCCCACGAGCAGCGAGCAGACCAAGCGGGCCAAGCGGGAGAGCCTGCAGCAGAAGCAGATCCTGGTGCCCGAGCTATGCCTGGTCCACCCGTTCCCGGCCTCTCTCTGGCGCAAGGCCGTCTGCCTGCCCTGCGTCCTCTACAGGTGCATAGAGCATTCCGCGCTGCTTTGAAACCCGGCTTATGCATTGGATAGGCGAGCTGCTAGTAGGGGATGAAAGCCAGTTCGAAAGCGCCTCGCTACCTGCAACGATGCAATGCATGCGCATTTGCGAACGATCTGCGCTGGAGGTGTTTGCTGTTAGATGGCTACCGCACTCCCCGGTTTGAGTTGCTCCCTCTCTGAAATTTAGGCTCTCTATCTACAGGTATTGCTGCGTGCCTCCCTCCGCGGGGACCTTCTGTCTCCCTCTCGGCGCTCGTGCTTTTTGAGTCTTGATTTCTGCGATTCTAATCCTCTTCTTTTTGAAAAGAGGCGTACTAGGCCTCGTTCATTTTTAATAGAATTCACATATTTTTTTCAAATTTCAAATACATGCAAATTATCTTAAATATTTGAAATTTCAAATGTGATTTGCACACAAGAGACGTTTGAATTACATTTTTGTATAGGAACTGAATACCAAATATTCTAAATTTTATTTGCAAACAGATTGCCCCGAAATTTTTAAATTGCGGATACAGTCTGAATGTTGTTAATGTTTGAAATTTAAAACATAAACTGTAGACTCAACTTTTGCGAAGACATAATTTTCGGGAATTTTGTGACTCGAATAATATTGCGAAAAATAGATCCCGCGAATATGTTTCCGTGTGTTAACAAATACATAGAATTGCCATCCTGATTTGCAAATTTTGTTCCCAGAAAATATTATTGAAAACCATACTTGGCGAATATTGTGCCGAATTTGCGAACCGAATTCGTGAAATATCGTGCCCACGGAAATGAAGTTATTTACAGTACCCTAAATACTTTGGATTTCGAATACAAACTGAATGTGTTCTTGCATTTTCGATTCTTATTCAATTCAAACAATCGTGCGAAGCGACACAATGCAAATCGAGCACCCCGAATTTTCAAAATTTGGGTTGTGCTCCGAATACTCTTAATGTTTGAAATTTCGAATATAAACTAATTCTCTAAATACAGTCTAAGCTCATTACAACAGACCTGGTTACAACAGACATTTGGATATACAGTAAAACCTCGTTATAACAAAATGGGATATAACAAACTAATGGATATAACAAAGCAATCATAATTCCCCTTGCTTGCTAATAGTATGGAGAAATGGACATTGGCTATAACAAACTAATGGTTATAACGAAATAACTACGACCGCTCCTTCAACTTTGTTATAACGAGGTTTTACTGTAACATACAGATTTGTGAAGTTCAGTTGGTTTTCCTCTACATACCATTGACTCTATTTCATATCTGCATACAACATACTCTTTTTACAACGGACCGAAATCTTGGTTAAAATAAAAGTCTGTGATAACGAGCTTGACTGTACCTAGAATTTGGAATACGAACCGTTTACATTCTCGCTCATTCGATTCCCATTGGACCGTGCGGCCAGGATGAACTCCCTTCTGCTGGCGGAGCAGCTGCGGCTTACGGTGGCGCGGGAGGTGCACGTGGGCACGCCCGAGCTGCCCGGGGACTTCGAGTGGCCCACGCTGGACTTCGGCTGGACCCTGGCGGACGTGCTGCGGAAGGCCCAGGAGGCCGCCAAAGCTGAGGAGGAGCGCGCGGCTGACCTGCTGGAGCGCACCGGCATCCAGCCCGTGCGCATCTCTCCCGCCGACGTCTGGCGCGCGGGCCCCGAGGAACCCGCCTACCCGCAGGACCTGGTCATCGACACCTTCGACCCGAGCAAGGTGAGGGCGGGTCGGTGCCGCCCGGAAAACGAGGCTCGCGCACGGCGTTGGCGTGTCTCCGACTCCCTCCAAGTGGCAGACGCGCCGAGGCTCGACGAGAGAGGCGTCCGCCGCCGCGTGCCAGCGTTGCGCTCGTTACGAGATACCGTGCAACACGCCGGCGGCGACGCTGGCGTGGCGGGGCTGCGTGGACCCTCTTTTTAGCACTGATGTTTGAGGGGAAAAGGTGTTAAGCTTTGGACGTATGCCCAACTGCCGCGCGTCAGACGGCCCAATTTTCACTTTAGCTAGGAGTAACACGACGGACAAAAGGTGTTAAGCTTTGAAAGTTGCCATGCAACCACGGGGCTGCCAACCGCTTTTATGAAGCTGCTGGCTTCCCTTTTGTTTCGGCAGTATGGGGCTTGCTGGCGGAGGAAAATGAACGGCTTTTGTTTTACTGGGTAGCTCTTCACGAGAAAATGTCTCGTAAGTTTTGCTCGAAAAAATTAAAACGTTTACACTTCTTTGTAAGGCGAAATTAGAGTGTAGCTTTTGATGTGTTTGTTTTGTGATATGCCATGGAAACGAGGTCGCATTTAGAGGTCACGCTGACGGCGACACCGCTATATCCTGGAAGCGTCTTGACCTTCCCTTTCGTTTTCTCTCCCCCAGGTCGAGATCCCCGACGACGACCAACTGGCGGACCAGCTGGCAGACCAGGAAGTGAGCGCCATCACCCTGGGCGGGCCGAAGGGCCCCAACTTCGACTGGAAGCCGATCCCCAAGCTCCCCGGGGAGCCCACGCCCGTGCCCCGCATCCGCTACGGGTCGCCGAGCAACTTCGAGGCCGAGGGCTGGGACTCCGAGTGGGACACAGACATGGAGGACAGCTCCTTCGTAACCCTCGACATGCCGGGCCTGGGCTACATCTCGGCGCCGGGCGTCTTCAACATGCAGGGTCTCTCGCTCGACCTGGCGTCGTGCCGGGACGACGACGTATGGGACAGCTTCGACGAAGACGAGGAGGACGAGGTGGACATCGCGTTTGCGCGGGCGGAGTGGAAGGAGTCGCTCGAGGAGGGGGAAGAGGAGGTGGGAAAGAGGGCGGAGGAACAGGTCGACTGGCTTTCGCGCTGCAGCCGCGACCAGGGGGGGCGGGAGAGGGCGGGGGTGCTTGCAGAGCCCGCGGAGGAGGAGCGGGAGGTGGACCCCCGCGTGGAGGAGAGGGTTGCAGAGATTAGGCAGAAGTGCGCGACAAGTCTGGAGGTGTGGAGAAGCGGCGACGCCACGGAAGAGAACTCCGGGGAGCAGAAGAAGTTGTGCGACTCGTTTGAACGGATTTCCGAAGCGCTGCGCAGGATCGCGGAGTACGAGGAAGACGGGCCCGGCAGGACAGAAGAGGCGGCAACCGCAATGGGCCGCGACGCCGGCAGCACCGTCGAGACACCGGACGGGAGCGTCCTGGCTTTCGGCGAACTCCTCCCGGACCGGGACGCAGCGAGGACGGCCGCGGAGGACGAAGGCTGTTCCGCGGTGGTGCGGTTCGACGAGCGGCCCGACCTGTCGAGCCACAGCGGGCCGAGCCCCAGCATCCTGCTCCAGGCGCTGACCATGTCCAACGCCAATGACGGCATCAATTTAGAGCGCCTGGAGACGGTGGGGGACTCATTCCTCAAGTACGCCGTGACGGCTCACCTGTACTGCACCCACCCGAGTGTGCACGAGGGCAAGCTGTCCCACCTACGCAGCCGCCAGATCAGCAACCTCAACTTATATCGGCTGGGGCGGGCCCGCCGCCTCGGCGGGCTCATGGTTGCGACCAAGTTCGAACCGAGCGACAACTGGCTACCGCCGGGCTACGTAGTTCCGCCGGGGTTAGAGCGGGCGCTGATCGAATCTGGGCTCCCCGCAGGCCACTGGAACATCGGCGCACTCGCGGGTCTGACCCAGATGGACGAGGAGGAGATTCGGCAGACGCTTGCGGAGCGCCGCAAGAAGGTGCGGAACCTGGAGGAGGTGCTCGCGGAGGAGAGCGGCCTGGACGCGGCCCCGTACGTCCCGTACAACCTGCTGACACAGCACAGCATCCCGGACAAGAGCATTGCGGACTGCGTGGAGGCACTCATCGGGGCCTACCTCGTGTCGTGCGGTCCCCGCGCTACGCTGCTCTTCATGTCGTGGCTCGGACTGGAGGTGCTACCGAGGGACCGGACGGCGGAGGCGCTCCGGGACGTGAGCGCGCCGCTGTACCGCACCCTGGAGTCGCCGCTGGTGTCGCCCGACGACGGATCGGCACTGGCGCAGCTGCTCTCCGGCTACGACGCCTTCGAGGCGCGCATCGGGTACCGCTTCCGGGACCGGGCCTACCTGCTGCAGGCGTTCACGCACGCGTCATACCACTACAACCGGCTGACGGACTGTTACCAGCGCCTGGAGTTCCTCGGGGACGCTGTGCTGGACTACCTCATCACGCGCCACCTCTACGACGATCCCCAGCGCCACTCACCGGGCACTCTGACGGACCTGCGCTCGGCGTTGGTCAACAACACCTTTTTTGCGTCGCTGGCCGTCAAGTATGACTTCCATCGGTACTTCAAGAATGTGTCGCCGGGCCTGTTCGCGGTCATCCAGCGGTTCGTCGAGACCAAGTGCCACAGCGACGGCTTCCGGTACCACGAGGTGAGAAAGGTCGTCTTCTTTAAAAAAAAGTGGCTGCATGTTTGGTCATTTTGTTAAACACGCTTAAACGTGGTAGCTTTATAAGGCCATTGTTGTTACCGTGGTGATTACGCAAAATCATCGCACTGAAATACATTGTGGCAGTCGTTGGCGACACTGCAGTGGCTGTCGTGGTTGTTGCCGCTGTTTTCGCTGTTCTTGACAGTGTTGCAATTTTATTCTGATTTGGATGTCATCCGGAACAGTTTATGTACCAAGAAGCAAGCTACAAAATCTATGGAACATAATCCGGGAACTGCTCACGCAAAGACGCAATCGATGGTGATTGTTTTTGCTCCTGATCGTCAGGATCCTGATCTTGAGGCGGGCGCTTGCGTTTTGGTGGCAGTGTGAAGGCTAGAGACTAACTGGCACTCACTGAGGGAGAAGCTGCATTTCGTGAAAAAACAGCTTACGTCACACCATTGTCTCTTTGTGACGCTCAGTGCGCTTCCCTTCAACACCACCCTAATACAAAGCCTTTTCATTGAATTTTCTGGGTCACCAAGAGAGGGGAAGCGCGCCTTCTTGTTGTTTCCACTTCTCACTCCTCGTTCTGCGTGCTGTTTCTACACCACCTGTTTCTGCTCCTCTCTTTCATGCCCTTTCCACCCCTCCACTCCGCTCGCTTTCTCATACCACCTGCTTCTGCTCCTCTGTTCCTGTGTGCTGGATCCATAGCTCAGTTAGCAGCGTACTCCGTTTTCGGGGACCGGTGTTCTCATCCCCGACACCGGTTGCCATTTTTTAGAGTGCAGCTCTTAAGGGCCCGTTTCCGGCTTGAGCGGCGTCTGCATCGCCGTCGGCGTAACCGCGATGTCACATGACCCCCACAGGTCACGTGACCCCCCAGGTCACGTGACCCCCTGAGGTCACGTGACCCCCTGAAGTCACGTGACCCCCTCAGGTCACGTGACCCCCTCAGGTCACGTGACCCCCTCAGGTCACGTGACCCCCCTCAGGTCACGTGACCCCCTCAGGTCACGTGTCCCCCCTCAAGTCACGTGTCCCCCCTCATGTCGCTTGACCCGCCTCAGATCACATAACCCCCTGATGCCACGTGACCCCCTCAGGCCACGTGACCCCCTCAGGCCACGTGACCCCACTGAGGCCACGTGACCCCACTGAGGCCACGTGACCTCACTGAGGCCATGTGACCCCCCTGAGGTCACGTGACCCCCCTGAAGTCACGCGACCCCCCTGAAGTCACGTGACCCCCCTGAAGTCACGCGACCCCCAAGGTCACGTGACCCCCCTGACGTCACGCGAGCCCCCTTAGGTCACGTGACCTCAAGGAGTCACCTATCCCTCAGTACGCTTCCATCTTCCTCCTCAAGAGCTGCGCTCTAACCGGCGTTACAGGGAATTGTAAACGGCTTCCATTTTTCTCAAGATTGTTTGGCGGTTATGGACTGGCCGACCTACACATATGTTGCTTACCTGGTTCCTGAGGTTGGTTGGCCCTATAAAGCTATCGCTTTAAAATGGGTGGCGATTTTAATCTTCGAAGTATTGTATGCATGAAATGCAGTATTTAGGAGCAATCGCTTCAAGTGTTTGCAAGGCGTTAAACAGTCATTCTGGAAGTGAAGAGCCTACTATATTTTTATCAGTTTTGGGTAAACCAAATTGGATTTTTAGGAGAATAATTGCCTAAAATTGACTAAATGTTTTGATTAGTGAAAAAAAAAACATGTTTCCAGTCATAAACTTGCCAAGAGTTTGGGCCCTCCTAAAAATTGACTGATTTCGGGCTTTTTGATGACACTCAGCAAGTGCCCGACTGGAGCCATAGGTTTATTTTCACTAATTAATAAGTTAGGTCATCCATTTTAGGTATCTTGCTAATTTCTCAGCCACCCTAGTTTTAGGAATTTTTGTAAACTGTTGTCGAAAAGCTTGTCTCGCCGAAACTTCGAAACCCTACATTTGATAACCGACGACTCGTTTGTATCGTGCGGGTTCGTTATGAACGGATGTGAGTGTGGACATCTATTTTGGATGCAGCAGCTCGGTAGACGATTTCCGAAGCCCCGTCGAGCAACCTTGGTTGCCTCCATCCCTTGGGCGCGGAATGTGCAATTAGATCCGAGTCCTTGCTGAATGCCGACCGAGCACTCGCTTTCGATAAGAGTTATGCGGAGTTTGAACGCGGACGCAGCCCTCGTGTCCAGTGCGTCCTGGGAGTATAGAACGGCAGACTCGGACGATTGGCATAGCAGCCACCAGTTGCCATGCACTTCTGGAAAGGATCTACGGTGGCAGAGGTTTGTTTCACTCGTGCGGGTGTGCTTGCCGCCTCAGAAGTACTACCTGGAGGAAGAGGAGTGCGAGGAGGCCGAGGAGGTGGAGGTTCCGAAGGCGCTGGGCGACATCTTTGAGTCTGTGGCCGGCGCCATCTTCCTGGACAGCAACATGTCCCTGGACACGGTCTGGAGGGTCTACTATGCCATGATGAAGCCCGAAATAGGTAGGCCCTCCCCATCACTTCCGCTCGTCCGCTTCACCGTCCAATTAATGTCGTCCACTCCAATACCACCTAAAAGACAAGGCTTACAGCCCCCCCCCCCTCCCCAACGTCAGCATTGCCGCCAGCACATCTTGCGGAGTCTCATAACGAGTGCAACGCTAGCACGCGGCGACGCCAAGACGCATGCGTCTGTTGCTTTGAGGCGACTCTGGTCGAGCATCAGTGTGTTGGCCGCTTGGGGCGGGGAAGGATCCATTAACGATGGTGTAATGCCTCGTCTTCTGGCTGAAATGCGCTTGGGTCGGCGCGAAAACGTATTGCAAAATCATCACTTCTTTGATACGGTATACTACCTAGGAAATTGACTACTCTAGACCCTCTCTATAGAAAATACTGGTGTAAATAGAACCTCTGTAGTAAACATTGAGATAGCGAAGATACATATGTACTGTAAAGCAAGGTTGAAGTATGTTTGCGGTAATGATACATGTAATAAAATGCTTAGATGGGCCAGTTGGTACATCGTGGGAAAATAAGCGCCGAAAAAACACGGATTCTTTGTCCGTGTTTTTTCGGCGCTTATATTCCCCCAATGATACATGTTTTTGACTTGCTGACAAATGAAGGGTGTGATTTCAGTTCTTACTGTTTTTTTTATGCTTTTAGTACATATATGATGTAGTTTTTCTTCAAATATGTGATCAGTTACCTCAGATAAGAAATAGTGAAGACGTATCTTTTTCCAATTTAAGGAAAAATATGTCTCTTAGCTTACATTTTTAAAAATATTTTGACCAATACAAAACATTTATGCGGATATAGTTTGTGTCAGCACAATGTGTCGTCTCGTCTATTTCTGCCGTGAAAGGAGGGCTGAACCGAGACCGAAGTGTGCCGGTATTTTTTCCACATCAGAAACTAAATCAATGATCTGAGAATTGTGAAAGAATGCATTGGAATGTAAGTTACTTAACTTTGTCAATTTGTTAATACTGTAGCTGTAATTTTAATATTTAGAGCTCATGTGACTGCACCTGAAACCAAACTTTTTAAGGGTACCTCTTTGGTCTCCGTGGCATGCTGGGGACAGTGTCTTTGAATAATGAATAAAAGCCTCTAGAACGATGCCTATACGATAAATATTGGCATTAAATCTTGCGGCAGTGACCATCACCCCTTGGGCATCAGGGTAAACCGCTACCTATTTTCATTCTTAGTTACATTTGTTTGAAACGTGCAGGTAATGTGCTACGTGGTGTGCCCTCTTTCTTTGGAAAGTAAATGCTCTATGCCCTTTGGAAATGGAGTGTACAAACGTATGGGCATCTTTTCGTGTTTAGAGCCGAGCAAGATGAGCATGTTTACCCAGCTCGGTGCACGTGGCCACGCCGAAAGTGACGTCTAAAAGAGATTCCTAAAGTGATTGCGGACAATGGCAGACTGTGTTTTTGCTCGCTTATGTTTTCTCCTTGTGTCTGTTGCAGAGTACTTCAGCACCCACGTGCCCAAGTCTCCCATCAGAGAACTCCTGGAGCTTGAACCTCAGACGGCCAAGTTTGAGTAAGCACACCGTTTGAGTCTCATTGGCCGATACAGAAGCGTGTCTTAGGTGCTACGTTATTGGGTGGATGACACCTTGTCGGGCTTTTAGGTTGTGGGTTGAAGTGATAGAGTTGCTAACTGACACAGAATTACTTTCGGGAGTAAATTGGTGATAGTTGTCTTACCTCTTTCGTACAGGCACTATCCGACTAGATTGCTTTTTGTGAAGGCACGATTGAAACACTAGACTTGTTGTTTCTTTGTCGCGGCGCCCATTACGGGCTTATTGTGTGAAAATAAATGTGCTTTCTTTGATTCCGTTCACCCCGCTTTCAAAGCTCTTTATTGGCCGCCATCTTGGCATTCGCCGATTTAACCGGACGAGCACCCATGTTTAGAATAACCTAGTCTTCAGTGAAAGTAGGTTGGGCGCTTCCCCTGTATTTTACGGTAGTAAAGTAATGAGAAATGTGCCAGTTACTTTTCATCCTCTTAAATCTGTAGCTAAGGTCATAGTGACCTACTGATTCAGATTCTTTCAGAGCGATTTCAATCGAATACCTTTTTGTGCGATTTCAATCGAATACCATTCTGTGGTCACTGAGAGCTTAAGGAGCTTTTGTTTCTCGCTCGCTGATTGATTGTTCGGCATTTCTATCGGCTCCCCTTGAATGCAGAACGACAGTGAGACGGGCTCGCCGCACTCTGCGTGTCCGTTTCTTGAGCCGTCGGTTTCCATAGAGAGTTCGGGATTTCACGAGCGACGAGAGATGGTGACATCCGCGTGTCGCGTTTCCATCGCAGGAGGGCCGAGATGACGTTGAACGGCAAGGTGCGCATCCGCGTCGAGGTGTTCGGCAAGGGCCGCTTCGTCGGCGTGGGCCGCAACAAGCGCATCGCCAAGTGCACCGCCGCCAAGAGAGCCCTGCGTGCGCTCAAGCGCATGAGACAGGACGGACAGTCCCTGCTCTAGGTGCCGCAGCGGCTGGAGGAGCTCCGGAAGCCTCTCGTGGCTGGGCAGTCCGGTCGACGGAGGACATCCGCAGAGCGGCGATCCCCCTTGGTGCGCTGCCTGGGCCGAATCTTCGACTGGTGCGGTTACCGCCTCCTAAAAAGTGGTCCCTCGACGACGTCGTAAAAGTGTCGCGCTGTCGCTGGCTGCTGCATTTATTCGGTTACCCGCCTTACCCTTCCTGAAGTTACCAACAATCTATTCAAAAGTAGAATATAACGTACCCGCGATAAACCACTCGGAATTCGACTTGGAAACAAAGAATGTGGCAACAAAACGAAAACGGTACCAACCAGTTTATCTGGGCAACCCTGAGGCAGGAGTGATGGGGAACTCTTAGGTTCTTTGATCTACCTATTTTGTCGTTTTGCTTGCGTCGGGATTTTTTTCACATCTTGGCAACCTCCCGATTCATCGCTGCTTCTGTGTGGAGGAGCTTTCGGTGCCGACGTCTTTGCAGCATTGCCGAGTGGTCCGTGCTGAGCGGCATTCGAGGCCGTTCAGCTAGTTCTTCAGCCTGCTCAGCGGAATTGGGCATATATTGAAATGGTTTATGTCGAGTTTTTACGCGCGTGGGTGACTGCGGGTGGATTTTAAGGATTTTACTTTTTTTGAGACACCACGATTGTGCTTAAGATTGTCTAATCGTGCGTTACTTGAGATACATATTGACGATTTCCTTGGCATGTTTGTAGGCGTTGCTGATGACGACGCCCTCCGAATGAAGCATTTATTATGTAAATATGCGGCGAATGAAGGGTCACATTGAATGCAATTAGGAATTACTAGAAGACTGCATAGTTCTTTTTCAAATGGCGATTTGTAAATACGTCACTCACGACGAAGTTTGAATGTTTTGCATGCTTATGGTGCCGAAATCCTTCGTGAACTGCTGATATAAAGTATTTTTTAATGTGACTTATCGTGTACGGTTTCTTTACTGATACAGGTAGAAAAATTTTTAAAGCTCGTTGGTGCTATTAATAGATTTTTTTTTTTTTTACAGCTCAATGATTGGGCTGTATGACCACAAACTGTTGACAAGATGCGACTTAGAAAGCTTTATCAACACCCCCCACCCCAAAAAAAAAAATCTGTCAAGCAACAAACAAAGCAACGAACAACAGTTTGATTCTTCAAACATGTCTTTTGTGTGACATCGAAATGGTACCATGAATTCTGGACTATGCTTGGCATGCTCATGCTTTGCGTCTTGACAGCCTCAAAATATTTATATGGCGATCTTCCAGAGCCTTCCACACTCGTGAGCTCCTCTCTCTGCTCACAGGTGGTGGAGCTCCTCCACGCCTACCCTCTGGTCACATGACCTCCCCGTTAACCAATCAGCGTCGAGCACCTCGCTCCTCCTCTCCCATCTGTCAGCCACTCGGCGTCAAGCCTCGTGGCCACGCTTTTATCTGGGCTTCATGTAATGCCAAACACCTAGCCAAAGGACGTTCAGGGATACGGAAACGAAATGACGTGGCCCCGAGCTCTCGCCCCTCGCTTTAAAATCCACCAGCGAGAAGCACAATGCATACTGCGTTCGTGGCGTCAAGGGCTCCTGCACGGCCAAGGGTACTGCAGCTGCGAACGCTGCCGCTTGGTGGCGTTGACGCGTGTCTCGCCTAGTAATATCCGGGGACTGTATGCCCAACGGCCTATGCGTCGCTTGCCTCGCGTCGTTCGCCTATAGGCCAACGCGCAGTTTACAAACGAGCCCCCACGAAGTGCGGGCCAACGCACAGTTTCCGCACGAGGTGTGGGCACTGCGCGTGCGCAGGAACCGGATTCACGTGAAATGGAGCGTCTGCGCATGCTCCCTGCCAGTAGCAGTGCCACCGCGGCGGCGTGACGTCAGTGCCGGTGCGAAGCTTCGCAGACCACCACCAGGCGCAATCTGAGACCTGGTTTCTGGGCTGCCAGCACAATGTAGGCCACATCTAAACAAAGAAACAAGTGCCAAAATTCGGCTTACGTACCCCTTCAAAACTGTGTCGTCGTGCTGCTGGCAGTTGTGTGAACCTGATCGGTGGAGACGAAGTTCCTATTCCGTTCAAGTCTGCAAACATTTTGTTGTGTCTGCTTGCTGATGTTTGTCGGTTTACTGTAGTTAAGCACTGGTTCTGTGGCAATGCGCAAATGTATGAGTGCAGGTGCTCGCACACCCTGAGTGCAGATCAAAGCTGTGCACATGCACCCCTCTCTGGAAAGGCCAGAGAATGTTATCCCCAAGTAGAAAATTATGCTGCAAGCCTTTGGGGTTGGATGAAAAGTATTGTAATTTATGTGTAAAACTAAAGTAGTGTATCATGAACCAAGGAGTTTGCTGTAAAGTGAGTCTGAAAGCTCGGCATCCCCATGTCGGTAGCAATCGGGTCATGGCAGTAGCGTAGTCAGTGGAAAAGCTTGTGAAGCTTTAGCCCCCCCCCCCCCGAAATCCAGCTGACCCTAAAATAAACAGATGCATTTGGACCTGCCCTCCCCCTCTCCACACCCCAATGGACATTGAGCCACCTCAGCACCCCCACCCCCTTTCTCCCAAAAAAGGTTGACTTACTATGCTGGCTCATCGAACGACATTTCATAGACAACTCAGAATAGATTTTTCTGTAATAAGCTACATCAGACTGTCGACACAAAGTGGCATGTAGGGGTGGATCAGATGAGTTAACATTTTTACAAAAATAAGCGTAAACGGGGGAGGTGGGGGTTTGCACACACTTCAGTGACACATGTGCAACAATCCCTACAGTGCGCAACTGCCGATCGTCATGATTCAAATGTGCGACTTCCTCAGCATTAGATTTGGTGTTCGGAAGCTCATGTGAAACATATAAAATAGCGCAACAAAAAACAAGGACAAAAAGTATACAGGACAGGCGCTGTCCTGTATAGCGCCTCTCCTGTATACTTCTTGTCCTTGTTTTTGTTGCGCTATTTTATATGTTTTACTAAGATGAACCAAATAGCCCAACAACGTACCTTACTAAGCTCATGTGATATTGCTTTCCTTTGTCACGGACTGTTTAAACATTTACGGAGGATGGAAAAGCGTTTTCTGTGATTTCAGATAAACCTTCAGATAACCGACAACCATGTGTCGTTACTCTAAAGCGGAGCTTATTTAGTGGCACTAGCCACGGCTGGTGGAACACGTCGAGGACGTTGAGGGAAGAATGAAAAAAATTGTGGTGGCTTAGCTCGGCTATGCCTGGATATACGTAGCGTGAGCTTATGCGCACAAAATGAGAGGCGCTATCAAGCAGCTCAGGTGCAGCGTCAGACTTGGCTACTGCGCAACGGAGGCGTACAGCTGGGCACGCGGCGGCGCCAGTGCGTCTGCCGCGGTTATGACGTCACTCCTCTGGAATGTGCAGACCGGCGAGGCGCGCGCGGTGGCGGCGAAGCGCGCGGCGGCGGCGGCTCCGGCGCGCCAGCTGTGTGTCGTGTGACGTCACTGCTCCTCGCGCATGCGCAGCAAGGCTCTTTGGGAGCCACGCAAAACTGCTCAACCTCGGCCAGTGTAGCTCACTGTAGACACCACGTGTGCCACGTGTCCTCAACACCGATTCAGTTTCCCCACTAAATTTAGCGGTGAAAATTACGTCACATGGCTTGATGTCAGGTCACCTATGAACAAATTCAGTTAATCCCGTAAAATTTAGAGGGAAAATTTACGTCACGTGATGTCAATTTCCCGGCTAAATCGTGACTTTAACACCAATTCAATTCCCCGCTAAATTTAGCAACAAAAAAAAACTGTTGTTTATTTATTTATTATTATTATTTTTTTTTTTTTTTTAATTTTTGCGCATGCGCTTGAAAGTTTAACTTCAGTGGAACTCGAACCTTTGTGTACATCACGTTGAAAGTTCGAAAAAGTCGAACGGTCGACCTTGGTCGAACTCTAACCTGGGTCACCTGGGCAGGTTCGCGCCTCAAATTGAAATTCATCGCTTTTCCGCAGCATAATCACCCCATGGAGTGCAGAATATATATTTTAGCAAACTCATTCTTAAAAAGATCTTTTAAAGGGCGGCACCAAACGGCCATCAACGGAACTTTCGGCTGTCTCGCTGTCGTCTGCTGCTGCTGCTGCCGCTGTCAAGCATCAAGCGCGTTCCATTTTGATTTCCTAAATTTTCGTAGTCATTTGCCTGTCCTCTGCTGTGAGTTTCTTCCGCTTCACTGATTCCTGAGTCAAGGTATGTAGGGGAACCAAAAACCACTTCTCGCCGCGAAAGCGGGACCCGCGGAGGGGCTCTAACCGCGGCGTGTTTGTGGCGCCTGCTGCGAGCCGTTCGTACCTAACCCTACTCGATTCTGAAACTTTAGGATTCGAACCCGCAGACATCTGTCAGCGTGGCTCGCGAGCGCTCCAGACGCGTCTTTGGGATGTGTGTACACTCCGAGCCAGCGTTTTATTTTAAGTTTGAACGGCATTTCGTTTCAGCGACATGGACGGTGACGAGTGCGAAGCCGACGTCCCGAAGGATGATTTCTTGGCGCGCGAATATCAGGCGAGTGTGGCGGCATTTTTTTCGCTTTCTCAGCCCTCGGAAGCCCTTGATAGCCGTGAGCGTTGTGCCTTCTACACTCGGCACCTGATGACATTGGGTAATTTTCGAGGTCACGTCCATAGGCCGCGGCCTACCGGAAGACATCAAGAAAGAACGTTGTCTCACGGATTCTGGTTTTATTCTATGTAAACATTGATAATAATGCAATTAATACAAAGGTGCAAGCGAGCTGGACAAGAATAAAGACAATACATGCAAAAAGGGAACAAGCTAGGGGACAAAGGAACTAATCTCCAAGCTCCAGTAGGTGACTGCGCGACTGAAAGAACCCGCCAGGGGTCTTATGTTGCACGTTTTGGACTCCCACGGCGACTATGGAGAAGGAAGTGACGTCAACAACGCAGCAAACGCAGATTGGATGTTGATTGATGAGAGATCAGTCAACATCCAATCTGCATTTGCTGCGTTGTTGACGTCACTTCCTTCTCCATAGTCGCCAGGGGAGTCCTAAACGTGCAACATAAGGCCCAGAGGGGGGCTATGTTCGACAAATGTTTTGTTTCTCCTAAAAAGAAGTGGAAATGACGTTAAAGCGTCTGATTGGTTAGAGGCTCTTGTCATCTGAGCCTCTAACCAATCAGACGCGATATCGTCACTGTCACTTCCGTTACTTTTTAGGAGAAACAAAACATTTGTCGAACATAGCCCCCGCTGGTGTCGAACCAGGGACCTCTTCATTTCTATTGGAGCTGTGTTTGAAGATTTGTGTTTGTCCTTGTTTCACTTCTCCAGGGATTATGGCCTTTATTCTTGTCCAACTCGCAATTGTACCTTTGCATGAATTGTATTATTATCATAACCTTAAAATGCAGGCCGTTCACCCTTGTTGGTGTTAGACTGGCGGCTGCTGTTAAAACCCATTTGCTCTACTGACGTCCAATTCCTGGGGGTGGGGGGGAAGGGGGGGGGGGGGGGGGGGCTATGTTCGACAAATGTTTCATTTCTCATAAAAAGAAACGGAGGTGACGGAATTTACGATATCGCGTCTGATTGGCTAGAGGCTCACGTGACGAAAGAGGGAACTTTCGTCATTTGAGCCTCTAACCAATCGGAAGTGATATAGTCACTTCCGTTTCTTTTATGGAGAAACAAAACATTTGTCGAGCACAGCCCCCCTGGTTAGCTCGGTTGGTAGACCGCTGCTCTCGAATTGGAGAGACGTGCCTGGTTCGGTACCAGGACCAGGCAAATAGTTTCAGTCGCGTACCAGTCACCCATCTGTGATTGGAGATTTGTGTTTGTCCTTTGTCCCCATTGTCCCCCTTCTCCAGGGATTATTATCTTACACTTTTTCTCGTTTTCTTTTTTTTTTTTTTTACGGCATTGCTGTGAGGTAGGTATGCGGAGTTCGATCTTAGCCCGAACTGCCAATGGCTTGGCGAGTTACGCATTGAAAACATTGCGCGAGAAAAATGGGCTATAATCTCGGGCTCTAGCTTACGGCAGGCCTTTTCCCAACCGCCAATGATTCGGCAAGGTAGGCTGCCGTATCGGGAAAACAAAAGCAGGTTGCTGGCATTGGCCGAGACATTTTTTTTCTTGCAAATAAACATTATTATTATTATTATTATTATTATTATTATTATTATTATTATTATTATTATTATTATTATTATTATTATTATTATTATTATTACTACCGTTTCCACCACGCATCGTCTCCTACCAAAGCCCTGCCCCCCCCCCCCCCCCCCCCGAATATTACTGTAAATGACAGCCTTTCTCGCCTTGTATCTAGCCAGAAGACAAATGCTAGGGACCAGAAATTCAAGTTGTATAGTTAGCCTATGCTATCAACATGGTGCATGCTATTACGAAATTGAGGTTATGTGTGGCGTCGTTGAAGGAAATTCGCTGAAGGCAAATTGTCAAGAGTGTATGTGCACACGCTGCCAGAACTATAAGGTCAGCTTTTTAAAAGTAATTAGGTTACAACTTCGGTTATTCGAGCTCAAGTGTAACAAGTCTACACGTATAGCTGCTGATGCCGACCAAGTTAATGCTAAGTTGGCATAATTTCGAAAAGTGACTGCAATTAAACATGACCCCCCCCCCCCCCTTCTTTACCAAAACAAAATGTGATAAAGTTGTTGAAATTTAATTGCTTAAGTATTTAAAATGGCAGCTTGTTGCAGTAACTGTCTTGACAGGGGCAGACTTAAAAAGGGGTGTGGGGAAGGGGGGTTGGTTGACCATCCTTCCCTGCCCCCTACTTTTCCAAAAGGTGATTTTTCTTTTTTTTATGAAAAAAAGCTACTTTTTGGGAAGTAATGTTTAGTTTTTGGTCAAATGTCAATTAGTAGGTCAACAAAATAGATTTGGGCAATGCTTCGCCCATGATGTCGTATCTCTTTGCAGACTCCCACTACCCCGCCCAGTCAAAGGGCGCATTAAGTTAGCGCGCTCCAACGGTCAGAGTGCACTCCACCTAAACTAAACAACATTGTCTCCTTTCCGGTGCACGATGGCGGTGCGCGCTCCGTGAGCTCCGTCGTCGGGGATGGTGCGCGAGAGCTCAAACAGGTCTGTTTCCGGTATGATGACGGCGTTTCCGCTCTCGCGGCCAGTCTCGCGGTGGTCTCACACATTTCTATTCTCGCACCTGCTTGGATACGTGGATGGATACCTCGACGGCGTTCACTTGGTAGCTCGCGCGGTCGTTTGTCATTGTGGTATATAAAAACAAATGCTGGTGTAGACAGGTATGCATACATCCTTCAAATGCTTGTCGAAGTCTTTTATGTGCCTTAACACAATTTCAGGATCAGGCGAGCCGATGAATTCGGCCATTCAGCCGTCATTCTTTGAGGCTTTTGGGAATTCAGAAGACGTTTGGTGTACCTTTAATCGCTGCACGAACAGCGTGCAGCACCAATACATGCTCTTGCTCTTGCTGCTGTCTCCGCGCACTCATTTCATCGAAGTTGTCGTCGAACAAACACTTGACGATTTTCGACGTGATGGGAGCCGTGTTTAAGCGCGCGCTGGAAAGCCGGAACCGGAAACATTAAAAATAGGCATGAGATGGCGCCTTGGTACGAAAAAAAGTGTAATCGTTGAGCTACGCTTTGAACCCCCGCGCGCTCGAGTGCAGATGTCTGGAGTTCACTAACTTAATGCGCCCCAATTCCCAGCACCCTCCAATCCCTACCCTCAAATCCACCTTGCATCTTAGGTGGAGCTCTTTGAGGGCGCCAAGGAGGCCAACACAATTGTGTGCCTGGGCACCGGCACGGGCAAGACCTTCATCGCCGTCATGCTCATCAAGGAAATGGAAAAGGACATCAGGGTGCCTTTCGAGGACGGCGGCAAGAGGACCTTCTTTCTAGCGCCCACAGGTAACATGCCATAGAAGAAACCTTCAGTGAAAGAAAAATTGACTGTCTCTGGCAATTGCCAAAGTCATTCTAAATGAGTAACATTACCTCTTCGAACTCGTCCTTTTGCGGGCACAGTAAGGAGGCCACTGAGGAGCACATTGTGGGGGTTTTGAAAATATACCATAAAGCCGGCACATGACACTGTGACATCACGTGAGGTCACCTTGTCACATGACATCAGTTTCATGGGACATCGCACTGTCGCATGACCTTGCACAGTACCACATGATGTCGCAGCGCCATATGACGTAGTTCCACATGACGTCGCAGTACCACATCCACATGTCACAGTAACACATTTCACACTGCCAGATTACACACTGCCACATGTCACAGTACCACACAACGTCACAGTGCCCCACAACGTCGTAGGATTGACGTTGCATGGTGTCATGTGACACTGACATCATTTAGGCTGTGTGTCACTGATGCAATCCCTGCAGCTGGCCTTATATATGCTATGCACTTAATATTTCTAAATGCAGAAGTTGGGAATGACAGCTGCTTTATTATCGGGTAGTCCCGGAACACTTCAACCTGCGTGTGTGTGATGGCAATGTAGAAAAGGAAAAGGGCGATGATGGGTGTGGGCTCATAGGCCCGTCTGTCACTGCCTCATTCCAACCTGCATAGAACTAGACTGAAGGTTAGCACTATTTGCGAAATCAAATCTATGCACTATTTATTTGAAATGGTCGCTTTTAACATTGTCAGAGCGATTTCGAGCCCGCGGTAAAAAGATAATGCAGAAAAACGTGCAGAAAAATGTAATGCAAGTTGGAAATGTTTCAGCGCTACCCGATAGATGGCACCAGTGTGCCAGCGGTTACGAGAGATTGCAACACACCCCGCACATTCAAATGCAAATCCGTAAACCAGCCTCGAGGTGGACTATTGTCCTATCTGCGCCTTCATGACCAGGATTACCATTAGACCCATTGCCAAATTACCCAAGCATCAAGAAGAATGCAAGGATTTGTGTTTTACGCACTGCACGTGCCGGCCTCAGCAGTAGTAACTTTTCAAATGCATAAAACAAATTGCACCTTGCATGTGCGTTCGTCGACGCCTTATTTCGGTTATTTACTTAAAATCTTTCATACGGGGAAGGCGTGCGCATGTGGCGCGTGGAACCCCAATCCCTGCATTCTCCTTGATGCTTGGGTAATTTAGCAATTGGTCTACTGCCAGCAACAGTTTTTGACGGTGCGCGTAAAAAGAATAGTGGAAGCACGGAACTATCGGATCTTTAAACCAAGACGTTAAGAGTCAACAGTCTGACATTCCTCTTATCTCCATTAATGAAAGTAGAATTCATCATACTCGGGATGTCATAGCGATCGTTTAAACAATCGTGGAAGGTCGACCGCGGCCACATGTCACCAATAGTCACGGACAGCGTGAAACTGGCGTCACTTTGGGATGCCCCCAGCATGCACTTGTTCCCCTTCAACATACTTTGGCTCTGCCTCCTCCCTGCTATTCTCATCTGTGACTAGAGTTGTTTGTGTGCTCCATCAGCTGTAATGTTTGCTTTCCATGTTGCTCGATTGGCAGTGCCTCTGGTGGCACAGCAGCAGAAAGCCATCCAGGCCCACACGTCGCTGCGCGTCGGCGGCTACATCGGTGACATGAACGTGGACAACTGGGATGCTGCGCGCTGGCACAAGGAGTTTGTCAACTCTCAGGTGAAGCTCCTTTTCTGTCGGCTCCCTTTAGCACCTATACCGCGTGAGAGTATGAATGCTCCAAGCGGAAATTGTACGCAAATGGCAGAATGGGTTTGGACGATAAGGTAAACATTAGTTTAGGGTTGTGCGAATATTCGAAATTTCGAATAGTAGTTCCGAATAATACACTATTCAATATTCGCTTCAAGAAGAACTGCACTATTTGCGTTTTTTGAAGTGTTGATTGCTGCGGGTTAGCCCCGTTGAGTGCGCTTCTTACCAAGCACCAGTGCGCTGCGGAGAAGCACTACCCGCGGAAGCGAGCTCCGTGGGTGTTGTTTCTCGGCATTACCTCGGTGTTCGGTAAGAAGCGCACTCAATGGGGGAACCCGCCGCGATAAACACTTGAAAAAGTAGGAATATTATAATTTTGTGCTTGGAAGAAAAGCATACATTCAAAGCGGGCTGGTGCACCCGTGACAACTGTATTTGAAAATAAATGAAAACTTTGTGAATCTCTATATATACATTGTAGTAAAGGTTTCAAAATTAAACGGTTATGCAAGAGTACATTATGTTAGGCAGAGATGCCCTTGGAACCTGCGTACATCATGCGCAATTCATTAGTTTCTAACTCGAGATTAAAGAAAGAATATTTTACAGGGCAAGATTTGTAAATTCCTTCAATTGGGTATGGTTGGTTATTTTTATAGGATTCTTTTTATGTTAAATCCGTCGTTTACTTGCTGTCCCAGGACACCAAACCTTCTGAGGTCACAGTTCATAAATATGAATAGGTTAAACTTAGCTTATAAACGAACAGACAAGAGCACTCTGTCTACTTCCTCGCCATTGTGTTTTTTTGGCGCTTTTTTATGTGATCATGAACCAACTGGCCCAAATTACTATCTTAATGGTAGTGGAAGGCGTGGGAAAACTATTCGATATTTGAATCGAAAATATTCGGCCCAAACCCCTATTCGCTTCGAACTTAAAATCCACTATTTGCACAAGACTACATTAGTTATATGTACAGCCCCCTTCCCTCCTTCAAGAAAAACAACAACATACACGGGTTTTTCTTGGTGCAGAAATAAACGACGTGTCACAGAACGCTCATTCGACGCCTAAATACCTAGCACTGGTGGTTCGAACCAGACGTGAAAGTTTCATTACTAACAGTTGTTCAAAAGTTGCAAGGGAATTTCTCAAAATTTCAGCAAGAAGATGCTGCCCATTCTCGGTAACTGGCACCATTCAGCTTTTTTTGTTGTAGGGCGCCATTCTGCCATAGAAATTTTCAGAAAGTCGCTCGTAACCTTTGAATAAGATGACTGTTCTGAAAACTTGGCATCTTGTTTGGACCTCTAGCACTCCATTTGGGGTGGGGAATGAGCTTTCAGCGATGCATAATTAATTTTTTTGGTGAAAGAAACCCTGCAATACTTTTTGGGGGGGACGCCCTAGCTGTATAGTCACTGCCAAAATGAAAATGGCGGGGAGGGGTGTCAGTTATCCAAATACCCCTAGCGCAAGCTTCCCTCCTTCGATAGCACTTGGGCGTCTATGATCCTCGAGTGTACACGTGCAGCCAAAGCACCAAGGAAGGCAGCCCTTGACTATCAATCAAGTCGAGCGATAAAACTTTTTTTTTTTTTTTGTATTGATGCTGGCTGTTTCACAAAGCTGAATAGACCAAACCATATCCGCCGAGTGAGTAGGGTTGATTATTCTCCGTTTCTGAGCTTTGAAGTTAATTTGCATGCATTTAGTTTTCTTCTTTAACCTTTTTGCCATTGTAATCTTCCAACACCCCACCTCCCCTCTGGTGGGGGTCCCCCTCCACTTCCGCTAATTCAGAAGGGGTCCCCAAAAGATTGGTGGCTGGGAACCACTGCTCTAGTGCCTCATTAGGTAATGTCTCTAAGCTTCAGTCTAGACCAGCGGTTGCCAGGTTGTCCCGACCTAAGAGGCGCAAACAAAACCACGAAACTTCCAAGAGCCGCATGGGAGAGGAAAGGCAGAAAAAGGGGGGGGGGGGGATGGCAAACTTTTGTTTAGAGCAATAAACGAAATTCAAACTACTTTCAATCTGTCCGAGTCAAAAGCAGTCCAACTGTACGTAAGGTAGCATATGACTACCAACCCGCAACCTGCCTTTCGATTTTAATCGTGTTACATTTCTCTTTTTGGGGAAGTGCTCGTGTGACCGGGAGGGAGAGGGGGAGGGGGTTGGGTTGGTAGGAGAGGGAGCCGCAGCTTGGCCATTCCTGGTCTAGACACTAGGGAACTGCGCCAAGAATATATATCAAGGTGACGGTACTGGCAGGTGCTGGTGATGACCCCCGAGATCTTCAAGATCATCCTGCACCACGCCTTCCTGCCTTTGTCGCGGGTGAACCTGCTCATCCTGGACGAGTGCCACCGGGCGGTGAAGCAGCACACGTACCGGGAGATCATGCGGTGCATGGACGTGGTGGAGCAGGGCCTCTGCCCGAGGGTGCTGGGCCTCACCGCCTCGGTGATCAACAGCAAGGCCACCGAGGCCCAGGTGGAGCACAAGATGCACGGCCTCGAGATGGCCATGCGCAGCCGGGTTCTCACCGTCTCCGACCAGGCCTCCATGTCCAGGTATTAGCACAGCCTCCCTCTGGCTTCGACTTCGGCGCCTATAACTATTTTATGTTTGCAGTTTACGGTCAACACCCGATAATTCGAAGCTCACGGGGATAGTGAAATGCTTCGAAGTAAGCGTACTTGGAATCAAGAAATGCCCACTCAAACCGTGTGCTTTTTATTCGGTATACTCACCGGGAAAGGTTTATTTTTGCTTGCCTCCGCCCACTTGTGCCCCCTTCTGCTAACGGAGAAGCGCAGTATTGACTATGCTCCGCGAATTGCAGGCCTTTGCTAGTGTGCAAGCACCCTCGGCGGTTTCTTTGCCGAAGAAAATGCGAAATTCTACTCCATGGTGCCACGAGCAGATTCTACGTTGGCTGCACTTGGCCACTAAGCGTGGAGAGTGACGTGATGCCTAACCATTTGCACGATTTCGCAGTTCAAAAGCGGACTGCAGGCCACGGCATGTTCGTTGACAACAATATATTCGATGGACCAAACCTCTCGTAGGGCTAGGTTATGCCTGAAACCAAGCTTCGTTGGCCTTTCATGCCGCGCTCGCTTCCGTAACTTTCGTGAAAACACCACCCTGGTGCACGCGTCCCCAGCGATGCTGGCTTGGCCACTTATTTGGCTTGGCCGCCTGGCAGCTTATTAGTCTCTTTTCGCGCTCGTTTCCTTGTTTTCTTTTCTGACTGCGCTCCTGCTACATAAAAATTTAGAAAATTATAAAGTGTGCTGGGAACACACCCACTTCGAACTAACGGAAATTTTGAGTAACCTTCAATTACCGAGAGTCGACTGTATTATAGGTTGCCCTTCAAGATCGTGCAGCAACACTTGGTGCCGGTAAACGCGCGTGACCTGCGAGCTGGGGTCCGAAGGGGTCCTTGTCCGCCGCCTGCAGGTACGGCACCAAGCCCAGGGAGGTGGTCGTGGAGTTCCACAACAGCCGCATCCTAGTGGAGCTGCCCCTGTTCAGCCCGACCAAGAGGCTGACCACCAGCCAGGGCCAAGACTTCGAGCGCCGTGTAAAGAGCGTCCTCAACGTGACGCGCGACATGGGCCTCTGGTGTGGCCAGCTCACCGCCCAGATTTTCGTCGAAGAGGTGGGTTCTTTGGGCTTGGCTTGTTTGTTTGTCTAAGTTGTTTGAACGAGGTCTTAGCTCAGTTTGACTAGCTTTGGCACGACCCTGCTGGCATTGGTACGACCTGGCTAGCTTTGGCTGGCTTGGCTGACTTTTCGTTGTCCATCTTTAAAGATAGATGCAATCAGTGTGTGGATGGCCGAATGAAATAGGTGTACATGGAAGTTTCAGTGCACCCGTAAAAATTGCGGGTATGTCGGGTAGGCCTCCTTAACTTGGTAGGAGTTTGGAGAAATTGGAAAATTTGCCACTTTTCTAGGGGCACCACCTTCGACATATCGGGACCAACTCAACCTAATCACACTTGTTAAGTGTACCTTGCCACCCATTTTCTGCCAAGAATCTTGCAATTGTAAACCTTCATATCGAGTGTGACCCCATGCAAATTTACGGCAACGCTTAAGCCTTCGTTCCTTTGCGGAGCGCAAGTTTGTCTGCTTCTTTTGCAAAGGTTGTGGTGGTGTCAGAATGCCAGGCTCTGATTGGATCCAATTGAAGGATAGCAGGTAGACCTCAAAGCAAGTTGCCTTGAGGTCTACCCACTATCCTTCAATCGGAGCCAATCAGAGATCGGCATTTTGACGTCAACACAACCCCTGCGAAAGAAGCAGACAAACATTTGCTCCGCATATACTGTCCTCTCGCGATCTTCGCTGTGCTGAAAGCTATGAGAAATGGCAAATTGCTTTTTATTTTGACAATTGGTTAGTAAATCAATATGAAATCGTGTGTGGAAATCGGAGGGCTTGGGTTTTTTTTTTTCTTTTGCTGTTTCCATTGTAGTTCCACGGGAACCTTTTTTGTTGTTCACCCCGACTCCATCAAAGAATAGTCTGTACAAATTAAGAAAAGAAAAAAAGGCTGTGAAAAAGACAACAGTAGCAAGTCGTAGTGTTGGAAAGCGAGGTTCCGACAGAGTTGATAGAATAATCTAGAGGAAAAGGTCCCCTTGCACTTCGGCCTCTTCGGAATGGCTGGGCACAGACACGGACATCGGCGGTCCAGACAGGACCACGTTGCTGGTGACGCTTCGATAGAAGCGGGAAAACATCACTTGCAGGGAATTATCTAGTGTTTTTCTAGCTTTATTTTGCACAAAAACACGGGTGTCTTGCATTGCATTGCATAAAGTTGACAAGAATTGAAACAACATCAATTTGTCGCAGCAGAACTAACCTGCCGTCTGCCTTTTTTTCTTAGCTCTCGTCGCTCTCTTCTCTCGGAACCAGCAACGTCGGCACTCGTGATTTTCCGCGTTCTCCTTCCTCCTTTATCTGCTCCGGATAGGAGCCTGAAATGTGCTCGTCGTGCAGGCCCGCAAGCTCCTGGAGAAGACGGAAGAGAGGCGCGTGGCCGAGGAGGTGTCGCAGTGCCTGGACTGGCTCCAGAAGGCGCAATCCAGGCTGAGTAAGGGTTGCGACCCCGGCGTGAACTTCGTGGAGCACCGCCTGCTGGCCCTGGCCACGCCCAAGCTGAAGAAGCTGCTGGAGGTGCTGCGCGTGTTCCGGCCCACCGGGCCCGAGGAGGACTCGTCCCTGTGCGGCATCGTGTTTGTCAAGGAGCGGGTGGTGGCCCGGGTGCTCTGCGCCTGGCTGGGCCGGGTGGCCGAAGAGGTGGCCCCGTACGCCTTCGTGAGGCCCCACTTCGTGGTGGGCCACGGCGGCGTGGCCGGCCAGAGCACCAAGGAAAGCGGCATGTCCTTCAAGCAGCAGTGCAAGGTGGGCAGCTGCGGAGGGCTGATTGGACCTCGGTAACTACATAGCGGTGATTAGACCGCACTGATCACAGAAGGGCAACCAGTCAAAACTTAAGTGACCTTGATGACGTGAGTTTACACTTCAGCCTCGGGCGTTACTTGACCTTGTACACATGACCTCGAGTGTGGTTGGTCTCGGAAAGCGACCGCTTTAAAACAGAGTGGTCAGCTCAGTGGCCGAGGGGTACTTTTCGCCCGGAAGATTGTAGTTGCGTTCATTCACGAGTCGAAACTAACGGGAGTCGTAGTTCATAGCTAGTTTTGAGGAACAATGACTACGTCTTTGCCGACGTCATTTGCAGGACAGTCGCCGGTGGCGCTAGGTATTCGCTTTTTTTTCCCCAGGAACCAGTCTTATGGCATAAAAATCCCTCATACCCGCTGGGAGGAATAGACACATCACTAGCAAACCGCCCCAGGCAGTTGAAATTAATCCTGAGTCTTGCACTGGGACAGGCCAGATACCCTTTGTGGCATTGGCACATGAATCCCCCTCCCAGTTTGACTGACATTACGATGATTACACTATGATGGTTGCACCACGGTGACTGTGGAGGGGTAACAACGTGTCCTGGCTGTGTCTGCCCCTGCCCCCCCCCCCAAGGTCCTGGAGCAGTTTCGCCGGCAGGAGTGCAACCTGCTGGTGGCGACCTCTGTGGTGGAGGAGGGCATGGACGTGCCCAAGTGCAGCCTGGTGGTGCGCTTCGACTTCCCCCCAGACTACCGCTCCTACGTGCAGTCCAAGGGCCGGGCCCGGGCCAGGCGCTCCCTCTACCTCATGATGGTCTCCCGAGACGACTGCCAGCTCAGCTGCTCCAACCTGCAGGCCTACCACGTCGTCGAGTCGGTGAGGAACCACCTCGAGGGGCGGTCTGGGAACCTGCACTTACCCGGATGTCTGTCGCGTATGTTTGTTCTCCTCTGTTGGGTCTGGGCAAGAAGAGAAGTCGAAAGGAAGTGGGGAATACGAGTTGGAGTAAATCTGGTAATGGGATCCACAATTCTTAAGGCGAGACACTGGTTCTAAAATGGACTATTTTATTTTTGCAGCTATACTAATGAAAATCACTGTGCATATGTGTTCCTTCTTCCTCAATTCAAATATGAAATCAGTTTCAAAATATCTCAATTAGTTTTCAAGTTATAAAAAATAGTGTTGCCTAATTTGGTTAATTTCTTACGGGTCGTTAAGGCCATTTCGAACAAAAAATATTTTTTTTATTGATGTAGATGCATAGCTAAAGGTCTGCCATGCATTATAAAGCTATTTATATTTTCACAAAATTACATTATAATATAAAAATGTACTAATTATGCTAATTATGACACTAATGAGGTCGCATTATTTATCATAAAATTTTCGTTGTCATTATAAACTGCAAAAAAATAGCTTTACTCCATAGTCCAGTCCTTTCTGAATAAAACGGTATAAAAAGGTTCAAAATGCTACGATAAAAACCTCATGAAAACCCCCGTAAGGCTAAGCACGTTGACAAAAAACATGAAAATGAGAAAATCAAAGTTAAAGTTTTGACATTGAACATAGAAAATTGTGTGAACAATGATAAATAATAATTGCCACCAAGGTGTAGTGTAAGTCTTCATGAACAACTTGACATAAAAGATGATGTAATCCATTTATGGGAACATTAGGAAAAAAATATGAAAGTAAAGAACGAGTGAAATGTTGATAAAATCACATTTTCCTGTTTCGACGCTGACTACAATAAATTATGTGAAAACCCTTATGCAATAATAGTTATCAAGATGTAGTGTAGTGCATTCTGAACAAATCATTTTAAAAATTGCAATAATTTGTTTTTGAGAAGATTGCAAAAATGGTGAAGAATTACTGATATAGGCTAAAAATTGCTTCTAAAGTGATGAGCCGACAACTTTGGACAACGGGAGAGGCAAGCAAGAGTTTCAAGCTCCAAACGTAATTTTGTTTGGCCCTGAAAAGGGCCTTTGTTCCACATGGCACTGGAAAAAGCCATTACAGCTGTCCTGGGCTGTAATCTCGTGATGCTCCTGCCTGGTGTCGCTTGGAAAACCTTTCCTTCACGCTACTGCTGCTCTGGTGCACCGCGTTTGCTTTACGTAAACGGAGACTGTCCTTTTCGATGCTTCGGCGGACAAGGCAGTCACCGGTGGCGTAGCCCAGGCCTGCAGCAATGGACTCGTTGGTCGCTCTCCTTCCCTGGTTGTAGACAGCAACAGCTTCAGCCGCAGCCCTCTTCACGCTGTCCAGGGAGGCATTCGCATTCTTTGAAGTCTGCGTCCAGATCACCGAATGCAGGCTCTCACTGGCATTCTGCGTCTTTCCCTCACTACACCGTGCCAACAGGTCTTCATTGCTGAGCCTTTCAAACACTGGCTCAAGTGCAGCCCGAACACAATCCGGAAGAGGATTCTTGTGCGGCGGCGGAGGCTCACTGTTTGCCAAGGCCCTGTTGTACTTGCACCAGGACTCCGCTCCCTCGGGGCACTTGCTGTGGTCTGGGGCGCTGTCTGTTGAGGTCATGTGCAGGAGTGTGGCTTCCACCGCCCTCTTCATCCCTGGAACGTCATGGCTGTTGCTCCTGAGAGCATAGCCGTAATAGTTAGTGATCTTCTTGATCTTTTCCTGTGTCAGCTTTCCTCTCCCACCAAGTGACTCGCCTTGTGCCTTCTTCTTCTCAACAACGTTGCGCAAGGCAGCTCCCATCCTCTTGTGGACGTGGTTCACGCAATCCTTCTTCTCTATCTTGATGAAGCCGTAAACCTTCGCTTCAGACAAGGCATGGAATGTCCGGCTGTCCCCATCCGAAAGGACGGTGGTGTAGCGGAGACCATGCTTGGTCAGAGACCTCTGGAACATTGTGAGCGCAGCCTCCACCTCCATACGGCCAGCATTGCAGTCAATGTTCCTCTGGCAGTCGTGGGTTGCGTACCAGTCGCTGTAGCCATCGTCCTCGGGCTCCGGTCCCAAGGCACATCCAAGGCAGAAGTTGGAGTACACAACATGGTCGATGACGAGGCCAGAGTACAACTCCACAATGCAGCCTACACCAATGTGGGAGCTGCGTCCTCGGGTCATCCATGATCCGTCGAAGATGACATCGATGTTGCCAATGGGGTTCATAAAGCCTGTGTAGAGCCCCTTGACGACAGCAACACTGGCGGCTTCACTGTCGGTTGCTGCATTCTCACATGCCCGCACAAGCGTTTTCAGGTGTCCCTGGTACGTCTTGTGGTGCAGGCCCCGATGAGAAATGTTCATGGAGGCACAGAAGTCTGCCAAGGCTGTCACTCCTTTGCCAATGGATTGGATCCCCTTCATGGCCCTCATGTTCACTTCAAAGGGAGTGATCTTTGCTGTTCCAGCAACCCTGGGAGAGGAGAACTGCTTCTTCTGGAAGTCGCAAGTGCTGCAGACGAGCACAAGCTTGACGGCCAAGCCGTACTCCTTGTCCGCGGCCTTGCTGAGCGTGAGAGATCCCACACCGCAGCTTCCACACCTCGCGTGCGCGAAGAGGTCGTTGAGGACTTTCATGTCGACGATGACAAACTGGGTCCCGGCATCGCTTGTTTGGCATGATCCGTTGACTTCAAGCAGATCGAACTTCCGCTGGGTCGCCGACTTCTCCGATAAAACGCGCTTGCTTTGCTCCGATCGCTCGGCGCGCTGCGCTTGCTCGGCCGTGGAGTAGTAGGTAGAGTCGACGCGAGTGGTGCCGGCAAAACTTGAGCCATCCGGACCAGAGCTTGAGGCCGCAGCATCGTCAACGGGAAGGCTAGCCGATGGTCCCGGCAGATCCAATGCGTTCGGCAGTGGCGCAGATCGTAGCGGCGCACTTGCAGGTGTTGTCTTCCGCTTGTTCCACGCACGTCGCGTCTTCCTCCCGAACGTCCGCCGCGTACTCTCTTTCAATCGAGAGTCCCCCGGCATCTCGATCGCTCGAAATAAAACTCCCGCAACTTCGTAGCGAGAAACCAACGATGTCCGACGCGAACGCGCGAACGTAAACGATTTCGAAACAACGTGCACTCAGCCGCGGAACGAACAAAGCGACGGGCCAAAACGAAGCAGACGACGCTTCTCCGCGATCCCCTTGCGCTGCTGGAGGCGCGCGCGCCAAGAGGAGGAAAGGAGCAAAAGTGGAAAGGGGCGCGTCTTGGCCTATGACAGGCGCGCGCGGCACGACGTACCCGTGACGTACGCGCGCGGGCCAATGAGCAATCGTTATTCCGGTCGTGAAAACACGCGGAATGCGGACGCTCTCTAAGGTTGTCGCGATAGTGAGTGGGATGAGGACGTAGGGAAGAGAACCAGCTCTCCAACAAGACCAAGATGGCCGCGATCCGACGATCGGTCGTGAAGCGACGCGGGCGCGCAGTTTGACTATTTTTTGCGTTTGATTCGCGATTTGAGCGTCGCGGAGGCATCGTATTTATCGTTTTTTTTATACTTAGACGTCAAATAGGACATTGAAACTTGGCAGGCAGGTACTTCAGACTATATTCTATCCAAACATGTGATTTTTGAAAAACCCCAAATTTCGCGATTTTTTACCATTTTAAGACCCGCGTCTCGCCTTAATTCGTCTAAAAAACTTAAAAAAAAAATGTAGAAATTTTTTTTATTGGGCAGTGGAACACTTAGCTTTCCGTATGTCTGTCTTTTTTTTGCAGATCTTTTTTTTTTTTGTTAGAAAAACTTTTGATAATGTCATAAAGTTATTTATTTATTTACCCTAAGGGCCCAAACAGGCATTACACAGGGGGCAAAGCGATAGTACAAGGTTTGGTACAATTGGGTCAAGTAGAAAAAAAAAACAATTACGTAGTTGGCACAAATAATGTTAAACGAGCAATAAACAATATAAATATCAAGAACACTGGATGAAAACATGACACCAAGCAGCACTATATAAGTTGGTACATATTACTTAAAGAACTAATGAACATATCAGGTGAAGCGATTAACGCAATTTCTCTGGGCAGGCCGTTCCATTCGGAGATGGCAAGAACCAGAGGGGAATTTTTGAACAAGTTAGTGTGGGCAAAGATGGGCGAGGCTTTAAAGTGATGATCTATGCGAGACGAAATACGATGTGCAGGCCGAATGAATGAGGTCCTAAAGGGAGATGATCCATGATAGAGCTTGTGGGAAAATGACATGCGAGCAATACATTTTCTGTATTGAGGTTACGTTTCATGTTGGACAAACTGGAAGTACGGGAGAAGTCGCGGGTTATAAATCCTGCAGCTTTATTTTGAAGTGCCTCAATATGGTTGGTTAAGTAAAGCTGATGAGTGTGCTACATCAGTGGTTCTCAGCCATGGATGTGTCGGGGACCCCTTGCGGACCGCTGGCAGTGATGGTGGACCCCTTCCAGCAAAAGGGGGGGGGGGGGGGGGGGGGGAAGGGGAGGGAGGGAGGGAGGGAGGGAGGGGGGGACGTTAGTAAGTTAACACATCTGGAGCATGAAACAGATGCCTTTTATTGCTACGTAGCAGAGAAACATAAACAAAGGTGCCACATCACTTCATTCTGGCCAGTTCATCAACACGTGACACACTCGCGCTTCAAAAAAAAAATTTTGTTGAGGGTCTTGCGGACCCCAGAAGTGGCTTCGCGGACCCTCTGGGGTCCGCGGACCCCTATTTGGGAACCACTGTGCTACATGATGGATGCATAATCCAACTGCTACGTAACGAGGGTAGTATAGGCAAGGAGTTTAGTTTCTTTGTTTTCTTAAACGCTCTTGATTTCAAGCTAACTAAGAGTTCTGGAAGCTTTGTGGGTTACATGTTCAACATGAAGGTTCCATGATAAGTTAGCTGTTAGGTGGACGCCCAGGTGTTTAATTGACGCAACGTTTTCAATGCGGTCCTTTCTAATCATGTACGCGTGATGAGTGATTTTATTTCTCGAATACCGCAAAACCCTCGCTCTGGTGAAATGCCGTTCCAGGGTCATCTTATAGATGGCTCCAGAGTACCAGTGTGTTCTCGTAAGAGGTGGCACAATCTGTTGTAAGTAAACAGAGGTGTGTGATCGGGCATTTACCTGGAAATCTGAACATCTTTTAGCACCTGCACATATGTGTGAGTTCTGCTGCCTGGGATTTGATGATAATAGGAATGCACATGAACTATATAAAAAAAAAAAAAACATGTTCTCAAAATGTAGGGGCGCAAACGAGCTGGTGTACATTGCACATGGTTGAAAAAACCCAGAGACTGCGGGTAAACGACACAACACTAAAAAGTCTCTAAAAGAGACTTTTTAGTGTTGTGTCGTTTACCCGCAGTTTCGACGTTTTTTTAATCATGTTCTCAAGTAAATATGCTGATTAGGGTTCTCCTAATCAGCAAGTTGGAAAAACAAAAAATTGTTTTTCCAGGTTGGATATGTCCCAGAAACTCGGATTTATGAAGGCTTGACCAGTGCATAAGTGGTCGGTGTAATTTGGTTTGTGGTTGAATTTAAGAGGGATTGTATATGAGGAGCTAGAAAAGCTCTTCAGGTGCAACATGTAGAATTCCGAGGCCCTTAACCCAGTTCATCCGCATCGTTGCTTTAACTTTGGTGATGTTGAATCATATCCGAAATCGCAAACATTGAAAACTGCCCAAACAGCGCCGAGTTTCGGGTGGACACAACCAGGGTTCCAGAAAATGCAAGATTTCTGTCGAGAAAGTAAACTCAGAACAGTGCTTTTGAGTCCGGTAGCGTCGGGAACGCTGCACCCTAAATGTTTTATTTAAAGAATGGTGGAAATTTTTGAGTTTGTAGTGGGCCGCATTGTTGGAAAAGCAGAAGGTGCCACGGGTGGGACGTTTTGCACACAGCTCCTGATGAACAAGTGTCGAGAGCGCAAGGCCCCCCTCGACTCCGAGGTGGTACTCAGCTTTGCGGTGGACGAGATGTTGCCGCCCTACATGCCGGTGAAGCGGGACGGGGCGGCCAGGATTACCATGACCTCTGCCATCGGCCTGGTGAATAGGTAAGGCGCGTGGCGCCGTCTTTTCACGGTTCATTCGCACCCCGAACTACGCTTACCTAAAACCACCTTCCAGCGTCTCTGGTAGCTTTATCTGATTACGCCACCTCCTTAATAATGCCACTATTTTAGTATTTTATTAACAGATAAATATTTTCATTTCTAGCTTTTTTTTTTATATATATATATATATTTATATATATGTATATATCTTTAAGTCATTTTCCTCTGCAGTGCCCTCGTGGCCCTGAGGGTATTTAAAATAAATAAATAAAATAATATGTAACAATTTTCTGTTTGGACCATGTAATGTTCATGTGTGACTTTGGACTAGCTTTTCAGGTTGCAGAACAGTGGAACCGTTATCTCGCTTTTTGTTTGCTTGTGAGGCTTGCATTCCATTTCCTCCTCTGGACCGGATAATCTGATCACCTAATTAGTGAAGCAAACTGGAAAAGAATTATCTTTAGGAGACTAACAATTTGCTTAGTCAGGCCTGCCTGGGACTGAACACAGAAACTTGGTAGTAAGAAAACAGAATAAACAGTGCTAGAGCCAATAGCAGGCCAGGGGAAAATGAGTCCAGCTGAATTATGTAACCGGTCTTAGCTGAATGCAGTTAAATTCAGCTGGATTAAGGGTTATTTCCAGCTGGATTCAGCTGGGACCAATTCCATAATCCAGTTCCAGCTAAACCGATGTTCACTTGGGTGTTTCACGACCTGCAGATATTGGTAGTCCGGACGAGATACAGTGAAACCCGTTTAGAACGAACCCACATACAGCGAATTATTGTCGATATCGAACTCGCGGAAAATTTATATAAAAATGGTTATAAAAAGTACTTTTTATAACAAACAACAAATTGGCTATATCAAACTTTTTTCCCCCAGAAAGGCTTCCAAAAACGCGCATACAATCCTCTTCTAGCCTGTCTCTTCCCCCAAGAAAGAAGTAGGAAAGAAAGAAAATTCTAAAAGCTCGAGTTGCGAAAGAGAAGCGATTCAGAAGGGGAGAAAGCTAAAAAATACACTCTGCACGCACGCACAGAAAAAAAAACTTTTAATCCCAAAGCGTCTGCTCACGAAGAGGAGCGATTCAAACGGGGAGATAAGCTAAATTAAAAAGCTTGCACGCATGCAAAAAAAAAGAAAAAACAGCAAAAAAAACAACTTTACAGCGCTGTGTTACAAGGCAGAGGTGAAGAGATGAAAAAGAAAGCAGCTCTTGCCTTAAAACGAACGGATTGTGGAAGTTCGTTGTAAATGGTTTTTGCTATATCGAACTACTTGCTATATCGAACTGATCATAGCGTTTCCTGCTGTTCGTTATAAACGGGTTTGACTGTAATCGCACGCGGAAACAAGGGGCTATCCGGTTTCACGCCGGATCAAGATACTCAAGATGCTCGGGCCCGCTTCATGTGGGGCAATTCTTAGGGCTGTTTCAGGGTTGCTGGCAAGTTGTCCCCTAGATACTCGCACTACAGTGCTAATTGCTAGGATGAGATCCGGCTCGAAACGGGCGAGCAACTCCAGCAGCTCTGGAGACGTTCGGAGCTTGCATCAGTCAATCGGGCACATATCTTCATGTCACCCTCATGTGGGGGTGGTGTTTAAAAGTAAACACCTGGTTCTACATTGTAAAACCCGAGAGGTAGGACAAAAGGAGAAGAAAAAAGGGGACAACACAGACACAGGTCTCCCCTTTTAGAGCGCAGCTCTTAGGGGCCCGTTCCCGGCTTGAGCGGCGTCGCCGTCGGCGTAACCAAGGTCACCCCAAGGTCACTTGACCCCCAAGGTCACATGACCCCCAAGGTCACGTGACACCCAAAGTCACGTGGCTCCCTAAGTCACGTGACCCCCGATGACGTCATCAGTGACGTCACTGATGACGTCACCGTCATCGTCATCATCACTGATGACGTCACCGGCATCCGCATCGTCATCGTCATCATCGCTGATGACGTTTGATGACGTCATCCGCATCGTCATCGTCATCATCACTGATGACGCACCGGCATCCGCATCGTCATCGTGATCATCGCTGATGACGTCATCAGTGACGTCACTGGTGACGTCACCAGCATCCGCATCGTCATCGTCATCATTAATTATGACGTCACCGGCATCCGCATCGTCATCGTCGCTGATGACGTCACCGGCATCCGCATCGTCATCGTCATCATCACTGATGACGTCACTGATGACGTCACCGGCATCCGCATCGTCATCATCGCTGATGGCGTCATCAGTGACGTCACTGATGACGTCACCGGCATCCGTATCGTCATCGTCATCATCACTGATGACGTCACCGGCATCCGCATCGTCATCGTCGCCGATGACGTCATCAGTGACGTCGCTGATGACGTCACCGGCATCCGCATCGTCATTGTCATCATCACTGATGACGTCACCGGCATCCGCATCGTCATTGTCATCATCACTGATGACGTCATCGGTATCCGCATCGTCATCGTCACGTGACCCCCCTAGGTCACGTGACCCCCACCCAAGGTCACTTGACCCCCCCAGTACCCTTCCCTCCTCCTCCTCAAGAGCTGCGCTCTAATTCGGCGTTACAGGAAGTTGTAAACGGCTTTCACTTTTTCTTCTCTTTTTGTCCTATGTCTCGGGTTTTACAATGTTGAAAGTTCACCAGCTGGCTTGCATCTCCTCTGTAATTTCTATACCTGGTTCTAGTTTGCGGTTATTCAGTGTTGCAACAAAATGGTCTTAGGGAAATCAAACAGTATTCTTAACACCGTTTAAAGATGCAAAAACACATTCTTAATGCGTAACTTTGCGTCGAATTAATGCGAGAATATACCAGTTTTAATGATAACGTCACATGGGGGGGGGGGGGGGGGGGGGGCTGTGTTGCTGGAATTGCAATGTCAAAATGCTGGGGAAAATGACCCCGTCCGAAGTGGGCCTCGGTATGCTTCAGGTTCTCGTGCCTGTGTCATGTGCAGGTACTGCGTGAAGCTGCCGTCGGACATCTTCACCCGTCTGCAGCCGGACTACACCATCCTCCCCGTGAACAGGGAAGACAAGGAGTACTACGTCTGCACTGTCTACTTGCCCATGACGAGTCCCCTGAAGGAGCCCATACAGGTATCCCCAGAGAGGAGGCTGGCACAGCTTGTGTTGTCCAAGCTACTTGCGCGAGTGCTTCACTTAATAAGTTCTCTTTGGGTGAGGGCATGTGTGAATAGAATTCGTGAAGCTGCATGCTTGCGCCGCAGTAGCCATGCTAGCCTTGACAAGGTTGCACAGAATATTATAAGGATTATAAAGAATATAGGGAATATTATATTGACTCGACGCAGAAAGAATAAAACGAATTCTGGACAAGGGACAACGGACATATATGCTTGCATGCAGAAAGACCAAGATAAGAGTGCACTGCTAAACTTAGTTTTCCATGCCTAGGCTTTTAATGTTTGTACTTCCGTCCCTTCTGCATATCCTCTACACTTTTGTTGCCTCCAACGTGTTTGCTTGCACACTTTTGCAGTGTGAAAACTTGACCCAAAAGAGCTGCTTTTCTGTTGTGTACACATTCAAATGGAATTCTTGCAAGCAGGCTGGTGTTTGTTCATCTGTGCACGTTTGACTTTTGTCTCGTCTGACTTGGAGAACTTTTGATTCCCAACTGTTTTGCTTTCCTTTCAGGGCCAGCCCATGGAGACCAAGAGGTACGCCAAGATGGCCGCTGCTCTCGAGACCTGCAAGAGGCTGCACCAGATGGGTGAGGATAGTTCGGAGACGTCGGGGGAAACTAGCGGTTGTGTGCAATGCGCGTGGTGTCTTACCGAGGCCTCTGTCTGGCGACCACAGGTGAACTGGACGACAACCTGCTCCCCGTGAAGCGCACCCTGGCCCTCTTGGAAGAGCCGGAGGAGGAGGCAGAGCAGCCGGGGGTCCCCAAGCCTGGCACCAAGAAGAGGAGGAGGGTGTACCCCAAGAGGGTGAGGGCAGGAGCATCTGCACGCTGCATGTTTATGCTTTTTCCTTCTCGTGAAAAGAATGCGAATTTAAGAAAGATCGGGGTACACCTAAGCACTTCTTATGACTTGTGAATGCGAAAGCATGTACATCATTCTTGCTCACACGTGTTGGCTCACTGACTGGCGCTGCGTGTCCGACAAATGGGAGCCTGGTCGACGCGTGCTAGCCAATGGCATCGAAGCAGTGAAGGTGCCATGGCTAGCTTTGTGCGTGGTTACAGTTTCATAGCTGGGAGCTGGCTTCATTTCATGTAATGAAATGAAATGAATAGATTTCATTTCATTTTTTTTTTTTTTGACTTGGAGAAGGATTTGGGAGCCGTTTGGCGTGGTTTCAAAGCTGATGACGTCGGCTCGCTCCATGAGGCAGTTAATGCTTTCGCATTAAAAGTACAGAGTGAGACTCGATATAAAAAAAATTACAGGAGGACACTCAAGACTGCTTAGATGTAGGAAGGTGAAAGCATTATAGTCTAGCGGGAGAAATGTTTTCGAGTAATGTTTCTACACATATTAAAGTTTAGAACGACGTCCTAGAGATCGACACCAAGTACGGCATCTAGGACGACCTCTAGGACGCCGCCGAGGACAATCTCTCGGACGATGTCAAGAACGGCGTCTAGGACGATGTCGAGGATGACGTCCTAGATAACGACGTCAAGAACGTCTTCTAGGACAACTTCTAGGATGACTTCGAGAACGAAGCCTAGAGGACACTTAAGGAGGCTGTAGCATATTTGCGTGGGCGGCCACGTTTGCCTGCGGGAGCCGCCGTAGATGTAGAAGCTGCTGATGTCGAGGCCGTAGATGTAGATGCGGTCGCCTCACAGTCCATCGCACGAAGCACACAACGAGCACAGATGAAGTCCCAAGTGCACCTTTTGCACACGGTGCTCTGGCAGTGACGTCACGCTCCCACACTTGAGCGTGAGCGGCGCATGCTTGATGACATATTTTTATGGCCATTTTTCGGGCACATCAATGCCGCTTTTTCGCGTAATAGGGCAAGTGAGGTCGTCCTAGAGGTCTAGAACGACCTCTGGGACAACCCCAAGGACAGCATTGTCCTTGAGCATACGACTGAGTGGCCCGTCCCGTACAATCATATTTTTATGGCCATATACGCCGCTTTTTCGCTGAGTGGGACAAGTAACTATGAGTGTTTTTTGCAATACGTTGGAATAAGGGCTGGTTGGAGACTACGACCTCCAAGTGCATTCCAGCACAAGGCGCAGCAATAGCAGTCTAATTGCTCGTTAAGCTATTCTATGGCAATTGTTCGACTATAACTGTGCACTTCTATGACTTTTTACAGCGGAGCTGTTAAGGGCTTGGTTCCCGAGATCGAGTCCAGTACGAAACACTTGTCGACAAAAACGCCTCTGGACAACTACCGCCATCTCTAAGCGACGGCGGCAAGCACACAACCAGTATGGTTGCTGCCGTCGCTCGTAGATGGTGCCAACCTTTCCAGCTATCATAGAAGAATGGTTGGGCGGCGTGTTGGTGGGAATTCATCGTAGGAAACAGCGCGAAAAACAGACGACGTCAAAAAAGAAGCACACGTAACGAGCGCAGCGCTCGTCACGTGTGTTTCTTCATCCTCGTCTGTTTTGCACGCTGTTTCTACGGTCTTGTCAGTTTCGGTTTGGACTTAGGATGGGTCGGCCGCGCGCCCTTTCGGGGAAAGAAGACTGGCTGCGGAAGGAGTGGTGACGTACGCAGCAGCGCGAATGGGTCCCTAACTGCTGCAAAGCCGCTGTCGCCTCGACTTCCACTGCGTCGAGCGCTTTAGATTCCTTTGCCAAAGAAAGCACATCGCTCGCCTGGAAAGCCGCCACCGAGAACAGAAACAGCGATTTAAAAGGCGCCAGCGGGCCAACGCCATGGACGACGATCGTGCCACGGAGGCCAAGCGCAAGCGCGAGGTCCGGCAACGACTGCACTCCATGACTGCTGAACAGTTCGGGGTGTGACGGCGATGTTCCAGAGGGAGTTCGTGGATTACCCGTTTGGCGTCACGAGCGCCGTGTGCGCCGACTCTGGTTCGCCGGAGACGTTTCGACGATCGGCGGTGTGTCGGACAGGAAGAAACGGGCGCGTGCGCGTTGTGGTAGTGTATCGAGTACAACTCCTCTGGTCTTCCTTCTTCACGAGAGTGGAAAGGCTAAACGTTTCTTAGAATGATCTATGGTGGTAGAGAGTGTAAGTCAGTACTTTCATCGTGGCTATACCCCCCCAAAGCACTTGGTTCAGCCGCAAATTTGACAGAATTTCAACTACATCTTTCTTCGCACTTTGGCTCTGTAGCCACGGCATTTCCCGTCCACAATCTGTCATTGGGGGTAGGTGAGTGGGGCAAGTGTTGTCATCGGTCTTGTCCTATTCTGCTCGTGACGTCAATTCTTGATGCTGTGAAGCCTGTATCTGGATGCATGAAGCCTGGTTCAGATAGTTGCGTTCAGAGTTATTGAAACGGCATCGACACAGTCATTGGGAGAAGCGCTCGCTGCACACAACGTGCCAAGCAATGCAAAAAGTAACTTTGGGAAGCAGTTGGTCGATGCTGTCGTTTCGGTTGCTTGAGATGCAGCCAACAGAAACGTGCGAACCAGCCTCGACCGTACCATCAGCGGGCGTTAACAACTGGAAACTTTCCGCGCGATGCGGCCTTTCTCGTGCCAGGTGTGCCGCCTGTTCCGGGAGGCGCCGCTGGCGGGGCCCGGCACATTCCGACTGCACGTGCTGACGACCCGGCTGGAGCGGCTGGCCTCCGATCTGCAAAACTGGCGCAAGGAGCGCCTGGTCGACCCCGAGGACAGCCCCCTTTGGTTTGGGATGCTGCTGCGGGAGGACATGCCCCTGGTGGGCTCTCTCATTTCTTTGGCTCCTTTCCTCATCTTCCCTTTGTATCGCTCTCTGTCTTCTTTACTCCCCTCACCACTGTTCTCTGTGCCTTGTATTTTCGCAATTGTCCTTACACACTAACCCTCTCTACATTGCCCTCTGTCCACCTTCACCTCTTTACATTGCTGTCTTTTCCTCTCTCATCATACTCTCTATTTTTATATGGCAGTCTTCTTTTGTTATTCACCATGATACTCTCATTTATACTCATACTCTCACTGATACGTTTTGTAGTGCCGTCTTTTCTCTTTTTCGTACTTTATATTTGTATTGTGGTCTGCATTCTTCCTTTGCTGTACCGCTCTCTCCTCCGGTCTGCGTGTTGCTGTCTTTTTCTTGTTCACTTCTTATTTCTGCATGTGCTTATTATGTTTTAATTAGTGCCCTTAGTGTCCAAGAAATGCACAAAGCGCCGGCGACAACGTTTATCGTACCGCAGCCTCATCATTCTGTTAGTTTCGTTTCCTTTTCGTGCTTCGTCTGAATTTACCGCACGGAAGTCGAAGCCCGAAAAATATGACGGGGAGGGAGCACTCGACTCTGTGTCGTCACCTTCCGCTTTCGTTCATCCTTCTACCGTCGCAGATCCCATCTTTCCCGATCTTCACGCGCTCCGGGGAAGAGCTGGTGACCGTCTCGCGCGCCGGCTCGGTGCACCTCACTAAGGAGCAGTGCGAGAGGCTGCAGCACTTCCACCGCTTCGTCTGCGACGAGGTGATGCGGGTGCGCGAGCGTCCCCTGCTCGCCTTCGACCCCGGCTCCGCCCCCAACTGCGTCACCCTGGCACCTGTGATGCAAGGTATACGACCCCCAACTGGCCACGCCGCCTCCATCCCCTTCGGTCACGGAGCTTCGGCTGAAACTCGTGTCCTGGCCGATTGAACGCGAGTTTCAGCCGAACAGCAACGCTCATATCCAGTTTGTGACCTCGGGTAGGCGAAATATTCCACTGTACTGCCTTCTTATCTTGGCGAGCGGACGGGGGAACCTTTATTTTTTATTCCTGACCTAGGCATGAAGCGCTCGCACATATGGTGGGATTTTGTTTACTCTTACAGGGATTAGCGCCACTTGCAGTGCTAATCCCCGTAGGAGTTTACTAGGGCAGAAGCCACCCAAGTTTCCAGACCAGGAAGTAGTTTATCTGAGGCCCGTGGTTACTCATTCGTGCCGTATAACTCTTCCACCAGGCGACGGAACTGCCGCTATAGACTGGCCCCTCGTCAACGCCGTGTTGAGCCACAAGAAGCCGGCGGCAGGCGAGCGGTTCCAGTTCCAGAGGCACTCTTACGAAGACGCCGTGGTGGTCCCGCAGTACCACCCCCTCAACTACCGGCACAAAACTTACTACGTCAAGAGGGTGCGCGACGACCTCAGCCCCGAAAGCTCCTGGACCACGGGCACCGCCTCCTTCGCCGAGTACCTCTCGGGCGTCCACGACCTCCGGGTGACGGACCGCTCGCAGCCACTCCTCGAGGTTGCCTTCACGGAAGTGCGCCTCAGCTTCCTCACCCCGCGCTTTCGTAACCGCCACGGCGACGCGTTTGCCAAGAAGACGACGGCGGACCGCGTGGAGCTCCGCGTGGCCGAGTTCTGCGACGTGCACCCGATCCCGGCAAGCGTGTGGCGCAAGGCGGTCTGCCTCCCCAGCATCCTCTACCGGATCAATCAGCTGCTCCTGGCGGAGGAGATCCGGTGCACCGTTGCCGCGGAGACAGGCGTCGGGCTGCGGACCGTCGAAGCCGACTGGCCGGCGCTGGACTTCCAGAGCGCGTCGTTCGAGAGAGCCTCTGCGGGTGCAAAGGGGGAGATCGAGTTCGGGACGCTGCTTCGCGGACACGGCGACGCGGAAGAGATTCGGATGCCGCGGATCTCCGGGTCGTTCGAACTTCAGCCGGAGCTGGAGGGGAACCCGGGTCCGAGCCCTGGGCGTCTGCTCGAGGCGTTGACGTCTGCAAAGGCCGCGGACGGATTTGACCTGGAGCGCCTGGAAGTGCTGGGAGACTCGTTTCTCAAGTTTGCGGTCACCATCGACCTGTACTGCGGGGAGACGGCGGCGCAAGAAGGGCTGCTGACGCAGGCGCGGTCACGGATCATCAGTAACAGGAACCTGCACAGGCTCGGATGCGCGATCGGGGTCGCGGAGGCGGCGGCATCCGAGATGTTTGAGCCGCAGCGGAACTGGCTGCCGCCGGGTTATCGCGTTCCGGAAGGGTGCGAGGACAAGATGCTGGACGTAGACTTTGCCTTCTGGGCCTCGCAGAAGAGTCCCAAGTGGTTCGACACCGTGACGGCGGAGGAGTTGACTTCTGCTTATGAGGTGGGTAGAACCTTCTGGTGATTCTGACTTCCTGTTTCTTCTTAGTGACTCACTGTTTGCCTAAGATGTCCCACAACTTGTAATATGTTTGGTATGCCATAGTTTGAATGCCACGTGACCACGGAAAAGAGAGCGGGCACGACTGAAACCAGCCAATTCTCGGCCGGCTGTTTTCGGACAGAAAGAAAACGAATTTCGAGCCGCAAATCGTGTTCTGGGTAGTTGGGTTCTAATAGGTCACGTTCAAATAAAAACCTCGACGAGCATAAATCGGTGTTCCTTTTTGCCATAAAGCCCATAAACCACGTGACCCCAATCGAGTGTCAGAAAAGCTCTGTAATCTAGACACGCTACTTAGCACACTGGCGCCATCTGTCAGCTGGGCTCTGAACACTTTCAACCTGCACATAATTATGCTAAAAGTTTTTCGGCGATCGCGAAAACAAATCTACGTACCATCTACCGGAGGTGGTCGCTCATAGCATTGTCCGAGTTATTTCGAGCCCACGGTAAAAGAAGGGCGCGTAAGAATATACGAGGTCAGAAGTGTGTGTAAATTCGTTATGCAAGACGCTTGAGCACACCCTAACACGAATGTCTGGACCAGCCTTTAGGTAGAAGGCTGGGGTACTTCTTTAGCTTCTCTCCTTTCTGCTGGCTCGAAATGCAAGTAAATTGGAGTCATTTGCACAGGCGTACAAGGCGGAGTGTTTGCGGCCGGACTACGTGGCACCCAAGCGCGACAGCTCGTGCGCCGTGCCCGTGTGCACCTCCGCTCAGGTGCCGGATAAGAGTGTGGCCGACTCGGTGGAGGCTCTCATCGGAGCCTACCTCCTGGTGTGCGGACCCGTCGGAGCCCTCAAGGTAACTCTTGCTGTGTCTGAGGGCGCTCGTTCAAGAAACCGTGCTGGTAGTTTGTGGAAAATAAAAAAAATCAGTGCTAGTTTGGGGAAAAGGAAGCGATCCGAGTGCATGGTCGTCTTCGGCGCTCCGTAACCGAAAGTCGCGTTCTTTGAACCTGCTACTTTCCAAGGTCTAGCCATACGGCGTGCAAGCTTGTCTGCTCGAATCATACAGTTTCTTTAATTCTTTAATATATGCTAAAGGTTCGACTGCCGCTACGTCTATACGATTTCTGCGACGCAAATTGAAGCAGACAGCAACCAGTCTACTTTTGCGGTGCTCCTGTGCACTTTTATGGGAAAACGCGCGTGCATTTTGTCTCTTTGCCAGAAAATAACGTGGAACACTTTGGTTACTTGGGTCGTATTGTATAGTATGTACCTTGATTAACATTGTAAAAGTGTTAGTAAAAGCTTTAGTTACTGCATTTTTTTTTTTCAGTGAACAATGTTTAACTTCGCTATATTTCAGACCCAAGCCTCTGTTCCATAGCAGGTCTGTAAAAAGGAGCGACGATTTTAAGTAAAATAACGATCGAAAAGAATGTAAAATCTGTTCAAGGTTTGCCAGCATTTCGTTGACGCTTATATATTGCTAATATGCCAGTCCTGTCACATATATAAAAACGACTGCATCGTGGATCTTTACGGGCGGTTTAGAACATTCAAAACATAAATAATAAAGTATGTGGGCTATGAAACGTGTTTCTTTTTATTATTTCCTATGCCAGGCAGCTTTTATCGGGCGCTTGTTCTCTGGCATTTCCCTATTTTCAAAGATTTCAAGCGTGTGGGTGATGTTTTGAATGCAGAACGAGCATTTTGGCACATATTCATGAGCAGAAAGAATAAAGCGGTACTTATTTATTGCAAATCAGACTATTATGTGGCCTTCACGAAGGACAGCTTCGCAGTTCCCCAGGGAGGTTCCCACTGCAAAAGGCACATTGCTAGGTCTTGCCAAGGCAAGACAGACTTGAATAGCGTAGTGCCACCAAAACGTCTGACTTAGTTAACGGCTTCCGTTCCCGGCATTACGAGGGGCAGTCGGAACCCCCGCTTGGGCTTCCGTTCCCGGCATTACGAGGGGCAGTCGGAAAACCCGCTTGCAGGGGAGGAAATGGGCGGTGCAACAACATCCTCTACGAAGCTGAGAATGTGCCCCTTTGTTCGGAGGGGGCAAACTGGGAGCTTCGTCGAGCTGTCCCGAGACTGATACCTGGACATGCTGAAAAGGCGCGATGGAATAATAATAATAGGCTTAGTATTTCTCATTTACAGTACAGCTAATGTATGGGTCCACCCAAGTCTGGAGATTTGTCGGGATGCACCCAGCAAACAGCAACAAAAACGCAAAAAAAAAAAAAAAAGAATTGCAGCTTAGTTGGAAGGGGCAGGGAGCAAAGTGAAACCAGATGGGTATGTTTGCTCATGCGTGGCACTTAAAGAGTTAAGCATGGTCGAAGCAGCGGTTGAGGTTAGTGAAGTGCTTCCCAAAACGGATGGCTCTGGACGTCAGGTGATGAAGTGGATGGGCGTCCGGCTGACGCAATGCGACCTGGAGGGCGGGGCAGAGGGCAGCGGCGTGCGTGGCTTCTGGGGCTTCCCCCCGCCCCAAACGGCGCTGCTGCGCCACGTCCCGCACCCGGAGGAGGACCTGGCGGCGCTGATGGAGCTCATGGCGGACACGGTCGCGGACGTCGAGAGGGCTCTCGGCTACACCTTTGTTGACCGGTCCTTCCTGCTGCAGGCGGTCACGCATGCCTCCTACTACAAAAACAGGTACGAGGGAGCGTCCTCCTTAAACGACGCTCTTCCCGGGACTTTGTGCTTTTCGATCGGTGGCTGCGGTGCATTCTTGGCTAGCTTAGCTTCCGAAATACGGCAGCTGTGCAGAGACTTTATTTATATTGTAAGGTACACGAGGAAAACTGGGTGAAGTCCCTACTTGGTTTCCGTGCGAAGGACTTTTACGAGCTTAAGAAATGGTTAGAACGCGGGCGAGTCAGTGGCAGGAGAGGACGAACGCAATATCCACAGAGTCCTGTAATGAATGCGGCTCTTCACAATAAATGCCGTGTCTTATAAGATGCATGCATTATTAGATGTTGCATTTGTCTTATAAACAAGTGCAACCATGGAGGTAGGAAGGAGAGGAGGCGACGCATCGGCTCGGGCCAGGCATATGAGAAAATCTCGATGGAAGCTGGAAGTAGAGGTCGCGGTCGGTGCGAACGCCCCCAAGGGGTACCAAAAAAGACCGTTGGCATCAAACCGGCTGTCCTTTCCGTCCAATAGTGTCTTTTGATTTTGGTCGTCGTTGGGGCCATGTCCCTCCAAACTGGAAGTCTTACCCGACTTTGCCTCTGGTGACGCACCCACCTTACTTACCGGCTCTTCGGTGTGCATGAATCGTATCGCGCTAGAGATTTGGACGAGGCGCCCGGCAACTGTAAGAGCGATGGCACGCCTCGTGCAGGCTGACGGACTGCTACCAGCGCCTGGAGTTCCTGGGCGACGCTGTGATCGACTACCTGGTGACACGCTACCTGTACGAGCTGCCCCGCAAGTTTAACCCGGGCCAGCTGACGGACCTGCGCTCGTCGCTGGTCAACAACACCTTCTTCGCCTCGCTGGTGGTGAAGTACAAGCTCCACGGCTGCTTCAAGCACTGCAACCCAAGCCTGTTCAGCGCCATTGGCCGCTTCGTCAACTATCAGGCCCAAGCGCGCGAGGAGGAGCGCGAGGAGGGCGGGCTGCCGGACGAGGACCGGGAGGAACGTCAGGAGTTCCCGGACCTCAACGCGCCTCTGGACGGGGCGGAAGACGACACTTACTGGAAGGTGCTGGAGGTGGGTGTGTGGGGACGAGAATTCGGACCGCAGCTTAGACTGGTGCCTGGTCACCGGATGTCCAGCATGTTACCGAGACAGCCCTTGGCTGTCTGACATGAGCAACTAGAAATGTTTGTTTGAAAGCAACCTGCATTATAGTTGCGAAACAGGGACATTTTTAAGGTGTTGCTAAGCTGAGAATCAAAGAAAATCTAAGCCCAATGCATGTAAGACTTGTGGTCTGCTCTTTTATACCTGTAGACAGGGATGGGCAAAATACATGCAAATATGTATTGAAATACAAATACAAAATACTTCGTCAAAAATGTATTTAATTACAAATCTAATTACATTTCCAAAAAAGTATTTAAATACAAGATACAAATACAACCAAATGTATTTGATCTCCTCCCAATACTTTTCCAAATACATTCCTCAAAATCTGCGTGAGCGACTTCAGGGCACCCGCAACAGGTTTCTGGGTGTCTCATTATAATTTTGCATTGCACACTCGGGAGTTAGTGTGCGAGGCTCTAGTAACGTAATAGAAATATAATCACAAAAAAAAAATGTAATCAGCTTGGACGTAATAGGTGAAAAAAGTACAGAGCTTCAAGCAGCTTTTTTTGTCGATTACATTTTGGTATAGACCAACGAAGAACCGAGACGACCAAGACGTGCAGCACTAGCTAGAGAATTTTTTATTGTTGCAACTCACACCAGTTACAAAAATTTGGACGACCCCCGCATTTAGAATGTTCCAGGCAAAAATATGAAGGGAAATCAGGCTGGAAAGCTCACAAGTTGTCACAGGCACTTATTTAGCCAGTCTGCCTGTGAACATCGATTCCGTCACTTCTCTTGCCCTAGGCTAGCACCGTAATCGCAAAGTCACCGAACGCTTGTGCTTGGTTGAGAGACACTGCATTCGGTGCAGGACATGGTTTTCTTCCTGCTCTGGACAGTGACAATAAATTTGAGGGATGTATTTTTGCCCACAAAGTTGTATTGTATTTGAAATACCCACGTTTTAGTATTTAAATACACACGTCAAATACATTACCCTATTTGTAATTAAATACAAATGTAAAATACACAAAGTTTTTGAAATACGTATTTCAAATACTTGTATTTGAAATACTGCCCATCCCTGCCTGTAGATCAGTAGACCTGTGTCAAGGCTTCTCAAAGCATAGAGCTGCTGTTGTCTTCAATGTAAACATCTTGGACAGAAACCCGTCTGGTTGGTGTGGTAATAAAAAGTAAATACTCCGACGAAAGCCCTAAAATGACATCTCAATACCTGATGGTCGTTGTTCCGTCACTGCTGAAGAAGGAACCAATCAAGTTTCAAAACGGGTCACTTTTTTTTAAGGGCTTTGGTTGAAGTATTTCTTTTTTGGTGTTACTGCCATTGCCTTTGCCTCGTATTCCACTCAGTCTGCTCCGGCATTCGCTGTAGGGTCGAGTCTAATTTTTGCTCGCTTTTTCGTTCGGTGCGGTTTGTCTCTGATGGTCTTGCCGTCGCCGCACCTCCTCCTTCAGCGTCACTACTGCCACGAAGAGGAGTGTCAGGAGCCCGAGGAGGTGGAGGTGCCCAAGGCGCTGGGGGACCTCTTTGAGAGCCTGATGGGTGCCGTGTTCCTCGACTGCGGCATGTCCCTGGACTGCGTGTGGCGCATCATCTACCGCATGTTCGGCCAGGAGATCGAGTCCTTCAGCCAGAACGTGCCCGTGCCCCCCGTCAAGGAGCTCACCGAGCGCTTCCGGGACGCAAGGTTTGGGTGAGTCGAGGCCGGTGTGGATGCACACCTGGATGGAGGAGGGGTCTGGTATGGAGCATGGTTCCGATCTGGCCCGGATCTGGTAGTTCAGGCCCAGTCCTGTTCTGGAGCGTGGTTCACTTCTGGAGCACGGTTCAGACCTGGAGCATGGTTGATTGGGCTCGGATCTGGAGTATAGTTCAGCTCTGGAATAAGGTCCAGATACACAGTGTGTGCTGGATTCCATGCATTTGCATGGAATCCAGCACAATTCCATGCAAAGCTGGATTGCGTGCATTTGCCTGTGCAGTAGTACAGATGGCTCATTTGCACTTTTGTCGAAAAAGAGCTGACTGCACTTTTACTGCCGCATCATTCACTAGGCTTCTGTCGTAGATTGCATGCTCCATACAAAATTGGGCATACGAACCTTTCTCATCAACGGATTGTGCTAATATCGAGAAGCTATGACTAAATTTCAAGTCAAGTGCATACCCGCCATATGTTTTGTTTCTTTGCCTTATGCTGAACTTTCAGTCCGGCGGAGCTCCTGGGCAACAACAAGGTGAAGGTGCAGCTCACGGTGACGGGAAAGACGTTTTCGTGCGTCGCCAAGAACAAGAAGCTAGCCAAGATGGCGCTAGCCAAGAAGTGCCTGCGGATGGTCAAGCAGTGCGGATCCTGAGCCTCCCGCTGCCTCCCGCTCCGGCCTACCGCGGGGTGCCTCGGGATCTAAGAAACCCATTGTTGTGGATATAACGACGTGTTACAGCCTGCCTCTGCAGTATTGCGTGGCAGCAGTGCCTCTTTGCCGATTATTTTGGGACAGATTTGTTAAAAGTCATACTTCTATTTGTTCAAAATAAATTAATTTCTATATTTTTAATACACATAGCTTACTAAATGTGAGCTTGGCTACCTTAATTTGTTTTAGAGCTTTAAGCTTGGTGTCTTTTTTATCTTCACTTCAAGAAGGCTGCATTGCATAGTATTAACAAGTGCCTAGTCTAAACCGGTGACTCTCTGAAGCTTCAATATGATAGCGGAATTATTATTGTAGCGGAGCTTCAAAGTGTGAGCGGCTTAGGACAAGCGTATACCGTAAGATACCGAGAAGGCATCCAGATTGCAGTAACTGCGCACCCACTAGTACTAATGAAACGTTTGAAAAATAAGTACAGTGGACTCTCATTAATTCAAACTCTCTTAATTCAAACTTGCAGATAATTCAAACTAATGTGCAGGTCCCATCCTATGTGTCTCTTTGGAAGGAAACTCCTGAGGATTCAAACTTTGCTCTATTCAAACAAATTTTCGGCCTCCCTCGAGTTTGAATTAACGAGATTCGACTGTAGGACATATCGAGCAGCCACCTCGTCCGCCGACCACTTCTCCAAGCACACCGGTGCAAAGTGGTGAAGCCCACCCCATCGTGTGCTCCTTTTGGATTTTTGCACTCCTGCATAGAAAGCACCTATCCCTCAGTTTGTCCGCGTGCATGATCAAGAAGATAAGCTTCTCCGTTCATCTAGAAAATTTGCGCAGATTCTTACCCCGAGCGTTAACGATAACGAGGCCAGAATGACCTTGCCTAGTCAGTGTCGCCCTAGCTCTTTCCCAAACATTCTAGATCGAATATTTGAGATGACGAGCACACTAGATAAAGGACAGAGCGCCATATTGCCGACTCATTCCCTGATTCTCTCTCGCGATAACCAGCTGTTACGCTGACTGCTGCCGCCACCGTCGTCGTCGCACTCGCTGCATGTTCTTTTTCATTTCTGGCACAAGTTCGCCTATTGATTCTTTTGTTCATTCCATTTCATCCTGCATCGTTGTCTGTCATTCGTGACAATATTATCTCCAAATTTTTGATTGGTGCTTGCTCTGTATTTTACGGCAGTATAGTTTGTGTGCGATTCATTGTCGCTTCTGAATTTGCCAGTTCTGCACTCTTGTGGCAGAGTAAATATGCTTTGGTTAGTGGAAGAATGCATTGTAAACTTGCCTTCCTGCTGGCATTGTATGAACGAAAGTGTGGTGGGATGAATGGGCTGCCAAAGATTGGCTGCAGAAAGTGGAGGATTAGCGGCACATGGTACTTTACTGCCAACGATCGTTCATCTTGTGTCCAATGTTTACCCGACAGGAGAAGCCCCTCCATTTATTTTGTGTTTGCGATTCCAGGGAGAACCGTGAATGCCAGAGAAGACGAGTTGAAACAAGCTCTGTAAATTTTTCAAGTTTCCCATAAATAGAACATGTTTTTTTCGAATAAGTGTTACTGCATTTGTTCGTTTTTCACTTCAGCGGGGAGCTTCCCCACTCTGTCTGTGATAAAATGTAAGTTTTCTAGAGCCACAATATTAAATTTTTCAAAGTATGTTTTCTTTGTCAATGTTGTTGATGTTTTTTATCGCACACAACTCTCCTTAGTTATCATCTATTACACTTCATAGGTGTTAATATTCCTTTCTTTCACCACTTTCAGTATTAGGAGCTCTTGGAGCAGACTGATCTCGTCAGCCAGTTTGTGCTCCTCTTTGTAATTGTTGTAAATCATGCGATTCAAATGTGTCTGCGCCAAATATTTTTGAAGAAACCATCAGTTCCAATCACTACTTCATGGAGCTTCAGTCAATGGCATGTGCACCATGGGGGTTGGTGTCATTTTGCTCAACTCTAATACCTGAATCGCATAATATGATTTTACTGCAATTTTGCAGTTGTGACGTCGCTCGTGGCAAAAAGTAGGGTGGAAGCTGCGATGCCCAAAGTTGTGGCTGCACACCGTGTGAATAGACCATATATGAAATGCACAGTGCCATCTAGTGGGGTGCCAAAGAACATGCTTGGTCTCACCAGTTGGCTTCGGCACTGCCAAAGGCCAGGGCACAAAAGAGTAGTTGTGAAGAATCCTTTGCTTGCACAAGCACTTGCGCAGAAAAAGCGCTTTCAAAAACCAGGTGCTTGCGCCTGTGCCTTTGCCGGCACTCAAAGCCAAATTTCGAGCTGAAGCATATGTCCGCCATGTTGGCTGCGGCAAAAAGTAGTTTTGAAAAATCCTTCGCTCGCACAAGCACTTGCGCAAAAAAAGCGCTTTCGAAAACCAGGTGCTCGCACCTGTGCCTTTGCTGGCACTCAAAGCCAAATATTGAGTGTTTGAACAGCGCAAAGACGACAGGAAGATAGAAGAGAAGAGGACAGGACGAGCGCTGTATTGAGCTGAAGCATGTTCGCCATGTTGGCTGCGGCAAGGAATCGACGATCGGCGGGACGACAAGCAGGTACATGCGCAACAGCGTAAAAAAATGCTAAACCTTAGCTCGCAGGTGTGGGCGAGGATAGATGACTGAGCAGTAGGTCTCGATTGTGACTGAAAATGCTACGAAATTGACAAACAGCAGAGGAATCTCGACGTAACAGCGGATTATTTGCATCTATTGCCTCATTTGTATGTTCAGAAATGTTTTCGTGTTTTTTCAAGACACATATCTATTTTGTGTTGGCCCTAAGTATTTCGGCTTAAGTTCTTTGCTTGACACTTCATTCATTCTAATAGGGAACTTATTTAGCACATTTTGATGTGTTGCAACATACACCATATTTTCCGGGCCAATTTAGGCCGAAAAACTTCAAAAATTTTGAGATAGTGGCCAATTTTGCTTTTAGAAGCATTTAAAAAACAATCCCCAATCCTTTGTTTCGCGAAAAATAAAATATTTTTCGTGTAATTTTACTCTAGCCATGATCACACACCGAAACCGAAACGGTGGCAAAGCCGGACAACATTGTATATTCGGCATCACTAAGCATGTACACCCACGTGATATACAATGGGAAGAAGGAGCTCCCCTCTTATCAGGATCCTCCTTTCTGCCTCCTGGATTAGCACAGGCGTCGCTATTTTCCCCCCAGAAGATTATAGAAGATTAACCTGTCACTCAAAATTCTTACAAAAGCAGCTTCCCTCTCTGGGGAGAGCTAAAACAAACGCAAACACATCGAGGGGCTTTAGGGAGAGCCAGAGCTCTGGGGAGAGCACGGCGCTGGCGCCACCCGTGCTCTCCCCGGAAAAGAAAACAAAATTGAAAAAAAAAAAAAGAAGCTGTACATGCTTGATGACGTCACAGACGTGCCGGTAGAAGGAATTTGGAGGAAGCGGAAATGCAGCCGGGCAGTGTTGTCTGGCCCGCACGTCTCATCCAAAACTAGCGGATTCGTGCTTGTCAAACTTTGACAGCGATTTTAATGAACTTCTGGGCGGAATTCCGTCGTAATATTGCCTAAAGTATATGCATTCCAAATTTGGTTGTTATAGGACAATATTAAGAACAGGAATGCTTGCGCACAAACTGTGAAGATGTTCCAAAATGACATAAACAGCAAAATGTGTTTGAATGTTATTGTAGATGCGTAGCCATCCTGTTTTGCGGTGCGGGAAATATTTTGTTCATAAATTTTCGTGCCTAGGTGCCTAGGTCTACTTGTCAATGTAAATGTGATGGCAGGCGACATCGCAACATGAAGAACCACGCGGAGAAAAATGGCTCAAATTGCTCAAATTCATGCCGTTGTGGGTTGCCTGGAGGTCTTCAAATGTACATTTGACTATTTTGCGATCATAACCGACACTAATTATTTTTATGCATCAAACATAAAGATTCAAAAATAATAAAGCACCATAAAACCCAAAATCACATCTTTTGCAAAATATTGCCGTTTTACAACCCGCATCTTCCCTTCCACTGGCATCAGCGGAAAACATTCGCCCCGTCGTGGTGCCCACGCATTGGCTGCCATTTTGGCATTCGCAGATTTAACCGGACAAGCGCCCATGTTTAGAATAACCTAGTTTTCAGTGAAAGTAGGTTGGGTGCTTCCCAGATATTTTACGGTAGTAAGGTAATGAGAAATGTGCCAGTTACTTTTCATCCTCTTAAATTTGTAGCTAAGATCGGAGTGACCTACTAATTGAAATTCTTTCAGAGTGATATCAATCGAATAGCTTTTTGTTTGCGCGCTTGTAACGCAAGGTTGTTAGTTGTACGTGACATATGAGGGCTCAACTACCCAGAACAGAATTTGCGGCTCGAAATTCGGTTTCTTTCCGCCCGAAAACCGCCGATCAAGAACTGGCCGGTTCGAGTCTCGCTCACTCTCTTTTCCGCGGTCACGGGCCATTTTCTAAGGTATCGATGCGACCACCAAATTTCATCAAAGTCGTGGGTCACTGAAGGCACACACTCAATATTAAAAATAGAAAAAAATATGAAACCCATTTTTTGTGGCTTCTAAAAAGCTGCAAATACGTTGATTGAAAAAAAAAGTTCCACAGACAACCGGAAGCATTCTGTGCGTTCGTCGTTTCGCGTATCGTGGGACTCGCGGGGACGGCGATGGCAGCGGACGACGGGCGTGGGACCTCTATTTCAGAACTGTCGTTCGCGGTACCGGCGAATTCTGTCTACCGTTAAAAGAGAAATTTGGGACTGATCAAAAGAATTGGTATTCATCCCGTACGACACGCCCGGCCACCAAGCCGATTTGCACGAAGACGTCGCCGAGCCGTCGCTCCCTTCTCGTGGCTGAAGACAACGCTCGCGCAAACGTCAAGCACGACGTGTCTACTTCGAGTTGAATATGCACGCGTACGATGTCTTTACTAGGTGCGAATGTCCCCAAAGCGTGGTGCTTCCCGACTTCGACCCGGGAGTGCTTTTGCTAAAGAAAAATCGACAGCAAACTTTCAAACTTAGTTTACCAGCTGAATTATTACTAAGGAAAGAGATCCACCAGAAAAGCGATGCGCCAGTAGCTCAGTGGGAAAGACGTCCGCTTCACACACCGAAAGTCCGGGTTCGATCCCCCGTGATTTTTTTTTTTTTTTTTTTGCAAACAATTTTTGATGTTTACATATCTTTTTCTTTTTTTTACAATCATCACTGAAGAAACAAACAAAAAAAAAATAACAAACAAATGTTGTGGACGATACTTCGCTGAATTAAACGGTATGGGATTTCTGTTTTGACACCTGCGAACTCAATGTAATCATTTCGACAAAAACCCCGAGACTGGGACAAAAAGGGACGGACAAACACAAAGAGACTTTGTGTTTGTCCGTCCCTTTTTGTCCCAGTCTCGGGGTTTTTGTCGAAATGTTTAACCACCACCAGCTCGTTTGCGCCCTTACCTTTTGTTCAATGTAATCACTTTCCACAAAGTGCAAGGAGCATATAAATCAGGTAGCGTCCGCTTTCCGAGGTGCCCGTAAATGTTCTACAGGAATTGCAGCCAGCCATTGGTCCCGATCCCGTTGATCTTTCGACAATGCCACTTTTTTTCGGATGCAGGACATGTGAGCCAGCTCTTCACGCAACATCTTGGGTTTATACTTTTCGGAGCCGATCATGGAAATTCACCACGGGCACTCACTACTCATCTCTAACTCCTCAATGTACAAAACAACTCATCTTGGAGTACATAACAACGAGCGGAACAAACATAACTGCAAAAGAATCGCACGGCAAGCAGTTCCCGCACGCCGCATGTCGTGTCGTCTGCTACCGGAGAGGAGAAAAAAAAAAAAAAAAAAGCACGGTTGGGTGTAGTCACGTGACTTCCGCCAGTCACTCTCTTCTCTCCACTTCTCCGACCTCCGTCGGGTTTCGGTTTCGGTTTCGAGCAGTTGCGTCTTTTGGCTTTATTAAAGAAATACGCTACTCTGTTGCAAAATATTAATTGGGTAGTCCCCCGACACCATAATGAAGCGCCTGGCAAAAAATAAAAAAAATTTTTTGGGGGGTGTCAGTGGAGCTATTTCTATCAGCTCCCCTTGAATGCAGAACGACGATGAAACGGGCTCGCTGCACTCTGCGTGTCTGTTTCTTGAGCCGTCAGTGTCCATAGAGAGCTCGGGATTTCACAAGCAACGAGAGATGGTGACATCCGCGCGTTGCGTTTCCGTCGCAGGAGGGCCGAGATGACGTTGAACGGCAAGGTGCGCATCCGCGTCGAGGTGTTCGGCAAGGGCCGCTTCGTCGGCGTGGGACGCAACAAGCGCATCGCCAAGTGCACCGCCGCCAAGAGAGCCCTGCGTGCGCTCAAGCGCATGAGGCAGGACGGACAGTCCCTGCTCTAGGTGCCCCGCAGCGGCTGGAGGAGCTCCGGAAGCCTCCCGTGGCCGGGCAGTCCGGTCGACGGAGGACATCCGCTGAGCGTGGTTCCCCCTTGGTGCACTGCATGGGCCGAATCTTCGACTGTTGCGGTTACCGCCTCCTAAAAAGCATAGCTAAAAAGTGGTCCCTCGACGATGTCGTAAAAGTGTCGCGCTGCTGCATTTATTCGGTTACCCGCCTTACCTTTCTCGAAGTTGCCAACAATCTATTCAAAAGTAGG